CCAATTTGCTCAAGTGTCTCCAGGCTGGGTTGAGCTCTCCCAGCAGTCGCAGTGTTCTCGATAGTTGGGTCAGCTTCTTGACGGAATGCCTGCCGTTCTACTCCGATACCATCTTTCAGGTTCTCATTCCTCTAGTGGAGACTTTATGTCGGCAAGTTTCCAATACCTTCAGCGACTTGCAATCCATCTTCCGAGACAACGGCAATTCAAAGAAGGATGATTGGAATGCACCAGAGTCTACGCTGATCTCGCTACTCAATGCTTTGGAGCAAGTACTGGCCCGGGCACACGAGCGGCTTTTGGTTGAAGAGGCCAGAACGCAAGTTGTCAAGGGTCCGGATCAGCAGCCATCGGGATTCTTCGGCACCATGGTATCTGGTGTCTTCACTTCGGATGCCCCACAGGCGCGGAGTGCCACTGCAAATGATAGACTCACGGTGCACCTTGCATTTGCAGATGCTGTTCGCATTTGCTTCACAATATGGTCCTGGGGCCAGGGCAGCGATATCAATGCCCAGGACGTGACTTCTGTCTCGTCTTTCAACTACACATCTCTTCGAATGAGGAACCGGGCGAGACGACTGTTGGAGCATCTTTTCGCAGCAGAGACCTTGGAGTGTCTCGAGACAGTCATCGAAATCTGGCGGGGTTCTATCAATATTACCACGCCTATACCACAGTCAGAAGTGTTCAATCTCTTACCAGCATTGGATGGTTCACGGCCAAAGCACACCATTCCTGCCATCTTTAACGCTATCTACAGCAGAACAAACCCTGGGGCATTGGACGCCTCAAGAAAATCAACATTGACAACATCTCTCCAAGACGTTGACCTAGTCACATTTCTGGTTGAATATGCCCGCTCGCTGGAGGACGACGCGATGGACGAGATCTGGCTCGACTGCATGGCGTTCCTGCGCGACTTGCTCACGAACCCTTTCCCACACAGACAGACGCTACCAAGTCTTTTGGAGTTCGCGGCTATCTTGGGTGAAAAGGTTGACAACACCAATTTCGGTGAGCAGCGGAAGATGAGACGCGAGCTCGGGGTAAGCATTGTTACTCTATCGCCATCTATAGAACACGTACTTACAACTATACTAGGACCTGTTCCTCCGACTCCTAACCGCGATATTCACAACTAAGCCCTTGACATTCTCAGATACGGCACCAAACGACAAGTCAGAAAAGAACCGCGACGGTGTTCGCCGCACTCCCACGATTGCCCTGGTCAGCGTTATCGATAGAGCCGAGGATGTAGTCGCAATCTTAGCCTCAATCGTGCCGAACCTTCCCAAGATCCTAGTCGAAACGGACCGTGTACTGTCTGCAGCCGGCACAATTTCAACAAATGTCATCAATCCAGCTTTCAGAGCGAAGGCATTCCCTGACACTGTTTCCAAGAACACACTAATCTTGCTACAAGAACTGTCCCGGCTGCCCAACAACCAAAAGACCTGGAAGAAGGATGTCGGAGACGCGTTCAACGATGCTCGGTTCTTCAGCTCGAGCATTGAGCTCGTACGAAGCGACTGGTTGCCGTTGCTTAGACAATGGACCGTCAGTGATAAGGAACGTATGCCTGAGCTCTTGGCCCGCATGACTCCGCCCACCACAGCCGGTATCGTGTTTGGTGTTGGTGCCACTTCTGCTCGATTAGAGGCAGACCGGAGGACGCAGCTCAACCTTCGTCGCACTGCATCACTAGTCCTCGCAGCTACAGAAGATGCATTTGTCACGGAGCTTCCCATCATCACTGATAAGGTAGTGGAACTTCTCGGTGCCACGGCGACGTCTTCACCTTCCTCTACAACGAGAGCTGAGATCTTCATGCTTGTCCGCGCACTTGTACTGAAGACCAGTGCTATCCACCTGGCGATGCTGTGGCCGATCATCAATGCGGAACTTCATGCAGCCATCGCATCTGTCGTAGCTGCCGATCACAGCACCGCATCTGATACCTACAACAACATATCTATCCTACAAGCCTGCAAGTTGTTAGACCTGCTCATTTGCGTTGCGCCTGATGACTTCCAGCTTCATGAGTGGCTCTTCGTCACGGACACCATCGACGCTGTGTATCGCTCTACCAACTATCAACCTGTTGCACTTGTCGACGAGCTTGCAGAGGAGCTTGGCACTATGGGTGTCAGCTCTTCATTAGGTAGTAATCCGGCGGCACACTTGGCCACGAGCAGCTCCCACAGACGGCCACTGCTTGGACCTGGCGGCATCAACGACGAAGTCAGCATTGAAAGAAAGGACGAGCTTGTTGGCAAGATCCTACGGCCGTTCTTTGGACAGCTTAGTATCTATGCTTTCGAGTCGACCTATGCAATGGCGCCACTAGACCGGGAGTTTTGTGTTCAGGGATTATTGAAGGATTTGTTCGATGAACGTAGCGTTGTCAAGGCGTTGTAAAAGTAGGTTTTGCTTGCTAGAGTGTGGCCCTATCTGAAAGTGCCAGAACAAGAAGGAATATTGACTAAGGTTTTGATTGTATTGTACTCAATGCTCCTGGTATGAATGCCACCATGGCCTTACTCGCCCCCTCCATGCAATACTGCACCACCTCGAGCTTCTCCCCTTCCGGAGCTAGCTTTGCCACCTGTCTGAGATCACTTGTTCGAGGAAGATACAGCGCGTGATCCATGGGTTTGCAGGCTTCATGCAGCTGTTCCAGATTATACGGTTCCATCTTACTCAGATCAAACACCTCGGCGGTCCTGTACCCAGGCCCACCCCAAGGCGGCGAAGCAAAGACCACCGTCTCGGCCATGTCGACCCTCAACTCCTCGCTTAGCTCGTCGGGGCTCTCTCTCAGCTTCTGGAGATAGTCGAAGCAGTCCCCGTGGATCCAGGTGATGTACTCTGCGACCTCGTATAGCTCGGCGTTGTGCTGGGCGCAAGCCAGGGTCGCGGCGTCACGCTCGATGGAGATGACGCGGTCCCAGCGTGCCGAGAGGGCGAATGCGATGGTGTTGCCTCCGGCGCCGCCGAATATGTCGACAAGGACGCGCTTGGAGGCGTCGGTGTGGTACATTTCGTTTGCGACTTTATTGGCGAGGGGTTCGGGGGTCACGCCGAACCAGGCGCTGTCTGTGAGGTAGACGCCCTCGTCGTACCAGGAGAAGATGGAGTAGCGCTGGGAAAAGTATCTGGAGGTGTTTTGTCAGTTGGTTTTTACGAATCAACATAATCTCCCCGAGGAGAGGGAAGCGGCTCACTTTTGGAGATCCCAAGGCACTTCTGCCTTGGACTTGTAGTGATGGCACTCATCCGTTAGGGGAAGTCTGCTGGCGGCCTTCATTTTGGTGGTGATGCATGAAGTACGAGGTATTCTCAAGTCCACCTTTTTTCCAAAATTGTGAAGTTCAATGAGTTCAAAAGTCTAGTCCGTCAGACTCATTGAGACAAAATCACATGTTGATCTGCATAAGAAAATGTGTCGAGGGTTCGGTGATGAAAATGAGATGAACGAGGCTGAAGCGAGAGGAAGCTAAAAGTCAGGGTCCCACTTGGTGGCCCCACTAGCGTGGGAAGAAGCTTGGATCATCCGCAAGGCTGACGAGGGACCTTGGATGACAGCTTGCTCTAAACAGGAACGAATGGAATGCTCGCAACGACAAACTTTGAGCAAATAACCACCGCAAGCCTCAATACCGATCTCGAGCTCCATATTAAGACTGGAACCTCGCCTTTCACGAACACACAACGATACAAGAGGAAAACTCGGCTCGAGCGACGAGCGCATCACCATGTTCAATGCGCTGAACCGCTTCATGTCCCGCCTGGACGGGCAGCAACCAACCCAGCAGAACAACCAGGGCTCGTTCGGTTTCCAGGTACTTCGCAACACGAACCTCGAACTCAACGTCGAGCCTTGGTTCGACTTCATCATCGGTATCAACGGCCGGCCCATCGTACGTACTATGTGTTATCCACATTCTCAAACTACCCTAAATACTAATAAGCCACCCCTCCTCACCAGGACAACCCGGACCCAAGCCTCTTCGCCCAAGAAGTCCGCAACTGCGCAGGCGGTTCCGTCTCCCTAGGCCTCTGGTCCGCAAAAGGTCAACGCACCCGCGAGCTCCACGCCCTCGTCCCCCACGACACCGCCTCCCTCGGCCTCTCCCTCCAGTGGACCCCTCTCGCCGTCGCCGCCAACATCTGGCACGTCCTCGACGTCGCAGCAAACTCCCCCGCCGACGGCGCGGGGCTCCTCCCCTACGGCGACTACATCCTCGGCAGCCCCGAGGGAGCCCTCCACGGCGAGGGCGGACTGAGCGAGCTCGTCGAGGATCACATTGGCCGGCCCTTGAGGCTGTACGTGTATAACAACGAATACGACGTCACGCGGGAGGTGACGATCCAGCCGACGCGCGAGTGGGGTGGTGAAGGCGCGCTGGGATGCGTGCTAGGGTATGGTGCGCTGCACAGGTTGCCCGCGCCGCTGAACGAGCCCGTCGACGCACCAGGCGAGATGATGTTTGACGCTGGTGGGGAGAAGGACCCGGCTGCCGCGCTGTACGGGAACGCGGCTCCCCTTGGCGGTGAGGTGCAGCAGAACCTCTTCACGCCCGCCACGCCTGGTCTCGGCGCGCCGCCCCCTCCGACGGGAGGAGACTTCTTGGTCCCTGCGCAAATGGTAGATGCGGGCGCCGCGGCACCGCCGCCTCCTGCGGGTACGGCGACGACGAGGAAGAAGAAGGAGAGGGCCCACGGTGGAAATAATAACTTTATGGACGACTACTTCAAGGAGGAGGAGAAGAAGAGCAGGGAGGCGGATAATGCGCCCAGCGGGAGGGGCACGCCTGTTGCGCCGCCTCCGAAGATGGGAGGGCCGCCGCCGCCGCCTAGAGCTGGGTCGACGGGGCCGCCGAAGGATCAGCCTGGGGCCGAGGACGCTGCTGAATGATGAAGGAGGGATGAGAAACTGAAGTTGGTGGGCGTGTGTCGGTTTTATAGAACTAGAATTTTGGAGTCCGCTGTCATGATGATTCCCAGAATTGCACTTTTTCTTCTTCTCTTAGACATCTACCGTGCTGTGATGCAACGCCTGCTCGAATAATGTACATTGCTTTGTTCGTTCCGCATGTTCATGCGGTTATGATGTTGTAGCTTTGATGCTCTACCACCAATTGGTCTATCCACCCCCACATCGAACCTCTGTCTTTGATTTGGGGGCCACCCCCCTAATCTTGTCCTGACCGTAAGGAAGAAAACCTTCCCTGTTGCTTTATCTGGCATGTGCCCTTAGTTTATGAAGTTGACGCAGAAGAAGTGCAGAATCAGACTGCATGCGACGTAGTCGGCGAAAGCTCTGTTATTGTAGTGTTAGTTTCTATAGTCTGTGGTCTCTGGGAAAGGAATTGGCATACCTCTCGGGTGATACAGAGGGGAAATCGGACTTGTTGGCCTCAGTGGTCTGGATGCGCAAGGATGCTGGTGACTGTTGTTAGCCATTGAAACTCACATTGCTATGAGTTAGCCTTACCGGTGAGAACGAATTGGCCGACGGTGGCAGAGAAACCAGAGAGGAAGGCGTTGAAGGGCTGTTTAGCACCGTTATGTTAGCAATCACTCTTCTGCAGATTTCCACCTCTGATCCGGCAAGGTCCCTTCCTCAATGCCATGAACAAATAACCCCCTTCTCGTAACTTTCGACCAGTGAACGGTATAGAAAGAGAAGGACATACGTAGTTTCCAGCAATAACGCAGTACAAAAACTGCAGCGCGCCAACAACGACCAAAAAGGCCATAAAGACATCAATCAGCTTGGTGCGCTGCGGCGTGCTCTTGACGTAGTGGTTGTAAATGTTGGCAAGGACCTGGTCCCAGTTCTGGGCGCCACTGCCGCTGGCACTCTTGGGGGTCATGGTGATGGGGACGGCCTTGGGCTGCGAGGTCATCGTGCCCGGGATCGCGGCCGCGGCGGTCGGTCCTGCGGGCGAGGTGGGCGGCTCGGGGTGGTGGACTGCGGGAGCAGCAGCTGCTGCTTTTTGAGAGGAGGCGGTTCGCTTGGGCGCCATTGTTGAAAGTTTGTGAACGTCGAGGTCGGGGGAAGATGGGGTTGGTGGTTTTTTTGGGAAGGAATTCTAGGGTCTATCGTGAGGTCGGCGTTGGTGGTGGACCGAAAAGTTGAGGAAAGGTCTCCTTCCAGATTGTCTCGATTGCTGGCGTACGTACTGCAACTGCGGCCGATTGCTGCAATTGAGAGCTGGGGGGGAGCTCTGGAGGACACGAAAGCTTGAAGCCACAGGGCGTCAGGTGATGGGTGTGGCTGGTGTGGCCTGTTACCCCTGCACAGAAGCGTTGCCAAGCCACGAATCTGGGGTAGCAGTTCAGTGGTCCCTGACGAGTCCCGGTGCGCGCCCCTGGAATTGCGAAATGGTGTGATTAGTCAGGGTCCCGGGAATGGATGAGATCATCCAGCAGCTCTCATAAGCTGTTCTTTTTGAGTGGGCGGGCGGCCGAAGCTTGGACTTCCCGAGGCACCGAAGCAACATCGAACTTCCGTCCTCTTTGCTCATAAAGAGCCAGTTGCTCTCTCACTTCAATTTCAACTCAATCGCAATTTTGACACCGAGTGAATTTGTTCTCTGACTCAATTTTCACAATCAAACACTTTAAGATGGTACAATGACTTGTCTTTCGGAAAAGAGAACACATAGCTAATAAAAGACACATGCGCAGTCCTCAGATCTCTCCGTCCCCTCCTTCGCCCTGGCCGTACTGACGGCCGGAGGCGGCATCGCCGGCTATGCCCGGACAAAGTCCGTCCCGTCCATCGTCGCCGGAGTCAGCGTCGGCCTTCTCTGTACGTACAGTCCCTCGCCTTCTCCCTTTCCTTCATCTCTCCCGCATCCCCATCCGCTCCCCCAGCATCCCTGCCTCCATGCTGTCGCATAAGTAGTATGGCAACATGGTGGACTGACCTTGGATCACCAACCCACGCAGACGGCCTCGGCGGCTACCGCATCCAGAACCGCGAGCCCTACGGCGTCGAACTGAGTCTGCTCGCCTCGGCAGTCCTCGGTGGCTCCGCCATCCCCCGCGCCATCCGCCTCCGCAAGCCCGTGCCGATCCTCCTCAGTGTGTTGTCAGTCTTTGGTCTCTTCACATTTGGCAACGAGTTCCGTCGCACCTTGTAAAGAGGCTGTCCGAGATGAGTTGTGGGATTGTTGGGGTGAAAAGAGTATAAGTGTCGTTTGCACTGGCTTCGTAACTATAGGAATACAATTATTCAAGAACCTTGCTGTCTTTTTCCTCTCCGCTGGTTCAGACCGATTTTGATACAGTACATGGTACAATCTTTTGTTCCCTTATAGGACGCCAAACCCTTTGGTAATTTTGGTATTCCTCCGTCCCGCTCCATGCCGTCGCCAAAAATGGATGTAGTTGCGAGTGTTCGTGATATAATACAATGCCCGGTCTGGCCCATCGTCTCGACGGCCGGCAGACCAGAGAGGTTCGTTCGTGTCGTTCGCTTCAAGGATCACTGTTCCCCGTAGATCTAATCGAGACCGAGCGACTTGTTCAGCTCCTTTATCCGGTTCTCGCGCTCCTCCCTCTTCGCCCTCGCAGCGGCCCGGTTCGCCTCGGTGCGCCTCGCGCGCGCGCCGCGGAGGCACTCGCTGACTTTATCCTTTGCGTCGTTGCAGCCGCCGAGGGACTTGAACATGAAGCCCTTTGCGTGGCACTCTTCGAGGGCGACCATGATGTCTTCGCACTCTGTTTCGCGGGAAAAGCCGATTAGTATGGACTTTCTCTCTTGTTGGTAACAAGACCCGGGGAAAGGGGAAAGGGGGGCTTGTGGTGGCAATTGCGACGGGGATTGGATGATCCAGGGCAGAGGAGGATGAGGAGGGGCGCGGATGGAACCATGACGGGTGCACTTTTGTTGCGTGACTGACCGAAGTTGTCCTTGGTGTGCAGGTGAGGATGCATTTTGACTCGAGTTCTCGTGTTTGTCTGTAGGATTGGGAAAGGTAAGGAAAAATTGGTCAGTCTATCGGCGGGAGGAAAGAGGTTCTTCGTCGTCGTCGGCGTTTGCTTGTGGTTTGTACGGATAGGATGCGCCAGAGGAATTTCCCGGTGAAGTTCAATGCCGATAGAAGATTGGGAATTGGCCAGCGAGGGATTGGATAAGACCATTCGGCTCGGTGGGGTATGGAGCAGACAGAACGGCGCGCCGGGCTTTGTGCATTTTCGGGGGTCCAGTCTCACTCAGTCATGGATTCAGAGAGCGAGCCCGGCAAAAGCTCGGGCCACCTCGAATGCCCTTCTAGAACTTCCATCCCACAGTTGGTCACTGCTTGGTGGAGGGAGGGTCGATTACCTCAGGCTGGTTCGTTCGTCCCTCACTGAGATTCATTGCCCTGCATCGTACCTCACTTTCTTCAACGAGGTCTCATCAACACCCCTCCATTCACCTTTACAGAAGTTTCCTCTCACGATGGCGGCGCAAGTAAGTCAGAAGAAGCAGCAAGGTAAGTTGACTCAACTCACTATTCCCGACCGTCGGCCAAGAAACACATGAGATATGATAACCCCGCCATGCTTCCATGCTAACCTACTTTTTTTTTTAGACTTGCAAACGCAGTATGGCGTCTACAAGAACACTCTCCAACAGATTGCGCAAAAGATTGGCGATGTAGAACAAGAAGCTGAAGAACACAAGTGCGTCTTCTCTCTTTCTCTCGTCTTCCTCATCTTCACTTCATCCCATTCCTTCACCTCCACGGCGTCACCTTGAGAGGTGCAGAGGGAGACCATCACCCATACCCTGGATGATATCGTGAACCCTGCGCCGCCCAGGGAAAGGGGAGGGGCAAGGCACATGATGGATTTTCCCCTTCCTCCTCATCCTCAAACCGGAACTCACTCCGGCATGGCCGTCGCCAACTCTTTGCCTCCATCACACCGCTTTTCACATCTCACTCCTCCAGAAACTCAAATAACCCTTGATGAACTGCCCCCTTCACCTCTTCCCCCGGCACACCGCCTATTACGAAATTGATTCGTTTCTAACTGGACTCATTGACAGGCTTGTCCTAGAGACCCTACAACCGCTGTCCGAGGACCGGAAGTGCTTCCGCCTCATCAACGGGGTCCTCATGGAGCAGACGGTCAAGGACGTCATGCCTGCCCTGACGACCAACTCGGAAGGTCTGAAGAAGGTCCTGGAAGATCTTGTTAAGCAGTACAAGGCCAAGCAGGACGAGCTGGAGAAGTGGAAGGTTCGTTTGGGCCTTGAAGGATGCTCCTTTTCCCGCACCATGATGTCACTGGGCTGTAACCGATTGCTGACGAATATGGGATTATAGAAGAAGAACAACGTTCAGGTTGTCCAGAACTGAGACTATCTAGGAACAACTAGATTTGGGCCACGAAAAGGCTCAGTCCGGCGGCGTTGGCTTCGAGAGTCTTTGTGCATACACGGACGACGGCCTTTCAGTCTGTTTGCAGCGCAAGGGCCCTTGGATCGGGTGATTGGGAATGGAACAGAAGATGACTTCCGCTCAATCTTTTTCGACCACGAGTTCTAGCTGCGGCCAACACAGAATGGCACAGGGACAGCAAAGCCGTCATGCAAAAATCAAAGGCGTCAAAAATGAGGCGGCATCGAATATACCCATGGTTGATGTTACGATGAGGGAGGAAGCCAAATCAGCAATACGTCTCGGAAAATAGAGACATGAAGACCGCGCAGTGGCATCAATGCGTTGTCCAACGTCGTAGGCTTGAGAGACACCAGAAGTAATAGATAACGGCGGTAACCGCGTTTCAGTGCCCAACAAGATGCGTACTTACGAAAGTCGTCAGACTAGCACACCACTCAGGAAAAGCCATTGGCACGTCTGGCGATTCAAGATGGCTGGCTGAGATCGACCCAACTGGCGAGGCGTGCTTACTGGCTGCTTGTCATGCGGCCTAGTGACGAAAAGGTGTGCTGCGCGAGGTCTCTGACAACCTTACGGCAGTTCGCGTATGAAAGCCCCCTTTTTCTCCGAGGCTACGAAGACCAACGCCTACCTATTAGTTCACTTCGTTCCTTTCGGAAGAAAGACGCTAAACACAAAAGATTTGTCTGCCACTCGGGAGAGAAGGCACACGGAGCGGAGGCGGACCGGCCCATGCGGCCGGTGACGGGTTGGAGCCTGGCCAGACGTCAGATGCTGTCCCGTGTGTGCGTATATGGAGCCTGTCTGTCTGATGGGCAGAGGGCGGTCATCCGATTCGCAAGCTGCCAAGGGATGAAACGTGAGGTCTGCGGTGATCGACTGATGTCCCATTCTGAGGGTTCCTACAGCCGTGATATCATGCTTGCTTGAACTGATGCCCAACGAGAGGCACGATGTGGCCGTCCTCATCTGTGATCAGCCGCGGGCTAAGTAGATGCGGGAGGCATCCAATGGTCTAGATTCGCCTCGCTGTTCCATGGAGTTTCCTCATAGCCGCATGCGTCCTGTGCATACAAGTACGAAATCACATCCAGTAGGTGGGTTAGCGACATCATGGACTACCCAATGCGGACATGGTCGCGGATGCAAGCTGTGGGTTATTGACAACCGCCTAGACCTAGTCATGCATGGCTGTACCTGGGCCTCGGATGATGTTGAGGAAGTGTCATCTAGATTTATAGACAGGGCGCAGAATTTCACAGTCAAGATGACCCAGCGACCAGTGACAGTAGTGCCCGGTTCCCCGATGCTGGTGTCGGGCAGTTAAGGAGTTTGATGGCTCACGCAGACTAGACCGGTGTCCCTCGGCGTTGCTGTAAGAGACCAGGGTCGACACAAAATGTGGCTCTGAGTTGTCACCAGCTCTGGGGTGAGAGGCACCGCAGCCAACACATGCAACCCTTTCGCCTGTGACATGAAATCACCCGCAACGGCGAGGGAAGGCCGAAGTGCGTATGGATACCTACTGATATGGTATACACGGTATACCTACCCCTCTCGTGTTGATGAGCGGGAAAAGGAGGGGTAGGGACCGCATCATCCGGACCAGGGTCGTGGAAAACAAGAGTGGAAGGTCAGCGCACCGCTGCACCGCTGCATCGCTGCATCGCAGGAGTTTTTGGTGGTGGTCCTTCTGTTCGTTGCGGCAGGCATCGTCCAATCCGAGCCCAACCCAATTAAAGGGTTATTGGCTCCCGACAGAGCAGAGGAGCCCAACTGCGATGAGGGTGACTGGCTGAGCTGGCGGTTGTCTGTCGCAGCGCTGCATGCAGGGTCAGGCGTACTGTAAGGCGATGGGCCGCCGATTGGTGACCGGCGCCTCCTCAGGAAAGATTGGAAGAATTTCTCCGCGCTTTTATTCCTCTTCAGACATGGTCGATTTTGTCGCACGTCTGGCTGGTGTACCCAGGGCAACCGACGTCAACTGGCTTGGGCTCTTCCGTGTCCCTCTAGAGCTAAGGAAGCATCGTCGGACATCATGTCACGCAGCCTTGTGTGCGTGTTTCTCGAATAGCCCATTCAAGAGGCTCCTCTCCAGCATTATCGTGCCTGAAGAGGCAAGTAGCTGTACGAGCCAACCAAGGTGCATGTTTCGGCCCAAGCGGTCGTCATCCACGGCGCTTGCTTAGGCTGCCGTCAGCCTTCTCGTGCCTGACACGGTTAGGTTGGGGGCGATGTTGAGAAAGACAGCTGACAGGTTCGACGGCTTGTTTACTCCAGACGGTGCCATTGTCAAATCAATCGGCGCCCTCGCCCTCCTACTCGGTCTTGTCGCAACGCATGAGCTACCCAAACTGCTACAAGTCGCACCGCCGATGAATCCACAAGGGCAAAGCTGTAGGTAATTTATCGCATTACGCCAACTGCATCGTTCTTGTGATGACGCCCGTTGAGGGCGATGAGCTCGCTCGATAGAGCTTGCCGATGCTCTTGAGCGGACGTCGTTGGGTCTCCCCACCTCAGAATCAAAGCGATCATCAGCAGACTTGCAAGAACAGAAGCTCACCTCATACTTCCGTCCCGTTATGTCGGTCGTGCTTCATGCACCCGCTTGGCGTCCGCCATGGGCCGGTGAAAGGCAAGGTAGCCGTGCTTGCTACCCTCCTCTGAGCTTAGTGAAGTGGCTTTGCGCTGCCTACACCGCTCATATACGGGAGGACGGGCAGGATGACCAGCGCCCGTGTTGATACAGCATGAATGCATGCAATGACACATCAAACTTTGCTAGGCAGGAGTGTCGGAAGGGATGGAAGAGGTAAGTCAAAAGAGCTGCCTTTCTTGTACCTTTCGTCTGTCCCATGGTGGTGCCGTCCGACGACGGATTCTTAGCTTCCGAAGGGTAGTTTTGATCTTTGATCTCGGATGCCTCGTGGTCTGACGGGGGGTTTGCAGGGTTGAAGATGTCGTCAGACTGACAGACGCCCAAACTGAACATCCGAGCGCGTGAGCTTGTGGTAAAATGGAGAATGCGAAAAGCTGTCGCAGCTTCCAGGCTCGGAGCGCATCACCTCAGCCGCGTGGTGTTAGGGAAGAGGATCGGATGGAAGGGTGATGAATGTACCGCGCTAAACCTTGGAGGGAGACATGGAGCTGACATGTACTTGCGTCTTTGGTGAGTCTCACATATTAAGGATAAGTATACGTGACGTTATCGATAGAACGGCTGGTGGGCAGCGCGACTTTGAGGGACTTTGGCCTTGTTATTGTGTTTAATGCGCCGGCCTCTTGTTGACCGCACCTTCATTGCCCACTTTCCCTCCATTTCTCCCTTCTGCACCAACCCCACGTTCTTACAGCCATCAACAAGTACAGGTGTATCCTCCATTCAAGGCGCATTGTTAGGGTCTATTGCGACCTCGATCGAACAACTCAGACACCCCGAATTCATGTAAGGAAAAGAATTCTACAACCCCATGTCGACGGCACTTGCTGCTGGCCCCTCTCCCATGTTTCCCCCCCCCCATCCACACACACACAACCACAACCACACACAACGCGCGCGTTGAGTGCTTAGGTTCTTCACTGCTCGGCCTCTTCCCACTCGTCTCACGCCCCGTTTCCCGTCCCTCTCTCTGTCCCATTCGGGTCAAGCGAAGCTTTCCTCTGACGCGCTTTTGCAGCTGTTACCTCTTGATTTCCCCTATCACGGCTTTCCCGTCCGGTTGACCGGTGTGTAACCATAAGTTGACGATTTGCGCGCCCAAAGCTCGGCCATAAGTCTCAACGACACGCGAAAATCCGTACTGTACCAGCAAAGGCCCGGCTGCCCACGCGCCTCCTCGACGCAGCGCTCCGCACCTCCGCCCCGAGAAGCGCACACAAGTACCTTACCTCTCTTCGCCTTGGGGATACCTGATTCGACCCAACTTCACCCACCCCCATCGCGACTCGCAAACCCCATCTACCTTCCGCCTTACAGGTCGAACCCGCGCCGAGCTTCGAGCACCAACCCGGAGGACCGCGCATATCCACAGCTGCAACAGGGCGATCGAGAAACGTCTTTGCCAGTTCGACGCTACCCTCTCCTTGGACTAGACATTGGCCATTCCTGTGGGACCCGCAAACGCAGCCACCCTCATCCCGCTTTTTTCCAAGTCTCTGTTGCCAAACTCAACCCGGGCAAGGCAGTATACAGGCCACCCCAGGAAAGATCCGTCATAGCCTGAAGTCAAGACAGGCCTGCCAGGGGATCGCGAGTAAAAATAATCCTTCCCAGGACAGCCTACGACAGGATTGACGCACACTTTCTGCAGCTAAGCCGCCAGACTTGCAAGCCCTACGGACCTGCAACGTGTCAGGGAACACATCATCCTAAGCCCGTCGTGTGTGTGAGCTGCAAGAGCCCAAGCAAATTACAAGAACGCCAGCAGCCGCTGCAGGTAGCCAAATATGTCGGACTCCCCCCAATCTCCTCCCAAGGATGTCGACCAAGGTGTACAATCACCGGAAGAGGAACAAATGAACGAGGCTCAAGACCCACAGTCCGGTGGACTCACCTATGAGTTCGAGGTCAAGGAGCAGGACCGCTGGTTGCCCATAGCCAATGGTAAGCCAGATCCCATTTCCCAACGAGATCGAGACAACGGCGACGACGACGATGCTTGACCTGAGAGGCTCCATGTTTGCTTGCGGTTGCTATGACTATGGTCTATGAAGTGGATTGGCCAGTCTGCTTGCTTGCTCTGCGCTTCCATTCGCTGTTTTTTGACATTATTGCGAAATCATTCAATCGAAGCATCATCAAAGACGGCAGCGCAGGGCTATAGAAGCAATCAATGTCTCACGAATCGTCACCAAGGTCGCCAGAAACGACAGGTGCTTCTGGCGGTGAGAAATACGATGAACTTGACGCTAATATACGAAACTTTGCTCCAGTTGCCCGCATCATGAAGAACGCGCTTCCCGAAAATGCAAAGATCGCCAAGGAAGCGAAAGAATGCATGCAGGAATGTGTTAGCGAATTCATCTCCTTCATTACGAGTGAAGGTATGTATAGTTCCTCGTAGCTGCTTTTCCCAAGTTCAGGGACAACTTGATTGAATAGATGTCTGACCTATCACAGCCTCGGAGAAGTGCCACCAGGAGAAGAGAAAGACGGTGAACGGAGAAGACATTCTATTCGCCATGACCTCTCTGGGATTCGAGAACTACGCCGAGGCCCTTAAGATCTATCTCTCGAAATACAGAGAAGTATGTACAGTCCACACATCGGCTCGAAGCCCAGCCGGTATCCCCCTTTCAAACAGGACTCGTGAGCTCAACTGACCATTCCAGCAGCAATCTCAATCCAACAGGGGAGAAACCTCCCACCGTCCAGGCAGCAGCGGCTACGGCGCCAACCCGCCAACAGGAGCGGGAAGCTTCCAGGCCGAGCCTCAAAACAGCGTCCTTGGAGGTCAGCAAGGAGACGGCACTGCCGATGCTCAGGGCTACATGTACGGCGCGCAAACTGGGCACAATGGCACCGGCGGCGCCGACGGCTACCAGTGATGCATTTCGCACCTGAGTGGGCTGTATAGTGTTTTGAAAGGGCGATTTTTTTTTTCCATCTCGACATATATGTACTAGCTGCGACTTGACGACGACCAAGCCCGACGGTAAAGGACGCCTGGACATAAGTTCAAGTCTGTATAAGTACGGAGGCAGGAGGTCTCATGACTGCCTGACCACGGATGGAAAGGGGCACATGGTTGTATATGAGGGCCTCAGGAGTCAGTCATGGGAAGGGGAGCGGAACGGTTAACCCAAAAGTGTGGAGTGGAGGGGATTCGTCTTTTCTTTGACTCTTTGTCTATTTGATAGATTCCCCCCTATGGCGTTGCGATTCAGTAGGCCATGCCCAACCAATTCGTGGTTTCGAGGCATCGGCAGAGAGCAGTTCAGCAAGCATCGAAGCTTTTGGAAACGGGCCCGGGCCGTATCTCCAAAGCACTGGTAGCTACAGCACTTCAGATAGCTTATTATTCCACTTCCGTCGCGTAAATGAGGTATACGGCGTCTTGTCTTTTCTCGTCGTGATCTTGTGCAGCATAATCACGGGTTTGAGTTGCTGGGTATTGCTATATCTATCAACTTCAAACTGCCTATATTTGGTAAAGTGTGTATAAGGTAGCCCGTAAGATATGTTGAAAAAGATGTCCAATAAGAAGCTCAAAGGACGTCGTCATAGGCTTCCAGGTTCCCCAGTATCTTGGCCGCTACTTAGAATTCAACAAGTTCATTGTTCCGTGACCGAGTGTGCACGGTCCAGAAGAATTACAGGGGTCTTGAGTGCTGTGAGCCTGGAGCAGCCCCCCCCCCCAAAGGCAAAGTCTCCGTGGTGGCATGGATGGAAGTCTTCCAGGTCGAACGAGGCACGTGCGCAGCCCCTCCAGTCTCAAAATTTTCCCCCCGTCACAGCCAAACAGAACGGCGGGCAGCCCACTCTACGAAAGGAAGAAAAAAGCATCGGCGGCAGCTCACGCCGAACTGAAACTTTCCCAGGCAACCAACCGCCACCGTACCACGAAATAATCTCGGTCGGCCGACACAACCCACGCCCAGGAATCAACTCATTCTTTCGACGACGACAATAATTCGAAACGAGTCCACATTGTCGCAATAGTCCGAGACATGCATGCCGACTTTCCCTGCAGATCCACGCGCAACACGTTGACCCTTCAATGAGAATTGCCAGACGCCGACCACTAAAGATCTGACCTCGAGCCCGAGCCGCCGAAGGAAAGAGAAAAGACGGAGGAGAGAACAAAAGCCTTGACAACCACAAACAACCCATTCTCATGCGTCCTTTCACCCCCATTTCCAGACATCGGTCTGGTCCGCCACCGAGAACCGCGACGCCAATCAAAAGCATTTTGCGTCAAACGTCTACAGTCCTCGGCCGGAGGAAAGCTGACGAAATCGAGTTCGATGACCCACCCTCGAGCCCAACAAAGAGGCGGAAAGTCCTCATCAACGAAATGAACAACCGCGTCTTTGAGTTTGGCAGTCGCTCCATGGACGAGGTGAACTCGGAAGTGAGGAAAGCGCTGGAGGAGCACCTCATGGGCGAGGACGAGGATTACGACATGCTCAAGGAGATTTTCGCCAACGACAAACAGCGATACCTGCCACCCGTCGCCGGAGAAGACGAGGATACGCTCAAGCCCCAGGAGCTCAAGGGCTACGTTCTGGCGCTGACCAGCTGCGTGCCGCTACTGAAGAATAAGGCCTGCAATGGCCTCGTGAAGACGGTCTTGCAGGTCTCGTGGTTGGGCCGAGACGAGGACTTCTTCAAGGTGTACATCCAGTTCCTGGCCGCCCTTGTCAGCGCCCAGGGATCCTACCTGACGCATGTCTTGTCCATGATTGTCGAGAAGTTCTCCCACTCCAGACAATCTGAGTGGAGCGTTGCCGACTTCCCTACCGTCAGCCGAACAACGATGCGCGAAAGGCTACACACCGGTCTTCAGTACATTCTTCAAATGTTCCCCGCCGCCACACCCGTTCTCCGCGGCCTCCTCGATGCCAAGTTCCCCTTTGACGACGATTCGAAGAAATTGTTCGTTGCGTACGTCAACAACCTTTTGAGACTGAAGGAATACGCGGGAGATTTGGACCTCGAAATTGTCGACGTGCTGCTGTCACGACTGGTTAAGATTGATGTCCAGATGCAGACGGATCTCGACGACCTCGACGACGACCTCACGGCATCGGTTGCCTACGCACTGAGCAAGTCCCTGGACACCGGCTCATGGGAGGGCGACGAGGATGCTTCGGACGATGACAGCGACGACGAGTCTGTCGATAGCGATGATTCGGACTTTGACGATAAGGAAGAAAAGATCCGCGTGGTCAAAGGCAATGTCGAAAAGCTGGATGCCATTCTCGATACGCTATTCGCACACTACACACCTCTCTTCGAGAACCCCGACTCGGACCAAGCATGGGAGCGGTACGCCTTGCTCGTACAGTCGTTTGGAAAAATTGTGCTGCCAACGTATAAGTCCCGTCATACCCAATTCCTCCTTTTCCACTTTGGCCAAATGTCAGCTCGCCTGCGAGACACCTTTGTCGGCAGTCTGATGCACATCTTTGGTTCGCAAAACCGACCGAGCTTCGTGCGTCAAGCGGCGGCAACATATCTTGCCGGATTCATGGCGCGAGGAGCCCACGTGCCGTCCGACTTGGTGCGTACAGTTTTTGCGCTCTTGCTCAAGCAGATGCAAATTTACCGCCTCAAACACGACGCGGACGCTCGAGGACCGGATCTGAGAAGACACCAGATCTACTACGCACAAGTACAGGCCGCGCTGTACATGTTCTGTTTCCGCTGGCGCGACTTGATCGTGTCTACACCCGAGTTTGTCGACGCCGAGGATCCCGCATCGTATCTTGGCCACGAGTTGGAGTGGATGCAAGGCATGAGAGAAGAACTCTCTGCGAGCGTGTACTGCAAGATGAACCCTCTCAAGATCTGCGCACCGGCTATTGTTGAGGAGTTTGCTACACTATCACACAAGCTCGGTCTCATGTACATCTTCCCGCGTGTCGAGGAGAACAAGCGGATTAGACTATCACAATTCGTCTCAGATACATACGGCACAGGCGGCGCTCTCCGAGATACGGGCTCGGGAGCACAAGACGAGGAGGCATACCAACTCGATCCCTACTTCCCTTTCGACCCTTACCAGCTGCCCGTGAGCAAGCGATGGGTTCAGAACGATTACGTGCACTACCAGGCTATCCCGGGTCTCAACATGACAGCCGATAGTGACAGCGAAGACGACGACGACGAGAACGTTCCGGAGACGGACGTCGAGGAGGACACTGCTACCGCCAGCGAAGACGAAGACGACGACTGAAGCGGCTCAGTGAGCGGAGGAAGATCAAATGCATTCATACGGCGTTGGGCGGTCACCAAAAAGTAAAAAGCGAATCTGGGCCAATTTGGCATTGATTATATGATTCCCGCAAGGCGTTGGGCGTGAAGAGGAGATTTCAGATGTTGGGAGTGGTGGAATCGTTTATGGAAGACCATGTCGAAGATGTTGAAGAAGTAATCTTCTGGATCGCTCTAGGGGTGTGAGCACCTAGGATAGGAGATGGCTGTCGTCAAGCACAAGGTTGTTAGAGTATAATGAAATCAAATCATTGTCAACACTTGTTCTCAGCCCTCTCAGCCGCTGCCCATTCCTTGAAGCTGGATGTCACCTTATCAGTGACAAACCGTTTCCCACCTCCAACTTTCGGCGGTTGCTGTGATTTGAAAAGACGGAAAGGGATGCCCACTACCTTATTAGGGTTTTATTAAGGCAACTCAAATTCTTAGATTTTATCGAGATTGCAGCTGAGGTGACACTGCCTCCCCCTGATGGGCCAAGGTACGGGTGTTGGGCGCCAGGCACGTGAGGTGATCGGCCACTTGTGCTTCAATAGGATAAGCGCCGTCCCTCCTCCTCGCTCCCCCTTCCTCCGCCTGTCGGCTAGTTTCCCTTTGACGTGCCACCATGCCACCCGGCAGACGGACGAAACCCCCCCCCCAACTAATCCCTGAGAGGGGGCGGTTTTCTGTGCTGTGCTATGCTGTGCTGTACGCTGGCGCTTCGACTCGATAGCCCCTGCCAATGGAAGTTTAGCTGTTCTGCCGCCTCTATCTCCATTCTCCGGGCCCTTTCCTCCTGAGGAGCTGCGGAGGTGCGCTGAGAAGGAGGAGAATGAGGGTCTTCCCCCCCCGGGCGGCGGGTAGAAGAAAAGAAAAAAGCGCCCATGGGATTTGGAATTCGCCCATCTTTAAGGCCGGCGAAATCCCCTCACGACGGTCCCCTTATCATAGTTTCAAAACTCCGCTCCGAACGGGGGAGAGCATTTCCACCTTACCTGAAAACGAAAGAGAGAAAAAAAAAAACGTGACGACACTTTTGTGAGCGATCAATCGGAACTCATCGACGCCAACCAGCATCCCCGCTCAACTCATCTCATCATCCAACTCACCTCACGCACTCACTATTGCACTCTCATCTCACACACACTCACCACAGAACACCGACACCCCCCACCCATTGTCGGCGGTGAAGCGCAGCGCCAGCTTGTGTGTCCTTCTCAATTGAAATCACGGTGTGTCGCGGCAATGGCGGATAACCAGGTGTGGCTGCAGAACGAGGCTTCGGTGAGGGCGGGGGAGGGGCAACAGCAGCACATCACCCAACACCAACCCCAAGACCAGCATCAGCAGCAACGGCAGCAATATGACAGGTCAACGAGCGGCGACAGTCGAGCCGGCTTCGAGGAGTACTGGAGGGAAGAGAAAGAGAGTGAGAGGGCTGGGAAGGTACAGTTCGTGAACGAGGGGCCGCCCCATCATCAATCATCGTCGTCGCCGTTGGATCACCAATCGCAGCTGCTTCCGGGAGGAGGAGGAGGAGGTGATCAGGAACGGCAGGGTTCTTGTGAGTCTTCTGTTTGTTTGGAATTTTTTCTTCTGAACTTCATGTTTGTAAGATTGTGTCTTGCAAAGTTGCGACGACACTGACACCCTTCCCTCGTCCCGTCTTATCCTTGATTCCACATGCCGCTCGTCCCATTTCTTATTTACGGATACCTTCTTATTTCCTATTCTCCTTCCGCGCCGTTTTTTGACTCACTATATCCACCTACCTTTCTCGGCCTCCATGATTCCACACCCCTTCAATGCTTGTTTTTTGTGTTTTCCTTTCGGATACCGGTCCTTCCCTGTAACATCGTGGCCCGCCCATCCGCTCCCCCGATCGACAAGTGTCCCGCCAGGGTCCTGGTGAATCGCATCAATTATGTTGGTGATTTCAGTGATCTTGTGTGGAACCACCTCTCTTCCCCATAATCAATGTCCATGGATGTCTCAGAGAGAAATACATGGGTGGTTCAACAACCGAGCAATCCAGAAGTGGTGGATGGTGGGATGGGGAATGGGCTTTGTGAGTTATGCTTTGTCAAGCCCATGCCGGATCCCTCATGATTCCTCATCATCATGCCACCCGCATCACACCCGAAACCTTTTGTGGCGTAGACCCTTCCCGCCGCTAAGAAGTCCGAAGTTGGTGTGGTGGATTCCATATGCTTGGGGATTCGCGAACGAACCGATCACAACCCGCTGCTTGCTTCCTGCTTGGTGCTTGGCCTGCCCTACACTACATGCTTACCTCGCCATCCCATTCCATTACCCAATGAATCACGTTTTCTGTTCGTTCTGGAAAAGCCGCACGAGCAATTCCGGGGGATGAGAGTTGGTTGTCCCTGCATCCCATCCCTTCCCGACCTGATTCCAACGTCTCCCGGCTCGACGGTTGCCCGATGCGGGCACACCGCTGGTCATGGAGCCCGCGGATCACGTCTAGACGAGGCTTGGCTCCTGGAATCAATCCATCTCTATTCGGAGACTACCGTCTCTTGGTCGTCCTCACTTCACTAACACACCCACACTTGTCCCCATGTCCAATATTCCCATGCCATCTTTACACTGTTTAGATTCCCCATTACTTCTAAGCTCCCGTCTTGGCTCCCATTCATATATGCTTATATCCTCCTTCCCTCCTTATTTCCTTCTCCCACGTGGAAACCCCATTACTTGAGGAAGAGGCCGCAGATCTCTGGACTAGGGAACTAACTCATCCAATTCCTAAACTCAGCAGAGTCAACAACACCCGGCCTCACGCCCGCAGAAACGGCCAAAGAAAAGGCCAAGCTCCGGCGTCAGCAGGTCCGCAAGGCCCAGATCCAGCACCGCACCCGCAAGGCGAACTACATCAAGCAGCTCGAGCTCGACGTCTGCAAGTTTCGAAATATGATCGCCGCCGCCGAGAAGGAGGTCCTCGCCTTCCGCCGCGAAAACGAGGGCATGAGGGGCGCCCTCACCGCGCGCGGGTTCGCGGTACCCCCCGAAGGACCAAAGGGGCAAAGCTACGTCATCGACGAGGTGCAGATTCGCGGGTCGCAGGAGCCCGCGGCGGTTCCGGCGGAGAGGGAAGAAGTCTCGATGGTACCGACGGTGGTCCAACAGCAGCAGCAGCAGCAGCAACAGCAGGAATTACCTCCCGTCCCGGCACAGCGACAACTTTCCCAACATTCAGAGGACCAAGCACAGGACTCGGCGGCTGCTGCCCCGGAAGAATCCCAGGTGGCGACATATCAACCTCAGACTCTGGACTACGACCCATACCCGCCCGTCGACCTCTTCGCCGATGTCAACATGGGCGAGGTCACAGTCACGATGCGCAAGGACGACGCCCTCGGCACACCGTGCTTCCAGATCTCGTCGCCGTCGGCCGCGGTCGCGTATACCCAGTCACAGCCGCCGTCACCAGATCAGTTGTCTGCGGAAGAGGAGATCATTGCCATCAACCTCATTCTCGCGTACGTTGAAACACCTTTCCACCACCCCACGTTCGTGATTCATGGAAAGCACAAAACGACTTATACTAACTTCTCTCAACACACAGCATGGAACACATCTGTTGGAACCACTTCCACCCCCGCCAATTCCCCACACACGGCGACACCTGCAAAGCCGCCTCAGGCCACACAATGATGGCCTCGACCCTCTGCATGTCCTCCGCCCCGGCCCGCGTCTACCGCACCATCCGCCGCGGCGAGGCCGAGACCATAGCGCACACCTGGCAAGCCGACACGGGCGCCGGCTCCTCTCTGTCGCTGAAATCGTTGCTGGCCCTTGCCAAGACGCTGAACCCGGGCGATATCGAGCTCACGCCCGTGCAGGCGTGGTTCGAGCTCGCGGCGCGGTACGGGGCCGCGGCGCTGATGCGGGGCAATGTGATTGAGGCGTTGAAGAGGGAGTTTTGCGGGGTGGTGGATTGTATTCACTTTGGGGCGATTATTGAGAGGGATGCGTTTGAGAGTGTTGTTGCGAGGGTTATGGAGCAGGTTGGGGTTCCGGAGCTGGAGTGGGAGATGGATGTTGATGAGGGGGTTGGGGCGGGAGTGGGAGCTGGGGGTATGGTGTATGGTGCGCAGCAGATTACGGCTTGAAAGTGAGGGTTGTTCAGAGAGTGAAAGAGAGGGAGAGTGGGAGTCCGTGACGAAGCATTTTTGCAAGAGTGGAAGCGCTGCCTGGCTTGGATTGCATATCGTTTATTGCGCCAAGATGATGAATTTACGACGTTTTTACGACCTTACAAAAGGGGAAGGAGAATAGGATTTAGGCCGCATATTTCGCATCTCTAGACTGAAGACCATGGGATGAGAGAGACGGATACACTTTGCACAGAGAGAGCATGGTCCCCAAGGTAGGAAGGGGTGACTTCTACAAAGATACATATCAATTAAGAGAGAGTAGTTCAGCTCATAAACTTCAACTGAGATATTGGTGTTTACTCGCAGTACATCGATCAAGAGCCTCATGCAACTGCCAGTCGGCGATGGGAAACGGAGCCAGTACGCTCAAGCATACAGCCCACTCGGACTTAACCCAGAGAGATAAGATGAAAAGAAGAAAAAGAAAAAAGACAAAGTCTCTGACGCTACACCTTCCAACAACGGAGGTCCTCCTTCGGCTTCAGTATGAAAGTATGGAGTGAAGTCAAACGGTTTGTCAACGGGGCGCGCCAAGCACCTCCGTGATTGGACGGCCAGACTCCTGCTGCTGCTCATGTGAGAAGGTGGAGAAACATATGCAATGCATGTGGAATCTTCTTTTCGCCACATGGAAAACGTAGGTAAATACCGTAAGCTTGCGCAAGTATCCGTACCGTACCTACCGTACCTCACCAATCAGACTTGCCATCTTGCCAAATAGTATAAGCCAAACGTACTCCGTACTTTTGAAGGAAAAAAGGGGGAAAAAAGAAAAAAAGACTAAAACTCCACATTTGTCTTACAATGGCGGAGAGCCAGAATGCAGAGGACCACGGTAGGCGACAGAGGTTGGCTGGTTGGCTATAGGAATGTCTCTATGTATGTAATACGTCGATCCTCAGGTACTTCAAAAAAATCTTTGGAATCATTGTTTCCCTCTTCATTCACCGCTGTAACCTCAGCATGCAGGGCACAGCAAGGAAGGGAAAACTGGGAAAGAGCGTCTGGTGGAGAAAGGGAAAAGGGGGTCCCTGTTCTCCGTTCCACAGTCATCGACAATCCTGTATGGAAAACCATTTGTTCAGATCCGAGGGCTTGCATTGGGAAAAGAGAGCCAACCGCTTTGAAATGGAAAAGCGGTTGTGGCAACCTTTTCCCCAGCAGCACTACAGAATGCGGAAAGGACCGTGGTCTGAGGTTACACTGTTTCTTTTGTTTCTTCTTGAAGAGATGAGTAGCGGTGAGATGATCCATCTTCCCAGTCTATAGGGCTGTGATTTTCCGAAGAACACTTCGTATCACCAGAATGGGGCTACTAGGCAGTTGCGCTGCGACGACAATGTTACTGGTTTTAGTAAAGTCGATATGGGGAGGACCGGTTTACTGCAAGCTTCTAGTGGCAGTAGGAGACTCCGCCCAAGTCAATGCTCAGCTACTTCGAGACATATTTACAAAGAGATTGTGGTTAACACTCGATGCAGTTGGGCAATGCAATGGAGCGGCCCCAGAGCACATCACGTTCCAAGTGGCACCACACAATTTTGAATTTTAAGTGATTATAATATATACTAAAAACTAGTCTGCAGAAATGCCAAGTGTGGCCTCGTTGTTGTAGGAGATTTACCCAAGTCCTTGATGGACATCATCATGAGTATTTGTATTCCCTTTGAAGAACGGAAAATAAAACTCCCAAATCATATTGTCGCCATAGTGACTGTGTATATGCCTGTATAGACATGTGTTATCATCCCTAGGTCTAAAAGAAAGAAGATGCCCGAGAAGAAGAGAAAGTGTGGGATATCGCTTGTGAAAAAAAAGTCTGGTAAAATGAAAAGAGCTTCTGGGACACGAAGCTCAAGTCTGTTTGGAAACAAATGACGCTTTGAATGTTTTGGAATTTTAGACACCAGGAACCTTGAAGCCGTTGACTTGTGGCCATTTGCCCACACCGGCGGGGTCGCCACCGATGCGGACATAGACACCGACAGCGGGAATGCCGCCGTCGAGGACGAAGAACTGGTACCAACCCGGAGGGGCGATACCGGCGTTGGGAGGCGCTGTGACGGTGCAAGTGGTAGGCCCGCAGGTGACAGCGGGGAAGAGAGTGCGAGCACCCATTGAGTTACCATGCGTCGATCCCACGGCACCGAGCATGGAAACCTTGATGTCGCCGTTGAGGGGTGCGTGGCCGAGGTTGACAGTGATTTGCTGGCCGTAGCTCCAGTCCGTGTTGGCAATGGTGAAGGTAGGGCGAGTCTTGCCAGAGGTGAGGTAAGGAGGCTTGAAAACCTCGACACGGTACTCCTGGGGGTTGACGCCGTCTTCGGGGTCAGAACCACTGACAAGAACGCGACCGTCGAGAAGAGTGATGGACTCTGAGTGGTAGAGACGAGCAACGGTACTGTTGGCCATGACTGTGATACGCGAGCCAATCTTCTTCGAGGGGTCGTACAGAAGAGCATTGTAGTTGGGGTCGTTGGCGAGACCGAACCCGGCAACACCGTGCTGAGCACCGTTGTTGATGAGATAAGTTCCATCAGGAAGGGGGGCAATGCAGGACATGACACGACGCGAAGGCATGCGCTCAATCACCCACTTCGGGTTGGTGCCTTCGGGCTCAATGGAAACGCAGTTGTCCATGGCAGTGGCAGGGCCGTCGGTAGAACCACCGCAGATGAGGACGCCAAGCGGATCGCTGTAGGGAGCGTGCTGAGGAAGAAGAACGCCAGTTCCCTCAAGAGGATAGGTGCGGCCACCCAAGGGGTTGTTGACAGCACCGGGGATGTTGGGGAGAACCGTCTTGGTGTTGAAGGTGACGTGATCAAGGATTCTAGCCTCGTTCCAGTACGCAACGAAGATGTCCTGACTGGGGAGAACAGCAACGAAGGGATACAGATTGTTGGGATCGGTTCGCGCAAGCCAGTCCATGTACAAAGGCTTGGTACCAGTGGGGGGCAGAATCTCGAGGGTAGGCACAGCACGGCCGTTGGATCCCTCCTCACCGCCGATAACCATGATGGAGCCGTTGGCCATAATCATGGCAGAGGGATACCAGCGGCCATCCTGAAGGCGCAGGTTGGTGACGTCCTCCTGCCAGTCGTTGGTGCCAGGGGTTCCAGGCTTGCCATCGGGCCAGTAGAGACGGACGCCGTAGGTGGAATCACCAGACCATCCACCAATGTTGAGCTGGCGACCGGCCTTGTCGGGAAGGGTGATACCGGCAGAGCAGAAGATGTCTGTCTTGACGTGCATCTCTCTCCAAGCCTTGCTGAAATCCGAGACAAGGGAAAGGTCGAGCTCGTAAGCGCCAGTGGAGTTAGGCGGGCCAGTGCCGAACTTCTCGAGGAAGGAAACCTTACCAGTGACGGTCTCCATCGTCATCAGGGGGATGGTCACACCGCCAATGAGGTTTTCGTAGACACCAGCAGTGGCGGCATCTGTACCGAAGTTCCATGAGTAGAGGGGCGTGGTGCCAGTCCAGAAGTATGTCGAGAGGCGAGCGCCACCACCGCAGATGGAGCTACGGTTTCCAGGGCAAACAATGTTGCACTCGGATTCGGCAACAAAGAGGGCCTTCTGGGTGACAATATTGGCGGGGTCGCCACAGTAGCACTCTTCACCGTACTCAAGTCCGGCTGCCATGTAGCCATACTGGGCGCACCTGTCCAAGCACATACCGGGAGTCATGGTGCCAGGGAAGAAGTTTTGCCAGTAGAAAGTGCGCGGGTTGGGTTGAGCACCGACATTATCCTGTACACAGCCCTGGTAGGTCCAGCTTCCATTGAAGCCACTTCGCTGCGGAACGGGAGGAGCGTACGTCTGGGGAGTGCCCTTGGAGATGATTGTCATGCGGTTGCCGCCACCACACATCTCAGAAGCCTTACCACCACAAGCAGTGTTGCAGGTTGTCGGGTCAGATGCGAGAGCACCGCCGCCGTAGATGGCGTTACCGCAGAAGCACTGAGTGTGGTACTCGGCACCGGCGACCGTGTAACCGGCATCGGAGCAGGCCTTGGCGCAAGAAGCGAGTGTCATGGCGGGGTCGTCTTGAAGCTGGTTAGGCAGAATGCGGCCGTTCAGGTTGTCCACCCAGCAGCCCTGATTAGTCCAGCCAGTAGGGTATCCAGTGCCAGAGGGAGCTGCAGTGGAGGTGGTAGATGAAGCGGCACCAGTCACTGAGCCACTAACAGATGACGATGAAGCTGACGAGGATGAGGAAGAGGACGAAGACTGGGTTGCGCTTCCAATGGTGTAGACAGAAAGGCGGTTGCCCTCTCCGCAGTACTGGAACTGGTTGCCCATGCACTTCATAGAGCACTGGCTGGACGGGGCAGCGATGGAGCCGGTGGCAAAGGAGTTACCACACCAGCACTCGCGAGAGTATTCAACACCAAAGAAGGTGTTTCCGACGCAGAAAGCGGCGCACTTCTCCAAAGTCATGTCGTCGGAAGCGGTTGTCTTCGCGTTGAGAGCACGAGCGTTTGTCGCTTCAGTCTGGCAGCCATACCACTTCCAAACGCCGACCGTTGCGGGTTGACTGGGGCCAGTCGGGGTGGGGGTCGCGGAGCTGGAAGAGACTACAGTGCTTGAGGATGAGACCACGCTGCTAGAGGAAGAGACGATACTACTGGATGAAGAGATGACGCTGCTGGAAGAGGAAACAACCGTGCTCGAGGAAATGCGGGTGCTTGAGCTGGAAGTTGAACTAGCAGTTGGCGCAGGGGTTGATGTTGAGGTGGGAAGAGGCTTATACTGGTGCTGGAAGTCGTAGACGTTCAATCGGTTGGGGCCACCACAATACTCAGAGGAGTTGCCGTTGCAAAGCATGTTGCAGCCATCGACGGCAGGGGCGCCGCCGTTGGAGATGGTGCTGCCACAGTCTGGTGAAGAAATGTTATGAGTTTGCCATGAGAATCACCAGCACGATGACGACTTACAGCATTCGCCAGAGTATTCGACACCAGCAAGGATGAAGTTAGCATTGGCGCAAGCAGCAGTGCACTTTGCAACGGTCATCTCGCCACCAGGGATGCTTCCGATTCCGTAAGTGAGAGAACGGCCGGTAGTTCCCTCTCTATTAATCTTGTCAGCTGTCAAGTTCTCAAGTTTTGACGAAACAACAGGCAACTCACGAGTAGCATCCAATGCTGCTCCAGTCGCCAACACCAGGATTAACAGAGGGGCCCATGATGAGGGATGTTTGATATAACGACAGTCGGTTAGGGCCTCCACAAGGCTGAGTAGCGTTTCCGCTGCATGGCGTAGAACAGTCGGCCTCGTTGGCAAGAACGCCATCTTTGGCCAAGGCGTTGCCGCAGTAGCATTCGTTGTAGTACTCAGTACCAGCGTAGGAAAAGCCCTTGTTGTAGCAGTACGTTGTGCAGGCATCGTTGCTCATCTGTCCGTTCGCCGTGCCGGCATCGGAGATTGTTCGGCCAACATCGCTATTCCCCGGTCAGCACTCGACACTTCCTCAGAATCTTTTTTCCACTAGGTATCATACACATAGCAGCCCTTATAGGTGTAGCCGTGAGGAAGGGTTGCGGGAGGCGCCGCGCGTTTGTAAATTCCAGGCGGATAAGCGAGAGCATTTGTGAGAGAAGAAGCAGAAAGAACAACGAAAGACAACTGTGTGGTCCTCATGGTGACAAGTGTGTGCCAAGAGGCAGAAACCAACACAAGATGGTGATACTAAGGAGTGTATAGAAGAGGTGAAGGGTGAAGAGAGAACAGGTGCACAATGGGCCCGGGAATCATGAAGGTATATATGAATTTCGATTCACGGCATGGGTAATCTCATGTGGCAGCGAGCGGCCCAAGACGAAGGAGCCCTAGGGGAACGGGTACGTGATAGACCCGACTAGGCTCCCGGCGACTTCTCACACCTCGAGAGAGGCGATGTCCTCCTCGTGGGCCAGGGGTGCCTGGAGGGTCACGACGGAACAAAATCCAAGAAGGGGACTAGGGGTTGCCATGCTCGCATGGAGGACTAGCACAAAAGAGTATCAGTAAGGCTAGCCGGGTAAGCTAAATGGGTGTGAGCTGTGCACTTGCAGCATAAAGTGTGGGATTAGCCTACGTGGTGGGCCGGGAGCTGACTTCTTGTTGCCATGCTGGGATGAAGTGAGATGACCGAGGCTACTCGGAGGGGGTGGAAGAGAGAATTGGGATATTGTTAGGTCGTCAACCGGGCTTGAGGGCTGAAGGCGATACACACGAGGCGAGAAACAATGAAAAGATTTAGGCGCTAGCCGTGAATAACCTCTGGACTCATTACGCCTTGGTAAGGAAACGTTAGCCGCCCTGGACCGTTCTAGTGGTGCCGCTCTCGTTATCCCCATGGCCGTGTCTGTGGCAGATGAAATTGTCCGTCTCCTTCACACCCAACTTGAGCGAAGCGCCTTGAGTGTGCGAGGTCGTAAGAAGGGGCAATATGGGAGAGGGGCGTTCGAGAGCCCAAAGTGGGAGGCTTCGTGGCTTGGGACTAAGAGACGGTTGTATGGACAGACGAGAAGCAGAAAACGCCGGGCTCCTCGACCAGCTCTTGGCCCAAATGACAACCTTGACTATGTGGAGATTAAGCATCAGACGCAGGGAGGTGGGCAGAAAATACCAGGCAGGACGGTGCATGTGCTGACTTTGATGCCATTCGTTCGATTGAATAGTGATGCGAAGTTGTGTGTTGTGTTTTCTCCAAGATGCGCTTTGGGATCAGGGTCGTCGAGCAGGCTAGCGTCAGAGGGGTTCGTACCCCGGGTACCTTGGGATGATGTGGGGTCTGGTCACGCAGGGGCCATCCTAGTCAGCACTTGGCCATCTCTCCTTTCGGCAAGGCGTTCCTACTGGCAAGGGGCAAGTGCCTAGCAGGGAACTGATGCTGTTTATTGTCATTCTTAGCCAGTGTATTCACACGGAGTACCTTACCCAGGCAGCGACGGGAGTAAGATACGAGGAAGCTGTAACCGTTGTAGATGCAGAGTTCTTTCATGCACAATTTTCGTGGCTGCCATACGAGTAAGAGACTTCGCGTTTACGGATCCTGGTTGGCACCAATGAAGGATATCCTTACTCATCCAGGATGGAGGGTGTTTGTTTGCTTGCTGTATCCATTGCCTCATGGCGGCGGGATCCTCGGTGAAGAAAACTCCGACATCCACCGCGGTCCCATGAGCAGATCATCTTCATCCCAAAACCATGCCGGTCCATGATCTCGATACAGGATCACAGGACAATAGTCACGCGTCAAACATGCGGTCGTGAAACTCCAGACTCACCAGGTAAGGTAGAAGTTGTCAGTGAGGCATCTGAACCCCAACGCCAAAATCATTATTGCTCTGCTCAGTCATTTTATCTAGAGCACCATAAGTAGCCATCTTGGCTGAGCCCCAAGCCGATTTTGGGGCTCAGCCGATATAATGGAGCTGAGATATAGTGCCGGCACAAATGCAGCCTCTTTGGAGTTGCTGGTTCTTCTGTGGTCGATATCCTAGAGATGGACGATCTAGATCTTCAACTACTTGTCCGCGACGTTGTGATTCACCAGCCGCATCCAAATTTGGAGCATGATCGTATCCGTTTCGACAATTAAGAATTTCCATTTACGTTTGGGGCCCGAGGCGTTCATGGTTGGCGTCAGTGGAGCTCTGTGACGGTTGACCAGACATCAATGTCATTGTGGGCTGTAAGAACAAAGGCAATAATTACTGCTGTGGTACCGGATGCTTGGGAACTTGTTTTCTGCCAAGAAGTGTCAAAGAAGAGAGCGCAGCTTTCCCACTGATTCGGTCAGTTGGTCGTAGTCCTCATCCGAAGCCTAGCAATCACTTTCTTGGCTTGAGATTGACAGGAGGAAAACCCCCTCCTAGAATGTGTCCAATAACCGAGACCCGTTAAGCCATTGCGATGCGAGTTAGACGATGGCCAGTGCTTCTTGTCGGTTTCTGCCATCAGACGATACGAGCTGTTAGGTAGTTGCTGACTTGCTATAGATTGGACGAGTCAAGACGGGATGACTTGACTGTTTCTTCGACTGGCATCCCGACGGGCGGCAACCAGGTCCCCTGACCCGTGTTGCGGAATCGCGGAAGGAGAGATCCCTGCGACTCCACTCTTAAAAGGTACGTATCTGCATCTTCGGTGCCCTGGCACCCTGACATCCTGGCTACCTTGATCCAGATTAGGTTAAGTGGGTAACGTGGGATCGAATGCGCCCCTGGATGGGAAGGAAAAGGGGGTGGATGAAAGAAGGTGTGAGATTGAGTCGCTACTTCCAGTTCAGAGGCCGTAATCCTGTGCCACCTTCCTGCTGTTCAACATTCGATGTTTCCCGCCCACGTTCATCTGACACTGGCAACTGTCTCATTGCCCAAAAAAGAGACTGCCGCCGCCTATCTACCTAATCAACAAGGTACCAAGCTACCTACGAATAGGCGGGCTTCCTCCCCTTCCTTCCGTCAGCGGAATCCAGTGGGAGTAAGGTACATCCCGAGGCCTAACACAGGAACGTCTAGTGTGTATCCGTCCCATTCTCCGAATCCCCCGGCGGCCACACCGTCCACAAATACAAGAATAAACTCGAACTGAACCACGCTACCAACGACACGGTAACGAGCCTCGCCCGTCGCCAACAGACGTAAAGATGCGGTCGGTTGGGGGCGACTAAACCTAAATCTTTGAAGATATCCAGCTGCTTCGGTATCGCATCACACTATCCAGTTCAGCCTTGGAAACCGGCATGGGAACTGTGTACCGACCTGCAGTTCGTGGAACACATCGCAGCAAGTTTCTTTTCACTTTTCGATCCAGCATACGGCAAGGCGCTCCCCAGGCTTCTGACGAACACCTGGAGGTCACATTCCCCCGCTCTAGACACAACTCCCTGCTCTCAGCTACGGCTGGGGGTGCAGTTCTTGTTTCGACCTGGCCAACTCTCTCAAAACTTTCTCCACTTTGGCGCTGCAGGCGCAGATTGCCCGGTTCATATGAGGTATCTGACCAGCTCGCACTCGGTCGGAGCTTTGCTATCCGTATCATCTCCGCCATCATCTGCTGTCGTCGAGCCGCCTACACTTCGGGATAGCTGAGGCCATGCAGGTGTCATTATTGGCAAATGCTGACCACCACCTAGGAAGTCTGCATTAGCATGGTGCTCGCCGAGACAACCTTATCGGCCGGAAACTTGGCACTTGATCGATGCGGTTCTCATCCTCGGCAGAAGAATGCGGGTGATCATGGCCTCAACGTACTTGGAAGCAGTCAAAAATCGAATGTCTGGACGCACTGGTCGGCTTTCTTTGTGATGATACCACCAAATGAGTATTTTTATTGGGACGTATATACTTGCAACGGGCTACAAAACAGCCGGTCGACCGCGATGAAGCCACAAATAACTAGAGCGACAAAAATCTCGACTGAACCGCCCCCACGGTTACTCGTTCACCACCCTCAAATGAGTCCAACGACTCAGTTGCCGGGAACTGTCCCAAACGCTGATCAACTCTATTTGAGTCGACTAGATACTTGGCCCGGTTCAATAGCGCCAGCCAAAACCAGCAGCGTTGGGCGAGGCCACGGCCAGCCTCGACAGCCCCGACAAGCCGCAAGCCACTTCCTGTGTCGCCTTACCTCTTCCTCTTGCGTCGATAATACCAACGCCTCCTGCCTCTCTACATGGTATGGGACGCTTCTCTCGACCATGACTGCAGTGTATGCTTGGACCTGTTCTTGGGGTTGCAATCTGGTATAGTGGCCAAGCCAACCAATGCCAAGCTGGTCTTTCTGTCAGATGTGCAGGAGCTGACAGCCATCGTAACGGCACGTATGCATACAATGCATGACGATGTTACTTAGGAACCTCGTATCCAAAACCCATTCTCATAGCTCGCGGGGTCTTGGATGGCCTCTCCGTCACGATACAGGTGGTAGCATTGGCCGAATTGCATAAAGCTGGCCAAGAAAATTTGCAACCAAGATCCAAAAAGTCCAGTGTCGACGACTGAGACAAGTAAGACAATCCGTGCGTTCTTCATACCCATACTGTCATCTTTGACGCTGTTGACATGGCTCGGAGAGATTTGTCCAAACGAACCTGGGCGTACTCTTGACTTTCCGTCTCCGCCACTCATCAATGTCTCTGAGCTTGTCTAGCCTTACATCAATTGCCGCCAATACCTACTAAAGTTTTCTCACTGCCGACTTGAACCAGTCAAAGTTACGGACACTATGTGGTAATTGCCTGCAGAGCAACTTGACCAACAGCCGAGTCCCAGTGGTTTGGGAAAGCACTCGGCGGCGTCGAAGGTGGCCAGCGCCACCCTTGCTGGTTCACAGCGAGGGCTTGAGGTGCCGTAGCCCAAGACATCGGGACGACAAGTTGCGTTCTTTGCTCTCATGTTCTGGGCCAGCATTGCCTTTCTTTGCCTGCCGGTCAACGGCCATGACTTCCATTTCGGGAAGCAATGTTTGCCGATGCTGACGTGCTGCTTCCTAGCGGTTACCGCCAAATATTGAGGACCCAGAGAGAAAAGCCCTCTTGGCTCAGCTTTTGCTTCCACAATGCATCTAGCGCTGGGATATGAGACGGCCATGGCCGACGTCCCCCGACATTTTAACATTAGGCCTACGCGGAACCCCGCCCTACTACTCCGTACGCCGATGCCTTATCTTTGGACTGAGTCGGCCGGAAGCTCCCAAGAGTCTAATCCAGAGTCGCGGATTTTGGAAACGGGATCTATCAGCTCCTCCCTTCGACGGTTCGACCCCTGACTAGTGGCTCTGTCCGCAAAGCTGTGCTCTAGAATTGTTGGCATCGCTAGCCCAAACAATAGTCTGTTTCCTCCTCTCAGCTCTCCACACTAATCACTCACATCTTCAGCCTCCAAACGCTGTTTGATTTCCGCCAAACGCTACCAAATGGAAAATTCTCGCCACTGGTGAAATATCAGATTCGTGATTGACAACAGCGATGAAGTCTGCAGTGTGGATCACTCACTCTGACAGATGTGCAGGCCTCTTGGCAACAGTCGGCTTTTGGCCCATCCGAACTCGAGCTCTCGCACAGACTGCGGAGTTAAACACAGGCAGCTCTACTTGTAATCCATCTTCTTGCGAGTTGAAGGGTTCGTCCGAAGACTGGTCCACTTGCCAAGTGCCACCATCGCCACCCGAGCGCTCCTGAAGCTTAGATCTCGCCCACGGTCCCTTACCTACTTGATTGAGCCTCGAGGGATGATTTGATCACGGACCTGCACTGGCTTTCTAATGGATCCTCATTTCCACATTGCCAATCAATTGCACATCCTCGATAAACCCTTGATGGACTGCTATCGGACCTTCTACGCAGCAGAACTCCATGGGCTCCGACAGCCTGCTCTTCCTGCATCCGCACTGCGTTGGCATATTTGCCAAGCAGCAAAAGTAGAAGCCATTTCTCTCGGCATGAGATCTCGTGGTGATACCAAGCTTTGTGGCATCAGACTGGGAGCCCTGTGCTGGCTTCAGGTGCGGGGGAAGCTTCGAGTCGATTGCGAAAGTGCTTGGGAGCGGCCATTGGTGTACGCCACGATAATAAATGTATTCGCTGTTTGGCACGAATTTATCGAACTTAAAGAGCGCATGATGTCCCCGTCGATCGAGCAAATTGTACGTGTGCGACAACAGAGGGATATCATTAGTTGACCGACTCCGACCGCCTTGTCCAACGAACAGGTTTCCGAGTGTCACCAGCGTACAAAGTGCTTGACCGCGACTTTAAAATAGCCTTCTTCGACAACACAAAACGAGTCCGAGGCGCCATCCTGAGACAGAAACGGATGATGTCGCGGGAAGCTCAGCCGGGCAATATAGACCAGCCATCTTTTCGAGTCCCAATGTCTTGCCGGCTGTGACGGCTACGAAAGACCAGAACGCGATCCCCGACAGCCAAGTCTACAGACCATTACACCTTTAAACAAACAAGACACCCTAACACACCGTTGGACGACCCGCAGCCCTACCGATGTCACCAGTCTGGGCGCAGTCACATCCGGGGAGAAGAAACGGTCCCGATGACCACGGCCGAGTAACGCAGGTGCGGTGGCCTACTTCGATACCGACAAGAAAGGAACCGGGAGCTATCTGCGCCAATTCTGCTGGCGGGCGGGGACCATCAATTAATTCGGTTATGTCAAAGGAATGCGGCGAGTAGGGCTTCGAGAACTTTGTAATACCTCGAGCTTGAGGCAAAGCAGCTGCTCGGAGCTACGTTACGTGCAGTAGGCGGCGGGCTTTGACGTTGGCGGGCCCATTTCAGGTCTCCGCGATCAAATCCTTTTTTTTTTTTTTCACCCGCAGCCGTTGTAGATCTGCCAACGTAAGAAAAGGAAGGCAAAAGGCCCCAGCGGCGGTCTCGATCTCAGGCAAGCCTACTAGCTCTACTAAAAACGACGCGAACAGAAAAAGTAAAGGGAAAAAGGCCAGTGTTTTTTTTTTTTTTTTTTTTTTTACTGATAGATCAACGTCGTCTTCAAAGTGGAAACGCGGAGTCCCCTTGCCTTTGGGAATCATGCAAGGGCTCACGCTTGGGGAAAAGGTTATCTCGTTGGCAGGGCTTCTTTCTCGGGAATGTTGTGAGACATTTCTGTTTAGAGGATCTCTCGGACCCAATTCGAGGATGGTCCCTTGCCGATCTCGACGTTCTTGTAGTTTCTGACACAAGAGCCAATCGATGATGATCAAGGTTCTCTTAGTGCCGATTTCGTGGAGAGAGGACTTCGATTGATCGTCCGCTCATTCGCCGACATCTTTGCTTGTTTTTCTGAGACATGTGTGCTTGGCAGGGAACTCATGCGCATGCACATGGGCAATTCAGCGCTCTGGCAGAGTTCCTGTTGCCATACGAGCATCACAATGGGTGACATCGCACTATCGCGACTACTTCAATGCTAATCTGCCAGGCTTACCGCGGGATCTCTGTCTCGAGGCACAAGAAGTCAACATAAACCTCGAGACTGGCAAAAGCCAATGTGAGGTCTCTTATAGAACATCAGATGCCTTCCTTGTCTCACTACACTCAGATGCTTCCTCCCTTCCTCTCAGTGCGGGACTGGGAGCTCGTCCCGAGCGCCCCGAGGCTAACTTCTCCCTTGCCTTGGTATTTAGACAAAACTGGTTAAAAAGTGAATCAAAATATTTCTTCACTGTATAATTCCAGAAGCAAGAAAAGAAAGTCCCGGTGTGAATCGACTGCAGAGACAATCGTCAGCGCAACGATGTCTTGCGTCGCCGCTGACTTTGCTCGGTAGGTTTGTGGAACGAGTGGAACGACTGACACCTGAAATTCTCTTTCGACGTCTTGTGACCTTTTCCAACTACAGTACTGCGATGCTTTGGGTTGTCGGGGGGGAAAGGGACAGAATTCATATCTCAACGTGATACGGTGCCGCTGCTCGGGACGGTAATCTGATTGCATCAAAACCACTCTCCTTCTTCTTCCTCTCAATGGTATTCGTGAGAAGTGGTCGTATTTACGGCTGCCTGGAGTTTGGGATTCAGTTGTCGAGTTTGGGATTTAAATTGCCTACGAATGAAGTCTCTGGGTAACACATCTAAACGGGTGTTCAAGTTTCTAATGTACTTACCTAGAGCTCACTCGCGCGGCCTCGCCATCTTGATGACTTCTATCCGGTACGTATGGGTTAAGACTTTGTATCAACAAGTAAACACCTCAGCACCTATGTACCCGTTGCTATTTGTATTTCTGGTCGATAGATGTCAGTAGAAAGAGTTCTTTTAACTCTACGATTGCGAGAACATTTGCAAGTCACATTGAAATGGACGAGTCTCGCGATATCTGATTATTAGTTCACGGAGGGAACGAACTGGGTCTTCCTAACAGCATTACTAGTAGTAGCCGAAGGGAGTACGAATATTCAGGGTAGATTTCTTTTACGGGGTCAGAAATCGAGTGGACTAGTAGTCGAAATTCAGAGTATACACTTTTCTAACATAGATATCGTAGGCCCAAGACACCAAGGAAGCTTATTTAACAACTTGAAGAGACCCAACCTCGGATAAGAGAAACAATACAACTTGTAAAAGTCAAAAGAATGATGTGATATCGACCCAGCAGGGAAGAATGTCCCCTCCCAAAGGGAGATATGCCACCTCTATCCCCCTTTCCAGAATTCCAACGACCAACTTATGCACAGGCAGCAGTGGCATCAGCAGTAGCAACAGGCGCGCTCCCGCTGAACATACCAGTACCGCTGGGCATTCCGCCAGAACCACTGGGCATACCGCCGCTGAGCCCACCATCCTCAGACTCTCCCTCGACAGCAACACCGCCAGCCTCCGTAAGCGCAAAGTCGTAGCTGGTCTCGTAGGACGCGGAGCGGTTGACCCCAATGGTGATCCAGCCGAACAATCCCTCGGCGACGTCGTCGCCCAGGTAGGCGTAGTCGAAGAAGGGGTCCGAGTCGGCGTTGGAGCCCAGCTGGCTCGTGACGACGTGGTCGTCTGCGTTGAGGGTCACGTCGACGGTATTGAGGGTGTAGGGGTAGAGGGACTCGACTTCGGTGATGAGATCTTGGTCCCAGAAGAGTTGGCCGATGTGGGCTGCGTGGGAGGAGGAGAGGGTGTTGTTTGGGAGGACTGTTGCGTCGAGGAAGGCGACCTGTGTTGGTGGTGTTAGTCAGGAGTCTTTCTGGTATGGGAATGGTCATGGAATGGGGGCTGTGAGGGTTCTGGAAGGAGAGAAGACTTACCATGTGGTGATGGGTGGCGCGACCGTCATAGTGACCAGGGAACTTGGTCGTAAACTGCACCACACCATCGGCGTCCGTCTTCTGGATGCCGCGGAGGAATGCCTTGTCCAAGTTGCTGGCGTCATTGACGTCCCCGTTCATGGAACTCTGCACGCCAGAGTAGACACCCGTAGCATTGCAGTTCCACAGGTCCCAGTACAAGTCCGTAATAGGCTCGCACGTCTCGACATCGATAAATTGCCCATCGAGAACGATATCAACGCCCTCCTGGTCGTCGCGCAGGTCAGCGCGAAGATGCTCGCCCTTGACCCAGAAGGGCCCGATCTCGCCCTCCGGGTCGAGGATGCAGGTGTGGTTGGAGCCAAAGAGGTCCGCCGAGGGGGACGAGGTGTCGATGCCGACGTGGGAGGAGGTGAGGTTGTGACCTACGCCCGCGCTGTCGGTGGCGCGCTTGCGGATGGCGCGGTGGTAAGCGATTGCGTCCGCGCGGCGGACGAGGGCGCGGGCTTGGAGGTCGCGGTAGACTTTGGAGGAGGAGCAGGCTTCGAGGCCGCGGCGGGCGAGGCCGTGGTGGGCGTGGCGGGAGGCGAGGAGGGATGGGTGGTCTTCTTCGTGGTGGCCTGGGTGGGCGGTGCCGAGGAGAGCGGAGGTGAGGACGAGGAGGACGGAGGAATGCATTGTTAGCTTGTTGTTGTTGTCTCTGAGAAAAGAGTGATGGTTTTGTTGTGTAAGTGAGTGAGTGAGAGTCGTGAGAACTGTGAAAGAGAGTCTAAGTTTGGGAGATTGTTCTGTCTGATGCTTCCCAATGCCTTGGTTGGTGATGTTCTATATTTCTTCTCTCGTCGAGGGCGATTCGACGTTCCTTATATGTTTCCATCTCGTTCAAGAGACCTCTCTCCTATCCCGTTACCTCCCACTTTGGCGATGCTCGCCTCTGCGTTGTTTGCCAACTCGTCACCCGTCGTCGTCACTACATTTCCGCTCTCCATCGATAAATGTTCGTCCACTTCTTCCAAAGTGGACTTTGGAACCTTGTCATGGTTCCGGATGAACTCCCGCCGCATAGGAAGCAAAAAAACACTGCCCTTTCCTGACGTTTGCAGATCTCCATTGTTTACCCCCTTCACAGAGAAATACGTACGCACATAGTAATGCCTGATCCACATCCTTACTGGATCTCACTGCCTACCTTAACCTACACACCGCGGAGACGTTCAGACGAGCCACGGCCATGCAAGCCAATAAGCTCTCATGCTTACCTACGACAACCAAGCTTTTGGCGGGGGGACGGGGACGGGAGCAAACGTCACCCTGCCCCCCTGGCGTCTTGGCAGGAGGGCTGGATTTCGCAAGGAATCTCGCATCGCGAGAGCGTTGCCGCGTATTAGAGCATACTATTCGATCCCACCGTCCAAGTATACCTTGAATGTTGACATGGGTGTCCCTTCCCGGGACCACCCCCACCTGGAGAGAATTACGAATTGCCATCGCGGAAATGCCGATTGGCCATCCGCACGGCAGGCCTGGGCAGTGATGAACTTTCGGATCCGAGTGAGGTAATAGTCGGCTGGACAGCCGGCGCTCTGCCGGAGGCTCGAAGTCGGGAAATGTGGGGTAAATTGTGGAGGGGCGGGAAGGGGGCAGCGGCCGGCATGTGGGAGCCGTGGCCCGTTACGACAAGCTCTACAGAGGTACATGGCCCAACAACGAATAGGGAGCCTCATTACACGCGTCTTTCTAGTGACTATACAACACTTCTGTACAGTACGGATGGTCTTCGGGGATTTTTGTAGATTCGGGGTCCGACGATACCGCGGAAACCCTGGATTCCACGGACGGTTGGACCCATGGAGACCCAGCATCTTGTTTCTAGCGCAATTCTTCTTTCTCTTTAGGAATATGTTTCCACCCGATCACCGGAACGCTAGCCCTACGCTGTGGGTCGAGTGCGAGTGACAAGGGTAAATACAGGGTCCCCCGTCTCCACGGCGGAACATGCCCCAATCATCTACGAGGAAACGGATACCAAGCGACTTCTAAGTAGGTAGGGATACGGACTACGAGTACACTTATGCCTTTGTCTTTTCCCTCCGCTTCTCAATCTTTGCAAGCTCCGCATCAATCTTCTTGAAACTCCAGCTCTTCCAGAAGGGAGGATACAAGAAGGGGCGGAGGTCGAATCTATTGTCGTCGGGCGCTATTCATGGACCAGTCAGTGACTTGCTAAATGGGGTGGAACAGAGAGCAAAGCGGATGCGGGTGCTGCCATACAGTAGTCATTGCAGTGAAGAGCCGGTGTAAGCGTCGTCATCTTGTGTCCTGTTCACCCAGTTAGAACCACCAAACGGCAGTCATCCATCTCGGTTTTCCAAGCAGGACTCACTGTTGATGGCATAAAAGTGGAAAAACTTCTTGACCTTATCGGCTGTCTGACTAGGCTCGTACGCAGGAGCATCATCATCGGGCCCGCGCTTGCGGTCTACGCTCCAGTCGTGGACGAGACGTTGGAACATGCCATACGGCCCAAGCTTGTTCACCTTGCGGAGGCGGCCCATAATGGTCAGCTCCTGGTAGGTCATACCCATGTCCACCTCGTCGCTCTGTACATAGGTCTCTGAGATGGGTTCCTAATGCGTTGTGATCACGTAAGTTGGCTGTTGTCCCCGCAAAGTGTTTTCCAAGACAAGGGAGGATTGGTGCATGAGTTGAGCCGCAGCTCTTGCGCGTTCAGCGGGGCTTGAGGGGCTAGCGGGTTATCACATACAAGCTCTGCGGTCGGGACCGCCGTTAGGAAGTCGTGGAGACATGGGATGTTGAAGTCCTTTTCGGCCCACGCGATGAAGCGTTTGAGGTCGGCCTTGTCGATGGAGCCAATCGGGTTGATATCCGCGCCTGGTCGTAATAAGTGTCAGTCAAGCATGGAGTTAAGGTAGACTTCCTCCGTTGGTATAGAGTCGTCATGCAGTCTTTTCTCCCCTGCTCGCACTGGCAATGATACCAGGGAGTGGGCAGGCTGTGGGATACCAAAACAATTGCAAATGGGGTCTCCGAGACATGTAGACAACCTAGTCCAGACTCCTCTTAAAGTGATGTGGGGTACTAGTTCCCGTGGATAGAACGTATCGGGATGAAAGCTTACTGGAACAATCATATCTAAAAACTGGTCAGTATGAGTCATTTCACTTCTTCATATTTGGATCACTGACTTGGTGAAGTAGCCTCTGAGAGACTGCAGCGGTTGTTAGTTGACATTTAAAAGCGGATAAACGTGGGTATCAGAAAGCAAACGCACCTCTCCAACATTTGCACTGCCCAAAACAAGCAGACCGCCACCGCCTGGTCGTCCACGGGCTGTGGGAAGAAGCTGTCCAAACTCGTACGCGGTCACCATGCGGACCCTCGCTTGGATACACTGCAGCGTCAGGTTCTCCTGGTTCGTCCCGCCCTCGACCTTGAACCTCGGCTCAAAGTTGAGTGCTGTGACAGCGAGGCTCTTCTGGGCGTTGTAGACGTCGTCAATGTCGAGGTTTATGTGGTAGCTACCAATGGCCTCGGCGAGGTCCTTGGCGCGCTGACGCGTCTCGACGGAGCTCTGCGTCTTCATGCCCATGTAGATGGTTGAGAAGATTTGGTTGCAGAGGGCCTGGGGCGTCTTGGGGAGTACGCCTTCGCCGTCGTACTTTGCGAGACGCTTGACGTCCTCGATTACCTGGGCGTTGCCTTCTTCGACGGCCTTCATTACGATGCGACACATGGAAAAGACGATTGCTGGGAAGGGGTGTTAGTGGCAACTGTTTTCAGGGGTAACTGAAGAAAGGAGAGAGACGTACTCGCTGTGGCGCAAGAGTCGATCCCTCCACTAAGGGGTACCAAGTAGCCTGCAGTACCAGACCTGCGGAGATACTAATCGGGGGGAATTGGGTTAGCCGGGCATGTAGAAAAGGGGTACTTGGTCCATCTCACATCCCAGAGGTAGCAGCCAGCACACAGAGCAATCTCCTCTTCGACCGAGTAGAACTTGGGCTTGATAGGGGGCGAAGGGGTGGTCATGATATCCGCGTCTTCGTCCTCGGAGCTGAGCTCGAAAGCAGTCTGGATTCGTTGATACTTGGCATCAGACCGCGCAGCCTGGAAACCGCGAGAGATGGCGGAGCGGTATGCGCGAACTTCCTCAAGGTCGACAGTAGCCGTAATGACCTCGACATCGTTCAAGCTGAACTGCGATCCCTGGGCCACGACGTCTCCATTGACCAAGATCATGGCGGAGCCGTCGTAGTACAGCCTGTCGCCGTCGCAACCTTGCTGATTGGCGTAGAGGTAGATGCCGCCGCACTTGCGCGTGGCTTCCATGATGAGCTGGAGACGGGTGTCGAGCTTCTGCAGGGTAAAGTGCGAACCGCTGGAGTTGGTGATGATCTCCACGCCGTCGAGGCTCATTGCAATGTGCGGAGCGTTGGGCGTGAAGAGCTCTTCCTGTGGACGAGCGTGTCAGCTCATCTTTCAGGGCCATCGAAGCATCTAGCCAACGTGGTCTCCAATAAACTCACACAGGTCTCCGCGCCAAAGCACGTATCGGGAGTCGAAACCACAGCGTCACCAAAGATAACGTGGGTAGACCCCTGAATATCCTGCAGGATCCGGGGCAGATGGTACTCCTCCGTCTGTCTGGGATGCATCCAGGGCGTGAAGTGGCGCATCTCACGGTAGTTACCATCATTAGCGAGCCACATCTTGGGCCTAATCATCAGGATCTTGCCGTCGAGGCAGAGGACTCGGCAGTTGAAGCGCTGGTTGCGGTGCTGCACGGGCATGCCGATGTCGAGGAGAATGCCGTGACAGGTCTCGTCGAGCAGGATACGGCGGAGCATCTCGAAGCAGTGCAAGTAGAGATCCTGCTCGAGAAGGTGGTCAAGACATCCGTAGCCACATATCTCTAGTTCCTGTGGTGGTGTTAGACTCTAGCGAGGACTTGCGACCAAGTTGTTGCTTGTGCTGCGTCGCATTTCACAACTCAAAATACTTACGGGACCGACACGTAGGCGAGCTCCAGCTTCCTTTGCCTTTTGAATGCTCTCAACAATACGAGCAGCATTTCCTTCCCACTGTACGTGATCCTTGTCAGCGTCTGCCTCTTACGAATAGCTGAGGGGTTATTTTTATGCCAACTATGTAAGTTGCGCAAATCTTACGTCCAATGCCCACTGGTTCAGCGAACAAGTCGCGACAGTGATGAGGTGCCCCATGTTGGCCAGCCTGACTTATTTGACCCCGAATTTGCGTTAGTCAGTTGATGTTGATGAGCAGATTTGCGACGCATAGCATCTCACCTCCAGATGTATAGGTACAAACTTGGCGGGAGTTAGTATAAGAGGAAATCACCGCGGGGTATGAGATGAGTCATCCAAAGGTCGGATGAGTTCCTAAATCTTCTCTCCTGCGGGGAAAAACTGTCATGAGATTATCCCGATGCTCAGAGTCTTGTCTCCAAGACGTTGAAAAGACCTTGAAATCTTTTCGTGTCGACTTACTCGGAGAAGTCTCGGATAGGTGGAAGCTTGACTTGAGACGAACAAGAGCTTTGAACGGGCGGGAAGCGTTGAACCCCTCGTGCGCTATCGGATGTTAGCGACACAGCACCGGGAGCCCGGCCGCCCTAACGCCGGTTATCTACCTTTCCCCAGACTTTGTCACTAACACAATAGCTACAATCTCGTGTCTTGTGTAACGTTGGAATTACAAACCCAAGCCGATGGCAAATAGTTGATCGACTTGCTCAAGAATCACAAATGACCATTACAGTTATCTGCAGTTACATCTCATATGAAAGACAATGAGAGATAGGCAGGGTATCTACATCCCTGTCGAACCCCCCCGCTATGGAACCCCAGCACTGACACTCCGGCGCCGCTGCACTGGCTGCCACACATGCTGACCAGTGACAGATGTCGCTGACAATCGGCCGGCCGAGCTCTCCTCTCCAAACCTGCCCCGGCATGCCGCCTAAATCGCCTCGGCTCAAAAAACATCCCAACCACGGGCCCGACTCCAAGTCTCGTAACCTACAGCCTTACCAATCCGACGATACCCTCAAAAAAGCAAACGACAGACGAACCTCACCGCACGATACCACTCGCAAAAGCCGCCATTCTCTCCCACACGACCCATCGATTGAATCATCACCTCCCCAACCGCGCGCACGCCGCAGCGCAAATGCATAACACCTCTCCAAAATGACCTCTCCATCACCATCACAATCCTCCTCCTCCTCGCCATCAACCCTCCCCTCCTCGCCCTACCCCTACGCCTCCGCCCCAGACATCATCCGCGCCCACCAAAAAGACGCCTACTACAAAGGCCACCTCTCAAACACCCTCACCTCCCTCCACCGCCTCCTCCTCGGCGCCCGCTCCGCACACTCGGCCACCGCCCTCCACAGGCTCTTCGCAGACACCTTATACCTCGGCCTCACCACCCTCCCCGGGAACCGCACCCTCGGCGAGGAATACTGCGACCTCGTCCAACTCCACGTCGGCACCGACGACGACCCCTCGGGCGCCCTCCCGACCCTAGCCCGTCGCGCATCCTACATCGCGACATCCGTCCTCCTCCCCTACATCGCAGGCCGCGCCCTCCCCGCCCTCCGCGCCCGCCTCCGAACTCTTCTCGAACCGTCCTCCTCTTCGAAATCCTCCTCAAAACCAGCATCCACAAAAGAAGCGATAAAAGCCTACCTCTCCACAAACCTCCCCTCCCTAACCTCCGCGGCGCCCCTCCACGCCGCAACCCTCGCAATCTTCTACTTCACAGGAACCTACTACGAGCTCGCCAAACGCGTCCTCGGCCTCCGCTACGTCTTCACCCGCCGCGTCCCCGACTCCCCCGACCGCGCAGGCTACGAAGTCCTAGGCGTCCTCCTCGTCGCCCAGCTCGCCGTGCAATCTTACCTGCACATCCGCTCCACAATCTCCGATCTTTCCTCCCAAGCAGCAGCGGCACGCACGCGGTCCAACAGCTCCCTGCTAGACGTCTCCCTCGACGCAAACGCCTACGCAGCCAACACGGGCCTCCTCCTCACCGAGACAGGAACGCCAGGCGGCAACGGCAGCACAAGCAAAGTCGACATCGCCGCCGTCACGCACACGCCCGTCGTTCCCGCAGATGCTGCCTCTTTCAGCGGAGGAGGAGCAGGCGAGCCCGGCGCGCGCTTCGACCTGAGCGACGAAAAGACAATGGCGTACATCTCGGGCGCCGCGCAGAGGAAATGTACACTCTGCCTGGAAGAACTCAAGGACCCGTCCGCGACGCAGTGCGGTCATGTGTTTTGCTGGACGTGTATCGGGGACTGGGTGCGCGAGAAGCCCGAGTGTCCGCTGTGTAGACGGGAGGCTATGGTGCAGCATATACTACCCTTGCGGATTGCTTGATTTCAAGAGTAATGTGACGAAGCGTCAAGGGTCACTTTGCAAATATGATAGTTACGTTGAAAACACTGACCATGTATACGACCTGGCCTATCGTTTCAACTACTAGCGCATTTACAGTTATTGAGAGTGGGGGTTTGTGGCATTTGTACACCTATGGGAATCCTATTGATAATGGACACACAGGCTCGGGACGGGGAACCTCTGATGAACGACCCAAATGGCGGGAAGCGTTCTGCGTTACCAGATTTTGTACGAAGGCAAGAAGATGAACAAGATATATATATATACCATAGAACTGAGGCCACACAACTTCAACCCTCCTTTCTCTTCTTTCCCCCATCATCATTAACTCTCCTTCAACCCCGACCAGCAGTTCCTCCTTGAACACAGGTAAAGAGGAAAAAGACGGAAAAAAAAGGTAATTCTGAATTCGCCTAGTCGAAACCTCGTACGTACCAAACACGCCCAAATGGCTCGATGAATAGGCTCGAAGACCATCCAAGAACACGTGGACGTGGGTTTGGACGAAGGGGCAACGACATGGTTATCCGGAGCAAATGGGAATAAGATAAGGAGACCGAAGCGTCGACCAAAGAAAAGAGTAATATCCGATATTTCACGGCCAAGCCCCCTCCCCCTTGCCTATCTCCCTTGGTCCGTTTCCCTTCCGGGCCATTGATGGTTTCCGTCCATCTTGTAGGTATCATGTGCCAGAGTGCCTAGCATGGGAATATGAAACAAGAAGCAGATGAAAACAAAAAAAGCAAACAAAATGACGCTCGATAACTCCGTTGTCCTTTATGAGTTTACCCTTGGATATCCCGTCCGAGCCGTAGAGCGGCCAATCCCTCGAGAAGAACAGCATCATTGTGTACACATCGACCAGCAGTCTCAGGCCTGAAAAAGTACAATCTCGCCGCGGTCGTTACGCCTCATCCGCAGCGAGCGCCAGAGCTCCTTCTCTTCTGAAAGCTTGCCGAGGCCGTCTCCGGAGGAACTGCGCTCGCGGTGGAAGCGCTTGAGGGCCTTGTTCATGCTGCAACCGCGCTCACTCTCGGGGCCCTTGTTGATAAAGGACAGGAACAGGTCGGCGCGCGGGCGGTAGACAACCATCTGGCCCTCGTCGTCACCATCCTCTCCCTTCTTGCTGTCGCGGGAACCGGGTCGATACTCGATCAACTTGGGAGCCTTCTCGCCGTCTGATCGGTGACGGCTGGAGGAGTGCTTCTTGACGGATGAGGAGACCTTGCGCTTCTTGGTCTTGGTCTTGGTGCCGTTCATGTTCAACAAACCCATGAGGTTGCTGCCGATACCGCCCTCCTTCTTGTGCTTGGAAGACTTGGTCTTCTTCAGCGGGCTAGCTGGTGCGGCGACGTCGCCTCCGGAGAATTCTGGCGAAGGGGGAAAAACAGGTCGCGACATCATGCGGTTCAGACCGCCCGTCAGGCCGGAGTGAGCCAAGGTTGTAGGAGGTGCGTCGACCATCATTTGGTCAGTGTCGACATGGAGACGCTTGCGCTTCTTATCCTTCTTCTCGCTGCCGTCCTTCTTTCTTCGCTCGTGCTTCGGAGCTGGAGTCTCAAAGCCCTGGGGAATGGCCCCAGTGCCGTACTGTACGAGGGCGCCCGGATCCTCATCAACCATTGCTCCTTCATCGTCCAGATAGGCCTCGGCCTCGTACTCGTAGCGCACCAGCTGTGTCTCCTCGTTCGGCTCCTTGGCACCCAGGGCAGACGCATTCGGCGTCGCGGATGGGTCGAGAAAGTCAAAGACGTTGACGTGACCCTCGGCAGCTGAGGGAGGTGTTGGTGCTTCGGGGAGAAGGTCGGCGGGGGAGTTGCCATTATCGCTAGCCTCGTAGGGGAAAGATTCGAACTCGGCATCGGGGACGTCCTCGACGTACGCGTGTTGAGCCATGTCGTGCTGGGGGGCGAACGCCTGGTTGTTGTTCGTTTTGCTCTTCTTATTGTTGTTCTTTTCCTTGTAGAGAGCGCCTTGGTATTTCTGGGCCTCGCTCATACAACTCTTTTCGCCGTCGAGTCAGTGTCATAATTCATAGAAGTGACTACAATAGCCAGTGGGAGCTGATGCTACTTACCGTGTGGCTGCGATATTCAGTTCCAGGGAAGTAGACCATGCAATCGATGCAGGTGTAAGTGGCGCCTCGACAACGGTTTCTGTGGGGATCGAGCTTCTTCTTGGTCATAACATCACCACAGTTCTGTGGTGGAGGAAGAAGAAGACAGGTCAGTTATGTTGCGCAGGAAGTATTCGAGAGGTTATTGGATTCTGTTGTGTTTGGAGAGGGGTGTATGGTATTGTATGGCTATGGTCTGGGAGGCGAGGGAGGGACGGGACGAGACACTGGCTATTAAAGACGGCATCCAAAGGGGAAGTGGAGGGGGGTTTGCTTCTGTTGTTGGAGGGGTGTGTGTCTGGCGATGTCTTGCCATGTGTGGGAGGTGTGGTAGGTGTGGTGTGAGGATGTGATGTCAGGCCCCCGAGTTTATAATAAGACGACATGGGGATCTTCGGGGGGGGGATACCGACGGGGGGAGGTACGGAGAGGTAGGTAGTAAAGGGGGACCCTGGAAGACGGGATCATGGGGAAGGGAAATGGAAGGAAGAGAGAGATACGGAACGAGAGAAAGAGGGCGGCGACGGCTTACCTCACACGAAAAGGACACCATGGTGAAGGGAGCGACGCTGTATGATGATGCGTTGGCCTTGCGATGGGAGTCTCTATTGGGCGCGAGGGTTGGGCAGAAAAGGGTTCTGACTGGATAGCGTTTTTTGACGGAGGTGAATGGGGAGGGTCGATATGGGAGGCGACGAGTGCGAGCTTCAGTGTCTTTTGGTTGGGCGGTTGTGGACGGTGGATGGTGGTGTATGTCGGTTTGTGGATTTGCAGAATGCAGAAGCACGACGTCGCCTTACTGGCCGGGACTGATGGGCTCGGGGGATCGTCGAGAAGTGGACTGTAATGCAAGCCGGGACGTGCCTTGTAACCAGGAGAGAGGGGACAGGGCAGAACGAGACCAAGACGGGACTCTCTTTTTGGAGGATTTGGGGAAGAGTCCAAGAGTCTGGGAGCTTTGAAAAGCGGAGTGGTGAGACGTTGGCAGTCCGTCGCGGCTGTGCGAGGAACTAGCGGGTTTGATAGACACAGCCCGAGAGGTGTGTGTGTGTGTGTGAGTTAGAGTGAGAGTGAGAGTGAGATGAGTTGATGAGGTGCTTGGTGGAAGCGCCGCCGTTCGTGTGTGTTGTGGAGTGAGCTGGAGTATTGTTAGGGAATGAGAAGAGATAATGAGATGGCGAGATGATGGGCTCTCTCTCAGTTTCTCGGCTTGGTCGGGGGAAAATGGAGTGAGCACTGAGGAGGAGACCAGAAAGGTTCAAACTTCAGAGTTCAGCTTGAGATATCAGGGGCTCCTCTCCGTGTTGGTTTCGCGTCTCAAATACGCAGCTGTGCCGTCGATCTCCAATGTTGGAATCCCTTATTTGGAGGGGTCCAAGGGGGCGTTTGGTCGGCAGGGGTGGCAGGGGGAATGGAGGGGTGAAGTGTGGTGTTTCGCGCTTCAGGTTTTGTGTTGGAAAAGTAGTAAAGAGAGACCGATGGCAGACTCAAAGTGACAGAGAGAAAGCGACACGGGGAAAAGTGTGATGAGGAACGGGCAGCAGGAACGCAACACAATCTTGTCTGTTCCACAGAAGGAAGCAACTGATTCAGAAACGGTCCGTAGCAATGGAGCGGCAAGAGCGCAAGCAAGCGACTAGTGACTGCAAATTCCTGAACCTCTACTGAATGAGTTCAACCTGAGAAAGTTTGAGCTGAGCTGGGGGCCAGAGTTGGTTGCGCGGGAGTGAAGTGTTGTGGTTATGGTTTTTTTTTTTTTTTTTCTGGGCGGGTAGAGAGGATGGATGGGAGAGAGCTGATGGTGGCGCGCCGAATCGAGGGGCAATGGCGCAGAGACTTTGGTCCTAAAGTTACCCAAATGGCAGATGGCGGCCGTGCTGTGAATTATTGGATTAATGCTGAGATTACTTTGGCCTCTCGTCCGAACCGAATGAAGCTTTGCGCGTGCCGAACAGTTGGATCTCTAGTCCACGGATGAAGTTGGGAGAGAAAAAAATTATCAAGTAAGGTAGAGATGAGTGTGGTTGAGAGCTGGCTGCACTGCAAATTCTACGCAAACAAAGTGGAATCGGCCGAAACTTTTCGCAGCGATTTTTTCTTTACTTTTTTTTTTTCTTCTTCCTTCTCCCACCACCCTGCCCTTTCGTCCCTTTCGGATTTGGGCCCCTCCTCAGATTCTTTGCGCGTGGGGACTTGGGGACTGGAGACTGGAGTGCATCTTTCGGAGTGACTGTCAGGTTGGGCAGCTTGACATGTTGTTTCTAGACCCACGCCCACCCCCTCCACCGTTGACAGGCGGTATCCCAGGGGAACAAGGTCATTCAGCAACTTTCAATGGTCTCGAGTGGCCCATTGGATCCCATACTCAGCTGATGCGCCTCTATCATTGGCTTGTCTGCTGATAGCAGATCGTCTGCAGCGATCCAATCATCATCACTGAGTACGGGACGGTGGGGGTGGTTACATCCGTCCGCCTCACTCCAGTCTCTTGCGGGAACAAGGACGCTGGGCGAATCTGGAGATGTTCACTGCAAATGCAGTCCCTTACCTGATGGTTGAATGGTCTCCAGTGTACGTAGAGTCCCTTCTCAATGCTGCGATGTCGCTGGAAAAGTCCCTTCTGATTCTGCAGCTGTAGACCGCCCCCCATTTCTTCATAAGGCGAGACCAGGTGGAAATAGAGGAACGTGGGTATGCAAAGCTAATGTCCTAGGTACTAAACTTGTGGGTTCACCGTAACGCCGCATATCTGCTAATGACGGGACTCTAGCTGATTCGGTTGTAGATGTGTGCTTCTGCCCTGAACCGACGCAGGCACCTACACTAACTCCCTCACCTCACAGTGACACGTAGTACGCAATGCATCGCCGTTCGGCCTTATATCGTGAACTAGGAAGTGCGCGGCTTCGCATGGGTACGAAGTACGGAGTAAAGGCATCGCCAGTAAGGGAACATGGGACCGACCCGGCGGGGCTGTTGATCTCGGGCGGTAGCGTAGTCTCGGTCGCCAGAACTGGCCTGCCGCGGTTTCACGGGAGGTGACGAGAAACCCTTGCTTAGCAGAAGACGACTCAGGGGCCGAGAAGAAGTCGAAGAAAACGGGTGGTGCTTCTGCTTCTATTCTGGGCACCTCCGTAGAGAGAAGAGCTTCCTGCATCTTCTTCCATGACCAGGGTGGTTCAGCACGGCCACGGGTGACAAAACCACTTCAACCTTGCGTCTTCCTGCTGTTCTGACTCCTGCGGACGAGCAACATCATGCAAGACCAGGCGAGGCCGGGGGTCGGACGAGACCATACTCACCAGAGTGACCAAACGAGATGTGCCTGCCCCTATCCGTCTGGATGGCATTGGATGCCGCCGCGAATCAAAGGAGATGACGACGACCGTCCCAGAGGGACGGAACGGCTGCTGCCGCCGCGTTGGGCCTTGACCTAGTATTTCCCACAGAGCCGTCACATCGTCCTCTGGGACGGTGATTAGCGGGCTGCATGACGGGCCCCTAGTTGCAGTGCATCGCCAATTTGCCCAAGACGAGATAGATTTTCAGGGCCATCCAAAGCGCGCGTCTAAGTTGACGAGCGATCCAACGGCCAGCGTTGGTGACGGGTTGGTCAATGGCATTGTCGGCTGTGGGTGCTAAGAGCTTCCGCTGCTGCATGTAGGGTGACTAGAATAGTAGAAGAGCTGTTCCTGATCCTGATCTCGTGCTTTGCGGAAGGTTCGTGGCTTTGTGGGTTGTACTTCGTAGGGCCTGGTCTTTACGCAAGAAATCGGATCGCTTGCTGCTTGCTGGAGATCTTTCGTCGTCGCTTTTGCTTTTTCTTTTGCGTTGTTGGGACGGTCTCCTCCTGCACACGCCCTTGCTTCGCCCTGGCCCCCGGCGTCTCTGGGCAGTGAACTGACGCAAGGCGTTGGATCGTGGATTCCAAAGTACTCGTGGTACTGTATCCGTAGAGGGGCCGAGATGCGGATGCCGAAATGACTTGCAGAGCTTTTGCAAAGCATGTTTGCTCTGCACTGCATGCAAAGCGAGGCGGGAACGAATGGGAAATTCTAGGTCAAACGCTGCAGCTTGAGAAGGCTTGCCATTCGTCAAGAAACATATCATGTTGTTCCACGCCCAGTAGACGGTATTCATGATCCCTCAAGTCAACAGCAAGGAGGCCGAAGCCCGCCGGAGGAACGCCAAGCTTGTGGTCAAGCTTAAAGGTCAAGTCGAACCTTGGACGGGGTCAAGACATGACCATTGAAATCCATACTCCGTACCCACCTGTACCTTGAGGTAGCCAAAAGTAAACCGTGGAAGTCTCACCTGTCCTGATTTATTCTGGCGCGGGATCTGGATGGCTCGGGAACCCCAATTCCTCTGGAATGGAAGACGTGGTCCCCCGCTGTTGTGAATGACGATGTGCAATGAGCTGTGGGCGGCAGACGTATGTTCGTAGGCGGTAGGACGGTGAACGGTGAACAGTGAGGTGGATGTTGACAGCTCGTCTTCAGCTCCACTTCCAGCCACGAATGCCGCCGGTTGTCTTTCAGCGGGAAGCTCCCATCGCCGTCGTTGCTTCCCCCTTTCCTGCCGGGCTTTACCCAATCACCGGTTCCCGCTAGGTCATCCCACGGCGCACCCGGAGGTCCGAGATGAAATACATTCTACCTTACTGTGCAGAGTACGGATAGTGTACAAAGGGAATACTCCGTAAGTTCCTCTTCATCTGCATACTTTCACAGCAACACGAGCAGTCCGCTAGGTCACGCATGCAAGCTACTTATGTAATGAAGGATTGCTTCCCGTCACTAATTCGTCTAGTTCAACGCCAGAAAGCGGTGACATTCGCATTGATGGCCCCCTGAGCTACTTTATCCTACTGTGTAAGTTCCAACCTATCTTACACCTTGCAAAGCCTGCAAATGTGTAGACAAAGTATTGCCTCATATAGGCATTCGGCTGTTGATGAAGCTTCATGCAGGGAGATCGAGTGGTGTCTATTGCTTCATGCTAGTCGCGTTTTACAAGTAAACATAATGATACCACACACGACCCCGAACGCGTTTGCTCCCGTCGCAGTGAGGCATTGCCGACCTATCATTCCCGTACTTGTTGCTCGGCCATCTCATAAGCTTTCAAAGAATTCAATCCTCGCTTTTATGCTTCCGCCACAGTCTCACTTGCTCCGAACCTAAGGACGGATAGTAAAGCCATTATTTCTCGGACGTAACTCAAAGTAGAAACGGATGGCGGAAGTGGAAGTCACATCGGACTCGTCGCTTCGTTTCGTTTGTTGTTACCTATCAAGCTTGAACTACCCACCATCATTACCGATCGCATCGCATCGCATCGCACATCGTATCTCTTGACTCTCTCCTCATTCTCACATTGATTATTACCTCCGCCACTGGGCTCCATCCGGCAAGCCTTTCTCAACTTGCGATCCTTGTTTGCCGTGCTCCCCCGAAAGCAGCCCTGCGGCCTACCGCCAAATCAGGTCACCTGCCGCATCGACAAGCCTCAGGAGGCCCGCCACAACTTCTTAGCCCCCTCTTCCTCCCCAACATCATCCTACGATTCAACACCCAGAGTCCCAGACCAGGTGGACATTACGGAAATTCATACAACAGTGCCTTTCCGCGTGTGTCTGCACTGAACCTTCTGCAGCCACATCTCTTTAGCAGACAGCCATCGGCCATCCATCACGGCCGCACGGCTATCAGATCCCACCTCAGCACTGCTCCCTCCTGACCTGCATCATGCGGCCTTGCTAGAGACAAACCGCACCACCATCACCACTACCACCACTACCACCACCTTCAATCGCACCTCTCACGCCGTCAATACCATCCTCCATAGCATAGCTGGATATCGACCTTCCTGCGCAGACACCTTAATTGCCTCTAGATACACCTAGCGGCATCTCACAAACGGCACGTCTGTGGATACTGACACATCTGACTATCGACCGAATACACAAATCAGCTTTCCGATCCTCGCTTTCGTTCCGACTAGTAACCTCTTTTTCTCTTTCCCGCGGCTAGGGTACACCACCAAGCACCCACCACCTCCGCTTCGTGCACGACCCCTTGTTCGTTCGTCCGTCCGCGTCCTGCCCACCTCTATCCAGAAAGAGAGCCCCAGACGATCCCAGTACCAGGTCCAGGTCCGTAGTCGCCTCATGCCGACAATCGATTACGCCTAACACGCACGCGGTACCCGCTCCCCTCTAATCTGCCTACCGAGGTACCTGCTTTCCGCTAGCATCGGCCTCCACCGCCTCCGCGACCAAGGGCCAAGGCAAGGCTACTCCGCTCTCTCCTGGACTCTGCACCGCTCTCTCTCTCTTCGCTTCGGGCCTTACCTTCCCCATCAAACAGGCCCATTCCTTTCTGAGGGCTCGCCGAACGGTCCAGCAGCAATACGAATCTAATCTTTCCTCCGCCTTTTCCCTCTCGCCTTGCCCACGATTCTCTCGAACCATGTCCTCTTCCAATTCAGCATCGCCGTCCTCCAACAGTTACCTCGAGCAGACGGCGTCTATGCTCAGTACTGTTGGCGCGTACATGCGGCTACCAGCCATAGCCTCGACGGTATGGCCATTCCCGCCTCCTCGTCCTACGGGCTACCCATCTTCTCACACCGATATTTTAACCTTCCTGTCTGCAACCCCTCCTCTTGGGCCTTCGCCCGAGGTCGTGCCTCGACTGCCTCGCCTCGCTAGTGCTGCAGGCTAACTTGTCTTCTTCTACCTAGGGTATCGCAGCTGTCTTGACTAGCCTCCTCTACTTCAAGCAAAAGTAGGCCCCTCCACCCCAATGTCCATGTGACACTTCCTTATCCCACCCTCACCAAACAGATTGACTGACTTGTGCTGTGCCGCTCCAGAGCTCTGATCTACCCCTCGCATATGCCCGCAAACTCTCGAACCGATGTCCCAAGACCCTCACAGTATGGCATCAAGGATTTTGAAGAACTCGTCATCCCCACAAACGATGGCGAGAAGCTGTCGGCATTCTACATCCGCGGCCCGCGTGGTGGAAAGAACTCCAATGTCACCATCCTGATGTTCCATGGGAACGCGGGTAACATTGGCCACCGCCTGCCAATCGCCCGCATGCTTATCAACTTTATCGGCTGCAACGTATTCATGCTTGAGTACCGCGGCTACGGCCTATCAACAGGAGAGCCAGACGAATCCGGTCTCTTCCTAGACGCGCAAACCGCCCTCGACTACCTCCGATCTCGCGCAGAGACGAGCAACCATAAGCTGATTGTTTACGGACAAAGCTTGGGCGGCGCTGTCAGTATCAAACTGGTATCTAAGAATCAAAAAGATGGGGACATTGCTGGCCTGATCTTGGAGAACACCTTCCTCTCCATGCGGAAGCTCATCCCTTCCGTATTGCCACCGGCAAAGTACTTGACGCTTCTATGCCACCAGGTTTGGCCAAGCGAATCAATCATTTCCAGCATCACATCCGTGCCGATCCTGTTTCTCTCTGGTCTCCAGGACGAGATAGTACCGTAAGTGCCGTGCAACCCTTCCTTCTCGTTTCTCCTACACCATATGATGATCGCAAGTCACCACCCACAAAATATGAGTCCTTCGGGACGCTTGATTTGAATTTTACGACATGGAGTCTGATATGGTTTTCTCTACACCGGCTTTTTTTTGCTTGTCTCACCTGTTGCCTCTTGTAGACTAACACATGTCTTAGACCCCGTCACATGCGCCAACTTTACGAACTCTCTGCCGCGCCCTCAAAAATTTGGAAGCCCTTGCCCGCAGGCGACCATAACTCGAGTGTTTTGGAGGAGGGTTACTTCGAAGCCATCTCGGACTTTCTTGGCAATGTCACCGGCGTGACAGGCAAGGAGGAGAAGCAGCGCCTCTAGGACGAGCACTTGCTAACCGAGAAACGGTTTCAACAGTACGTGGCTCAAATACTAGAGGCAGAGGCAGACCGGCAGTCCGTCTTCACAGGCGTGTCCCGCCGGCTCCACTGCAGGAGTTCATCCACGAAGGACAACGAGTAGATATAATGCCCCCTTGTCGCCACACATGAAGGCGCCGATCACCTGGATACACTGCGGCAACAGAAGAAGCATGGAACGGAGAAACAGTACGCGGCGGCGGGTGATCTTCCTCTCTAAACCACCTTTTTGGTCCTTCAAGAATGATACCCCCCGCTCCCATGACGGATCGGGATGCGACAGCATATCTTAGACGCAACATAAATGTAATGAAGCAATGAGTACGAGTAGCCAAGTAACCAGTCAAGATGTGAGGTTTGGAGTGAGGCGATGGTGACATGCTGATCTGAACTGGGGTTGGCCATGTCTTCAACGGGGGTTTGAGGGCAAGGGATGCCAGGCTGTGTAATTGCCCTTTGACAGACAACTTTCATCCCCACGAACAACACTGAGGTCTGTTGACAGTCACCGGTCTCGAACTTCATTCCGTCCCGCCTTCCCCTTTCTGAGTACCGTCAGACGTCTGGCAAACGTCAAATGGGCAAGTCCGGGTCGCCGGGGAAAAGGGGACGATCTGCGGAATAATGCTCGACGGCCAGGAGTTTATCACGATCGCCCGGAGCCGGGGTCAACCTTGCCGCCTTTCTCGCTCGTAAGAGCGGGGATATATATCCATGACACCTTTCTCCGTGTTTTTTTTTTTTTTTTTTTTTTTTTTTTGCCAGCGACGAGCTGAGTTCGTCGGATTTTGGGAAGAGGACAGGAGGGATGTGACGGGGTTAGGATAGGATTAGGACGGGCTGGGTCAGGGTTTGTTTCGTTTTTTCGGGGGCTGCGCTTGTGTTCCTCCCCGTCCATCCATCTGCGGCGTTCTATAAATGTGTCTCTGACGTGGCAGAGAGTTGGATGTGAGATGTCGCGGGGTTCATGGCGGTAAGAAGGGCTGGAGGGCGGAAGAGGAGGGATGGCTTATCGTGATGATTGTCGTAGATGGTGAGAACCATGGCGTCACTTCTTGCATTGAGATCACAAAACTCATAACATTCGTGGCCTATTCTTCATGTTTCATTGCTCTTTTCTTTTTTTTCGCTTTTCGGTTTTCATGTATTTCTTTCAAATAACGCTATTTTATCCTGTTTTCGCTGGTGATACCTGGAGAACCTGATGTCCCATGTTCTCCGTCTATCCTCCATAACAAATGTTTGCCTTTCCGACATCGCCTTTCAGACACATCATCACAACCACAAGGGAGGTGTGGAGAAGCAAGGCGAACAACGTTGCAAGCTTCGCCATGCCAGGCCTCTCCTTGCTTGCATCCAAGATCAAGAGACCAGAAGTTCACAACTTCCTTGGCCGAAGCAAAAGCTTATGCGCCGCGCCGCGCCTCACTCATCGCTGTCAGCGGCAGCCTCCCAGTCATCCGCAACAGAGTCCTCGACGACCTTCTTGCGCGCCAGCCTAGAGAAGCTGACGAAACCGCTGGCGGGACGCGCGTCGGCGGCAGGCTTGGGCGCAACCGTCCTACGCTGTGCCGCGGCGCGGCCCACGACGGCGTTCCATCCGCCGCTGCTGCCGTTGGCCGACGTCCCATCGCGACGGAGGACGTTGAGACTCGTGTCAGCGTGGACCATTGTCGCGGCCGCGGCGATGCCGTCCTTGGTAACGGTCTGCGCGACGAGGGGTTTCAGGGACGCGAGGGAGGACTCGATGGCCGAGGGGGTGGTGCCCCATGAGGTAACGGGAACCGCGCGGATGAGAATCTCCTCCGATGGGAGGAAGGCGGTGGTGAAGGAAAGGGTGTTGTAGGCCTTGAGGTGGTTGGCGAGGGCGGACTCGACCTCGTCAATGGTCAGACCGAAGCGTGGGGCCGACAGGAGTAGGGCGTTGAATGGCTCCGGTGCCGACGCTGCGGCGGCCGCCGCTGATGATGCTGCGGCTGCGGCTGCTGCTGTCTTGACCGCTTCGGTGCGGATCTTGACGCACTGCGCCAGCGTCTTCTTCGGTGCGGCGACAAAGCGCGGCGTCTTGAAAATGGAGACGTGGCGATGCGGCTCTGGATCCTGGCTCTCTGAGTCGAAGCCGAAATCCTCGGCGAGAGCGTGCAAGAAAGCGCGCTGGAACGAAGGCATAGGTTTGAAGCGCAGACGCTTCTCGGAGGCTTCCGAGGCGAAGACGCGGAACTCGCGCTCCTGGTTCTGGGCCCAGGTGTGAGAGAGCTCACGGAAGAGCTTAAGCGTCGTGTCCGAGTAGGGGATGTGATCGTCATTATGGTCCGGGTCGACATTAAGAGCGACAGCGAGGCGCTGGTTGCGCTGGAGACGGAGGCACTCGTCATCACACTTCAGGATGTCGCGATCCGGAGTCGGGTTGGTCTTGGTGGCCATGCACTTAACCTCCTTCTTGCGGTGCTGACAGTCGCAAGTGATGAAGGTCTTGCTCTGGCACGGCCGGTCTTCCTTGCACGGGTAGGGAGCGTGGCATGAATCCTGGCACGAGTGATCGCAAGACTTCCGCGTCTTGCCACAGGACTGGGCGCAGTGAGAGCCGGGAATATCAGCATCTTCGCATTCGCCGGGACCGTGGCACTCTTTTCTGCATGTGTGGGTACTGCATGCTGGTCAGTATATGTGACAACAGTTGTGTTGGATATCTGTGTTACTTACCCGCACTTGAGCTTTTTACCACAAGGCAGACCGCATCGAGCCCCCTCCAGCCAACAAGGCCGATTCTTCATCCTCTGCTTGCCGCAGATGCATGCTTTCTCTACCAAGAAGGGACACTTGGGACAATCGACATCGTCGGGGTGGCAGTTATGCTTCACCGTGGGATGACCACAAGGAGGTGCTCTTCTGCAGTCGAAGCGGCATTCAGGGGGCCTGGTTCCACACGGCTGTGGAGGTTGCAGGACAGTCCTGCCGCAGGCACAGCTGATCTCCTCGAAGACGGCTTCGAGGCAGCTTGGGCATGGCCCAGCGTGGCAGATTTGCGAACACTGGTGAGTCCCACACTTCAGTGTCCTTCCGCATACGCGGAGGCAAATGTGTTCTGCCTCCACCTCGTCCGGAGCCTGCTGCTGTCTGTGCTTCCTCCTGGCGGCCTGTCTCTCGATTGCCTTCTTCTCTCCTGTGCAGCAGCGCTCTCCACACTTGTGACGACTGCAGTTGAGCTGGGCCTGGCAGACTTTGAAACACATCGGAGGCGCGATCTCTCCCTGGTGGCAGAGAGACTTGCTCACAGTACGGGTGCATCGACAAGAAATATCCTGCTTCTGGAAGCATGGATTACAAGGACCGGTATGACACGTGTCCATGCACTGGTGACCGCAAAGAAGGGTTCTGTCGCAGGTCTTCTTGCAGTGGGGGATCTTGTCTTTACAAGACTGTCTCGGCTGGTCGAGGAGCTCTTCCAACGGTGTCTTACCACAGGGGCAATCAAGGACAACATCTGGAGCCGACGGGCAATGAGCCGGCACTTCGTTCTGCGAATGACAGGTCTTCTCGCAATCATGAACACCACAATCGTATTTCCTCCCACAAGTCGCCCCGCAGTCGAATGAGCCATCAAACCAGCTGTCCTCAGAAACATCCTCAGAATCCGAGCTGGAGACCTGGCCAAAGTTGAATGACATCTGAAGGTCGTCGCGGCGATCGCAAGGGATTTCCTTGTGCTCTTTCCCGCAGTAGCATCTTGCCTGCACGGGAATCTCGCAGCTTCCGCATAAGTCAGAGTGGCAAGGGGTAGCGCAGAAGTGCTCGCCGCAAGGCAACAAGTCTCCGCAGATTTCCTTGCAACTCCATCCGTTGCCATAGTCCGTCTCTGTGCACCGCTTCGTCACTTCGTGCTTGCCACAGAAGCATGACTGTGTGGGCCCCATGAGGGTGCATGGCGGGCATGGGCCGGCGTGGCATTCGAGAGGGCATGGATGCGGACATGTTGCTCTAGGCTTTGAGCAGGTCTGTCCGCAAGAGTGAGGAGGAAGACCGGGAACATTTCGAGGGTTGATGTCCTTCCCGCACCAGCAGTGGTGAGCACTCGGCTCCTCGGTTAAACTAGAATTGCAACCGGGGCAGCGCCAGGAGCGAGTGTCGTCGTCCTTCTTGAGCTGGCTCGTGAACCATTTCTTGACGCAAGACAAATGGAGCACCGTCCAGCATAGCCCGCAGGACCATACTCGAGATGGCCGCAGCACTTCACTGGAGCAGATGACACACTCATACTGGCCGTTGCTGATATCCTCATGGATGCGCGTGGGCAAATCTGCAGCTGCAGATTTTGGTGCCAAAGGATACTGCGGCTTCCTTTGCTTCGGGGCAGCTTGTTTGCTGACGATATCCGTCAGCCTATGTCTTAGGATGTGGCGACTATCAACGTACCCTCTGTGGACAACAGGCTGCCCAGGAATGAAGTCCGGGGCATCTGCACTCAGTCCCTGTGCATCCAACGCGTTTGGATCCGCGGCGGTCGTCAGGCTGCCTCCGAACGTTCGCTGAGTTCCCGACACCGTACCACCTCGGACCGCTCCACCTCGCCGGCCGCCCCGATTACCTCCGCGGCCGCGACCTCTCCTCCCCGAGCTAGATGGCTCTGAATCGGGTGCATTTTCTGTTGAGACTTCAGGAGCCGGTGCTGACTGTGCTGGGTTCCGGGGTTGAGGATTGGCATTCCTGCCGCCACCTCGCCGGCCACCACGGCCGTTGCCTCCGTCTCCTCTCCCTCTTCCTGACCTGCCTCTACGGCTTGGCTGAGAACCTCCTCCAGCCGACGAGCCCACTTGGGTCTGCGTCTGGGTTTGGGTCTGTGTTGCACCACCGTCCGACATGTTCGACACTCGAGCTGGCGTGATGATGTGATGATGTGTTGATGAAATCGTGATTGCGCTTTTTGAAATACAGCGTCTTCGTACAGGTGCTGCCAGAATAGACGGCGGAAGTAAACCAAGAGGCCGCGCGCCCTCGTAAGAAAATGAGAACGTTAAAGGAACGAAGTGGATTGAGATCCAAGATTCCACTTCCACTCGGTACCCGGACCTGGGGAGGCGACTTTTAAAAGGGATTCCGCAACAGAGAAAGTCCAAGACTCTGATGGAGTGAAGTCGACGGGGCGGGTTGAGCGTTCGGATGAGTGGACCCGCTAAAATTTTGGGAGAAGGTCCCTTTCCGGGCTTGGGCCCGACAGGTGTAGGTGGCGACTGCCACTGTTCGCCCGCTGTAAGGCTGACAAAACAAGCAGGAGGTCATCACCTAAGGCACACGCAAAGCCCGGTCCAGTCACTATGAGTCACCATCAATCGTTCCTGCGGCTCGGATCTGCCGCCAGCTAAGACAAATTCAAGTTGACTCAATGATTGAATTATTTTGCAGACTGCAGTCATGTTTCGTGCAGCGTTAGACCGCTTTGGGTTATCATCCGCTGTCTTTTCGCTGGTTGAAGATCATGTTTCGTCGCAGAGCAAATGGCCTCAGTGGATACGCTGTTTGCTTCTGCACCCTGCCTCTTGCAAGTCAACATTGCTTCGGTAGTTTGTCTGAGTTCTCACCCGTCAAATCATCAAAACACAGGCTTCTCAAGATACGGGGGTCTCGAGACCTCGAGATTCGGAGAGCGAGCTTGAACGTTTCGTTTGTCTCGTCGCTTGCTGAGGCTTTTTGCGCGCGGCCATCCTCGTGTGACTTTATAGGTGTGCCAGACCCCAACGTTCTCAATTGCGTCGATGGTTTAGTGGTAAAATTCTCCGTTGCCACCCAGCAGCGTCGGGGAGCCGGGGGTTCGATTCCCCCTCGACGCATGTTTTTTGCATCTTCGCCGTCCAGGTTCTAGTATCTATGATATTTCTCTTTCTCTTTTGTCGAATGTTCAGTCAATGAGTGCGCGAGATAGACTACGCGTTTATCTAGTTCCAGGCAGAAGTTGGAAGTCTAAAGCAGAGGTCCATAATATGTGGACGATAGCTTATGAAAACTCTCCGGTACATCCCAATCGCTCAAGGTAAACCACGTCTCTGGAGAGTTCCTCATGCTAGAGCTTAGAATGTTCAAAAATATGGTACACCATGTGCGAAACAATTTATACATCTTTGGAGGGGAGCTCCTTGGGACTACGAATAGTGCACACTCTGCAACAAAGTGTTATATTGAACAACTAGAACAGAGTTTGCGCGCTCGTGAAGACCACGAATGCCATTGAATGGAAGAGTAAGTTTCGGACTCAAAAGTGGCTGACTTTAGAGATCTCTGTGAGAAAACTAGTCCAGGAGGTCTTGTCATCCGACCTTGTGATAGCCCTTATTGTCCTCTGCTTATCACGGATGGGGACGGGAAGCCTCATTCACGGCCCGTTACGACCCATAGCGTATGGCTAGCAATTGCCTGATCATTTTGACCCATCTGGAAGTTCATACCTTATCATCACTCTGGTGGACTTACATCCAAGTGCACGAAAGACTTGAGAGGTGATCAAGGTTAATCTGGACCGATACTGGGCCTATGAATGTCCTCTTCTTGGCCGCGCCGGAAGCGGACGAGGACCCCGAAATCCTCTGCTACAGTCGCTTCATGGTTGTCTCGCATGATACCGTTCTAATTCGCTCAAGATGCCGGCATCTCCACATGTGTACCCTGTAAGTGAGCAAAGAGGCAACTTCGCCGTCGCCATGCATATGCATGTTTGCTCTGTTGGTTATGTTCTCTAAAGTTCATCACAAGGAGAAGAGGGGTTGAAAGAGTTGCCCAGGGCGCTGGCTTCATCACAAAAAAGTCAAACCCCCCAGATCTTTTTTTCTTGAAAATCTGACCGCTGCTCTGACACTTTCTCTTCTTTGTAACTGAATAGTATCCAGTGTCGCATTTGCCATCGGATTAGAAAGAAGTTGGGTCGTTTGGTAAATCAGAGTCTCAAGGCAAGCCGCGATAATCAACGCTCAGCTCTACGCAAACATCTCCAGAAATGCATCAGCCACCACAAGTCATCGTTGCCGAAGACGCGGTATGAATTCGAATATTCCATCAGTCGCCTCGCGTGAGAAACTAACACATTGCTATAGCAAACAGATGATGACCGCTCCGAGATCGAGGTTAGTCAGAATGCAGTACCGACCTCCCACCTTCGCATCTGACCTTTGTGTAGAGCATTGCCACGTCGAGTACGAGCATCAGCAGTTCGATTCTAGATTATAGAATCGAGAACGGAAGAACTTACCACCGATATAAAGATGGCAGTGAGCCTCCCTTCTCCGCTCTAGCTGACCTTAATGTCAATTGGCAAACCTCTTTCTCTGACAAGTGCTCTGTGATTAGAATACGTTCTTCCGAATGATGAATCGGAAAGCGATAGACTAGGTTTCAGCACCCCTCCTACACATATCCTGAAGTCCTTTGGCTCAAAGTGATTAGACATGCAACACGAGATCTTTCTCTACACTATTGGTGGGAGACTGGGGCAGGCACCCTCGTGTGATAAAGAAGCACGCGTTGGGCGCGTCCTCGACGTCGGCACCGGTACCGGCATTTGGGCTATTGACTTTGGCGAACTCCATCCCGAGGCCGAGGTAAGGGAACTATCTACGCCTTATTTTTGGCTAATTTCTCACTTCGATACATCATTAGGTCTATGGGGTTGATCTTTCGCCCATTCAGCCAGAGTTGTAAGAGGAATCATCGCTCAACATCATTTGAGAGGACTATTTTGAGCATGCTGATACTTTCCATGTCCAATAGCACACCGCCAAATGTAAGATTCGAGATTGACGACGTTGACGAGGATTGGACCTATTCGCAACCTTTTGATTATATCCATAGTCGGTTCATGACGGGTGCTATCACCGACTGGAGGAAGTTTTTCAGGTCTGCTTACGAGTAAGAGTCCCTTCTCTTTTTGTTATTTACGGATAGAAACGAACATCTGATCTCTCCTTACAGCAACCTCAACCCTGGCGGGTGGTTCGAAGTTCAAGATGCAGATATCAATCCCCAGTCCGACGACAACACGTTCCCCAAGGATTGCGCCTTGGCTGAGTACGTCAACCTGCTCCAAGAAGGCGCAACCATGGCGGGCTGCGACTATGTCGATATTCCTGGTTTGTCGTGTCTCATGGAGGAGGTTGGATTTACCGACGTCTCTGTTCAGATGTTCAAGTGGCCTATTAATCCATGGGCGAAGGATCCTAAGTATGCAAATCGCAGCGGACCCTCCATTTTTTCATGACTCTCATGCTAAGTGTTATTGGACAGGTACAAGACGCTTGGCCTTTGGACCCAGGATAACTTTAGCAGCGCTCTCCATGCTCTCTGCATGGCGCTCTTCACGCGCGTCCTCGAGTGGACACAAGAGGAGGTTGAGGTCTTTCTCATCAACGTGCGCAACGATGTGAAGAACACGAACTATCACGCGTACTTCCGCATGTGAGTTGTCCCGATCTGCTGCTTCCAGGCCGGTAGACATTACTTTCGAGATGCTGACGATAGACGGACAGCTACTGCGTCGTCGGCCGCAAGCCTGAGACGCAGGCTGAGAAGACGCCAGCTGCTCCTCCCCAGATTCCGTCTCTTGCAGCTCCTGCGGCTACAAGTCCGACGAGTCCCGCGACGCCTGCGACTGCTGGATCTACAAGTCCGAAGAGTCTGAAGAGCCCGCAAAGTCCAAAGAGCCCCGTGACTCCTTCAAAGGCTGCAACAGCTGCTCAAGAAAAGTCGTAGACTTGTCAAGTGTGTCGGTATAGAGTGACGTGGTTGTCACTGATGGCTTCCTTGAATGCATTTACACAGAGTCAAGCTTGAGACCCAAGGGGAGGGGGGGAAGGCTATCATTCTAGCAAGCCATAATGTTTTTCATACATGTTGCAGCAGCTGAAAGACCATTGTGCTACAACCTAGATGCTGGGGAGAGAGTCTAGACTAGTTGGGGGCGGCTACTAAATATGCAAATTGACATGGGTCCCAAGGACCTGGGAGGAGCGCAAGCGGCGTTCCGCACCTCTGCCCATATTTGGTACTCGGAGCCCGTCGCGCTTGTGTTTGTGATACTTGTCATTAATCTCATTCGTTCAAGAGACTCTCCATGCTCCACAATTCATTGCAGAAAAGTGTGGGCATAAGGCAACATCGCCGCGAACTCGCATATGCGGGTTGATTTGTGTCTTTGTTGGTTTCCCGGGACGGACAGGGGTGTGTATGTGTCCAGAGTTGCGCCGTTTCTTGTGTCACCTCACAAAAAGACGTGCGCTTCCTGTTGGTTTTTGTTTCGTTTCCCCCCTACAATCGTTTTCCGAAAACCAGGTGTTCGGGCTCGATGTAGTTTGTTTCCATTTCGTCACAAAGTCGACTGTCAATTCCACCTCTCTCCCCCTCGCATGTGAGATCGCAGACTGGATAAGCCCCCGCATCCCAAGAAAGCTAGTCCACGCTTCCGACAGGGTTCTGTCAAGACTTGTACCTCCGGAACCCCGTTGTCATCATGGCTGAGATTGACCGCGAAGTTAAGATTGTAGCTGAGGTACTTTGTTGAGCTCAAGCTTGGCCCAGGTGGCAGATGTCCTGACGTGTCAGCAGGAGACTGATAATCTCAGCAATCTCACCTCAGAATTCGGTGTGAGTTAGTTAATGGCCCCTCCTTCACCATGGTTTTGTGTCCGGACATGATGGTTCACTAAGCAAGGGGATGATCCGTTCGTGACAATTGCTGATGTTAATGGGAAATGGTAGAAAGTAGCATTATCAACACATAGCCTCACAGCGTCAATCCTCCAGAATCGAGTCGAGAATGGCCGGACATATCATCGATACAAGGACGGAAGTGAGTGATTTTCCAATTATCTTACACGAAAGACGAATGGTTGCAATATGACAACTCATATAACTAACGAATGCTTCTCACCCCAGAATACAGCATGCCAAATGACGAGACGGAGAGCGAGAGACTAGGTGCGCGCTACTACACTGAGAAACTCACGAGAAACGAATTGACAAGCTGACACACTCTGTTCAGACTTCCAGCACGACATTTGCATCTACACCTTCGACGACAAACTCGGCATAGCCCCACCTTGCGAAGAAGACGTCCAAGTCGGTCGAGTTCTCGACGTGGGGACGGGGACCGGGAGTTGGGCCATGGATTTTGGCGACTTACATCCCGAGGCTGATGTAAGTCATAGCATTACGTCCCTCTCACGAGCTCACTACTGTGAACGGAAGGAATCTAAGTGACTCTACAGGTGTTGGGTGTCGATCTCTCGCCTGTGAAAGCAGAATTGTATGCTTGAGCCTCCCACCGCATTCTTGACACGGGATTGAGCTTTCAAGAGCGATACTGACCAAGCGCACTCAAATTCTAGCGTGCCACTAAACGTCAGATTCGAGGTTGATGATATTGAGGAAGACTGGACATATTCACATCCGTTCGAGTACATCCATAGTCGATTCTTGACGGCAAGTATTGAGGACTGGGAACGATTCATCAAACAATGTTATGAGTAAGAACATGTGCCATATTTTGAACCTCTCTTACCATCGGTACTCTGACAAAAACAGCAATCTTATCCCTGGCGGATGGCTGGAACTCCAGGAAGCCGATTTGATGCCGAGATCGGACGACAATACTCTCCCCGAAGATGCCGCCATCATCAGATACGTACATATGCTGAACGAAGCCTCCGAGAAGACGGGCCGCAAGTTCATTGAGCCAAGTTCTCTTAAAGCCAAGATGATTGCAGCTGGTTTCGTCGATGTCGAGCTACGCATGTACAAGTGGCCTCACAACGAGTGGCCCAAAGAAGACAGGTACTTCAAAGTTTCAGAGTGGCTTCCCATCGGAGACCTCTGTAGGTAAAGGGCCATACATGCTAAATGACAAACAGGTACAAGAGGCTAGGGTATTGGACGCAGGAGAATTTCGGCACTGCCCTCGAAGCGCTGTGTATGGCGCCGTTCACTCGCGTCCTCGAATGGACCAGAAACGAGGTCAACGTGTTACTCATCAACGTTCGGAAGGACCTGAGAAACACGAATTATCATGCTTACTGCCCTGTGTATGTGCCGTCCTGTGGAGCGTCCGATGTTGCTTCTCGCTAACGATCGTGGAAAGTTACTGTATTGCCGGCCGCAAGCCATTGCAGCGCAGATCAGACTTTCTATGAAGGGCTGAGAAACCTACTCCGTCTTAACAGGAGACTGGCTTTAGACTCTATCAAATCGAGGCATGTCCCAGGCGTTTGCACACCAATGGAAATGAATTTGGGACTTTGGGAACCTGGATCAACCCATTCGACCGCCCGTATTTAGAATGTTTCAACCAGACACAGGAAAGAAGGCTGTCAAGTAGCCAGCGATGCTATTTAAAAGTGGTCAAAATGACTGCAAAGTGCTTGATTCTCGCACCTAGATTATTAGGAACCTAGGAACTATGGATAAGAATGTAAATTGGGTGCATAATTGACCCATTACCAAAGCAATACTTCTCCAACCAATTAACGCTATCGCGAAGTTATCTAAATATCCCGGAAACGTCTTTCCAGTTTCTCTTTCCACAGTGATGCATGACAGGAAACCTCACTCCCCTCACTCACTGGGTGGCTCTTCGCGGCAAGACACGCCGGACGACTCTGATTTGGCGAAAAGTGCCAGTAAACACGGTGGATAAGTGACATACCACGCACCAACTGCGAAGCAATGAAACCAACGAGACCCGATGCAGGCCCTGATTAGTTGATCAAGCTTGCAGTCAGATCTAAGTGCTTGCATTCGGATGGGGGGCTGAGGCGGTACGATGTTGGAGTAGGCGCGCCGAGGGTAGAGGCGCCGCACTGGAGTACCACCAACAGCACTGAAATGCCCTGGTCCATCTTCCGACGGTGCCTACGGAGAACCTGGCAAGTTGAGGTAGGCAGCCGTTCAAACCCCCCACGGAAAAGCCAACTAGCGTGGCGTTACGGTCAAGTCTAGTAAGCTTAAAAGGGGGCCCTCATTTCAAGCATTCGTAAAAGAGGAGAACCGGATGAAGCTAGAAGAGAATATGGAACTTAGAAGCTAGGGAACCGACACTGGGAACCGGTCCCCCGGCTCACCCAACCCAGTCTTCGGGTTGCGGATGCCTAGAACGTAGAAATCTATAGCGTTCTTTGCCCCGGCGTGTCTCCACTTTTCCGTGCGGTGCTGCGGTGCAAGGCCGGCGAAGTTCGCTACTGCACTGCCACTTCCTGTTGTTCCCCACCCGAAATAACCAGAGAACCCGCCAAACTTGTACCGCCGTTTCTAAACTTAGGTCCTTTGGCGGTAGGCAGGATGCAGACACGGCCACACTGCGGAGTACTACCTACACCTGTCGCCAACAACTCTACCTTACTTACCTTACCGACTATCTGGTAAACCATGGAGGATCGTTGGGAGTTTGTAATTTCATGACATTGGAGCTAGGCGGTCGAACTCAAGGCCACGATGTTTGCTGGGACATATAACCACGGTGGTGCCGCCATTGACGATGCAGTCGGGCTCTGCTGTGCTACTGTATCTTTCATCTCTAATACCCCTCAGCCTCGACGAGTGTGATCCTCACTCTGGAGATCCAACTTGATGCCCGTCTCGATCCCATCTTAACACTAGACCACTTACACCGACGAATCATCATCAACAGCATACCGGCCATCATGAGTTCATCACCCTGCACGCTCGCGACGTGCGACGTCTCCGACAGTCCGTACGGCTACCGCCCAACACTCACAGGCAGCGCCGTCTTCGCTACCGTCTCGGCCCTCTGCCTGGTCATCAACGGCGCCGTCGCCGCCCGATCAACCCAACGACATGCCACAACCCCCTTCTCCGTCATCGTGACCCTCGCCTGCGTGCTTGAGTTGCTGGGCTGGGTGGACCGCATGGCCGGCTGGAGCGATCCCTGGGCCTTGTACCCTCTCCTGCAGAGCAAGGCCCTGCTTACTATTGCTCCCATCTTTGTCACTTCAAGGTACGTCTAGTTCCCCACGAGACCGTGTTAGCCTCAGCAGAAAGTCGTATGCTGATACCGCCGCAATAGTATCTACGTCTGCCTCGCACCAATGGTCCGGATACTAGGCACAGAACACTCCTTCATCAAACCCGAGCTCTACTCCATCATCCTCCTCCCGCTAGACGGTCTCGCCCTCCTCCTCCAAATCGTAGGCCTCGGCATCGGCTTCCAAAACGTGCCATACACCCTCTCACCACAGGACTCGTACGCCCCTAACGACGTGGGCGCGAAAATCATCCTGGCTGGTCTGGCCGTCCAGCTCGCAACCCTGGTTGCTGCTGGCCTATCCCTCGCCTTCATCCTCCTCCGCGCAGCCCGCTCCTACCAGCAGTACGGCTACACCACTTTCCACCGCGACGTGGGTTATGTGCCCCTGACAGGCCGCTTTCGCATCTTCGCCGGCGCGATGCCTTCCGCCATGGTCGTCCTGTTCAGCAGGATGTGTTTCAGGGTCGCCGATTACGCAGAGGGCTTTCGGGGTCCGCTGACGAGGAGCGGTGGGGAGGGACTGTTTCTCGGCCTTGAGGGGTTCCTTGTCGGGTACGCGCTCCTGGCGATTGTCGGGTGCCATCCGGCGCTGTTCCTGAAGGATGGGAAGATGGTTTCGAGGATTGAGTCAGAGCCATTTGTCGGTATCGACGGTGTTGGGAGTACCGGCGGAAACGGTGACCACGAGAGGGATTTGGAAGAGCTGAGCAAGGTGTATCAGAGGCACCACGAGGAGGAGCAGAGGTTGTCGAGATTTGATCGCGTTTGAAGATGATACCCCCCGTTTAAAAGTAGCGTGCGTTGATAATTTTGAGTTCATTATTAAAGGAACCTATGTGAAAATTACCTATTATGTCATTCCTGCATTGGTTCTTTGAGGCTCTTCCGCTCATATCGGAATGTTGCAGTACGTATCGCATACTCCAAGTGCAAATCAACCCTTTCACAAATCGACGGAAAGTTCTTGCAGCTCATATAGGAGAATAGCTCCATTGCGGCATCTAGCAGTTATCGCAGAATTATAAGCAAGTTGGATATAGCATCTAAGTAGGTTGGAATCTACAAAATGATAGAAGAAAGCCCCTACTCGATTTACAACAACAGACTAATTGCTGATTGCTATGTCGAGTATATCAATCCATCTTATATACATTTCCTATGTGTGCGCATCTCTTTTCACAATGTGTAATAGTCAGCCCTCAACCATGCAAGCTCACGACCGTGAGAGCTCCGGTGAGCTGTCCAAACGTGCGTGGTAGTAACCACGATGGGTCTCGACTACTACCTCGGCAACATGGGTTGGTTCTCCATCTGAGTGACATCCGTCGCCATATTCTACAACCCGAGAGTCCGTCAAATCCACGCACGCGGGAGGGGCCTCGTCTGACAGGACGACTCTACTCAGACCATGTCGGATCTCAATGTCAGAGACCGAGTCCACAATTAAGGAACTTTGGGGGGCTAACATAATTGGTCTTGAAACGCAATTCCCAAGATCGTCAATAGTGCTTACCGTTGAAGATGACCGAGGTCCACATAAGACGCCTCTCCCGCCAACGTAATACCACTCTGACCAAACAGACATGGAAAGTCATATAAAGCCAATTACCATGGTGCCATGGGGTCTGTCAAAACACGATCTCTCTCTTCTCTTGTAACCGGCCCAAACTTGCTTTCGACTCTTAAAAAAACTAGACCAAACATAAAACCCTCCCACAATGTCGAGCAAACCCGTCATCGTCCTCACCCCAGGAGCATGGCACTCGCCAGAGCACTTCCAAGACTTCCGCGACGAACTACACACAAGAGGCTGGGAGACTCACGGCGTGAGGAACCAATCTGTCGGCTCTGAACCGCCGACCAAGGGCTTATACGACGACGCGGCCGCCACCGCTGCCGTGTTACAAGAGCTCGCCGATCAGGGCAAACAAATCGTTCTTATCGCCCACTCGTATGGCGGTCTTGCGGCGGCCGAAGGCGTCAAGGGGTTCGGGATCAAGCAGAGGACCGCGGAAGGCAAACCCGGCGGCGTCATCATGTTTGTGTACCTCGCTGCGTTTGTGGGACAAAAGGGGCAGAGCATCTTGAGCTTGACGGGCGATGTGTACCCCCCGTGGACGAAAGTAGAGGTGAGAAATTTCTTCTCGGTCTTCTTCTTCTCTGAGGGTCTTGATATACTAACAAAATAATAATAGGACGGCCGAATCCTTCTCTTGGCCACCGATGAGCCCTTCTACGGAGACGTGCCCTCAGAGGCACGGGAAAAGGCAAAGACCTTCCTCAAGCACCAGACGACGGTCTCGTTCGAGGAGGCAGTGACGTACGAGCCTTGGCACGACGTTACTTGCATGTACGTCGGCTGCGAGGACGACCAGGCGATTCCTTATTTTGCGCAAGAGAAGATGCAGGAGCTCCTGGGGCCCACGGCGACCAAGTTGAAGCTGAAGTCTGCGCACTCGCCGTTCCTTTCCATGGTGACTGAGACGGCTGATGCTGTTGAGCTTGCTGCGAAGAAGGGGCTGGAGTCTTTGTAGGGTTGAACAAGAGGTGTCGGGGGTTTGAAGTGGTTGTTATCGCTATGGAGGTGTGTGTTTTGAGTGCAGCATTGTATTGCCATCGACTGGAGGGCGATGTGGCGGCATACCGTAGCCACGAGTGATGACACTGAATCAATACTGTACATATCCAGTGAATCAGCCCCAAAGGTATTCGGTTTGAAAATCAAAGTAGATGATGTGAGTGATGGCGCTTGCATCGTACTTGTTGCACTTTTGATTAAGCCGAGATAGATTGTGTTGGACCATCTTTCGTAAGTTTGTCGGCGGATAGACGCTGGAAATACCTCCAAATGCATCCCTCGCATGGGCTTCTTCATGCATATGGCTATCGAACCCGACAATACCATTGTGTGATGTCGTCTCAACTTTACTGCAACACATGGAAATTCATGTATTGCAGCACCCAACTGAAACCAATTGTCACCATCATGCGTACTTCCCTCCGATATATACTCGCATGAATGGGTAGGTTGTCGCTCTAGATGTTCAGTTCAGAGGGTAACCGATTGTCAGTTGGAGTCTATATCCAGTGAGTATGAAGCATGTTCACTGTGCTGAGTTTGTTCCCTGCCGTTGCCTCAAATTTTCTCAGTTCATACTCCTTATACTGCGGATAAGATATCTTGAGTTGCAGATAGTAGGTAGCGAACAACCTCATGTGAGTCTCGACGTAAGTATTCAACGTTTCTCGTAGGATTGTGCAGCCGGTGACGAGGCATGAACCATGACCGAATGCGAATACACGAATGAGCGTAATGTCATTCATCCCATCAATTTTTTGGACAGAGGGAGAAGAGAGAATCCCGTAATAGGCATCGCTGACTAGACATAGTGAATAGTAGGCAGCCATCAAAAGGTCGTACCGTAGTGCCTTGAGAGACAAGTCGATGCCTACGGGTGGTTGCATGAAGAAGAAGAGTTCCCAAAAAGGGTTGCTAAGATGAGGTAAGGTTGCCGGGATGCTCCCCGCCGTGAAACCCCCACCAAAACCCTTTCCAAGGCACCAGCCTGTGGTGCACCTTGACGTAGCCAGCCAAGCAGCAGGAACAGCCGGGATCCCGTGTAAACAAAAGCAGGAAATAATCAGCCAAGCCGAAGCGAAAAGCATAGGAAGGTGTGTAATTACAAGACTGACTTCAACTTCACTTACCTTACTTCACTGAAAGACTCCAATCTCACGCATCAACACAGGAAGACGACCCCATCTTGACACTATCAACTGAATCTTCAACCCCGCGCCTACTTCAAAACTCCTCAGGACCACCACCAGACACAGACACCATGGCACCCCCCTCCCAGCTCACCGTCGCGACCCTCTCCGTCACTAGACTCCTCAAGGAGGAGATCTCGTACGAGAAGGAACTCATCCAGCAAAAGGGCAAGGTCACGACGCTGGAGAATGAGATCAAGGAGGGCAAGCCCGATGAGGACGGCAACCGGGAGTATATGCTTAAGCAGTTGGTATGTTCACCTCCCGTCGCCCAATGCCGCTGGAATTCTCGGTCCATCGAGGCGCCAATCTTGAAGGGTACACACCGCCGACTGACTTTGGGACTAGAAACTCGCAGTGGAGGAGACGCAAAAGGTGTTTCCCGAGCTGAGAACCCGCGTCGAGGACTCAACCGCCAAGCTGGAAGAGCAGATTGCCCTGGCCGAGAGCAGCGGTGCATCTCCCGAGGAGCTGGAGACGGCGAGACTTGCGCTCGCAAAGGGCAAGGAGGAGAAGACGTATCTCAAGGACGACGTCTCTGCTTAGAGGTGTGATTGTTTTTTTTTCGCGCTTTGATATCAAACAGGAGAAGAGGTTCGGGATTGCGTTGTGATCAGTGGCAGGCGAGCGGCATGAGCACGATATCTGCCTGGTTTAATGGGTATCTCAATTGAGGGACTATTCTAGGATCCTCCGAAGCACTTGATTCGTCTAGCTGTCCACCTCCATACTCTCCGGTGCGTCCACTGTGATTTGAGGGGTATCGCCTCCCGAAGTGAGCTGTGTGTCATGGTGATCATCCATCTCAACGTCCTCTCCCTCTTCAATCTCGCCCTCGTCATCGTCTTGAGGATGAGGCGTGCCACTCTGGCTCGGGACGGCGCTGCCGGAGCGCGAAAAGCTGCCCAAGCCACCCGGTCGAGGCTTGAGGCCCTCGGACTGATCCTCCGACTGACCCTCGTGCGCCGAAGTCGGTCTCGGCACGGCACCGCTGTCTGGGTGCGGCGTGACGTTGCCGCTGGAGACGTGGCGAGGCGTGTTGCCCCCTCTAGAGGCCTCGCCATCCTCCTCGCCGTCTTCGTTCATGCCCTCCCGTCTCTCGACCTCCTCCTTCTCGTCGCGGATCTGTCTGCGCAGTTGCATGCCCTCATCCATAATTTTGCTGAACTGATCGCGTCTCTCCCGCCAAGTCACCGCGTAGGTCTCGCTCTCCTTCTCCAGGTCGCGAATCTCCTCCTCGAGTTTCTTCAGGTTCGACTCCTGCTCCCCGCGCGGCCGCAGGCCCTTAGCCATGAGCGCGTTGGCGAGCTTGTCGTACTCCTTACGTTGGGCAAGCGTCGCTCTAGCGCCCTCCAGCTGTTCGCGCAGCCGTGCATTGTTGTGTCGGACATTTTGACATTCCTCGAGGATGCGTTGTTGATCGGCCTTGTAGCGTTCGCGCTCGCGGACATTCGCGTCGAGGAGGAATTGCAGCCGGGCGATGCTGCTGTCGAATGCGGCAAAGTCGAGGGTGAGATCGTCCTTGATCTGGTCAATCTCTCGCAGGGTTTGAGCGTTCTTCGTCTCCCACTTCGCCTCGGAATCAATATCCTTGTCGCCGTTTGCGCCCTCAGGTGGCGGGGTGGGTTGTTGTTTCGATTGGGCGTTTACAATCGCCGAGATGGATGTGAGCCGCTTGGTGATTCGCTTGAAGGGCTTCTCCTCAATGTTGACTAGTCGGGTCTTGTGCAACTCCTGCTCCTCCTTGTCGTCCAGAAGATCCCAAGACGACGCCATTTTGCGTTATTGAATTGAGGAAAGACGAACTGTGCCACTTGTTGAATTGTTAAAGCCAGATGCTCGAGCTTCTATCCTGAGGCTATGCTGTGGAGGACGCTTTATTGCTGGTCCTGTGAGTTTGCCTAAAAATGATCAGGTCGTAGCTCTGCCGAGTTAATGGTGCAAAGTGGTATGATTGATGTGAGCGACAATGATTCGCGACACATACCACAGTTAACAGTGATGGAAAGGCTAGACTGGACTCAAAGGAGCAGCTGCGAATGAAAAGAAGCTCCTGCACCTTCCTTCTCTCACACCTCAGCCTTGCAGTAGCATGCCTTACCTATTCCAGTGGGGATTGGTCAGCTACATGAAGCCTTAAGCGCTGTGAAGTGGGTCACCGCCCCCTCTACCTGCCTTAGATAAGGTAACTCCGATCGCACTGTCAAAGCGTCCTCTTTCCCAACATTCAATGATCTCATCCTCTTAAAAACACACAACTTCCTCGGGCGCAAAAGCATTTCTTTGGTCGCAAAGCCCAGAAACACCACAACAAAAAGACAGTGAAACTCTGCAACACTCGGATATGCCGTCTCAGGAAGAACAAGAACTGCTGGCCAGAATAGGCCAGCTTGCCGGTATGTGATAATTTTGTAACTAAACACAGGCGAAAAGAGCGCGTATTCTCTAACATGGTGGCAAACAGGCAAGATTAATCTTCACAAGGCCCAGCAAGCTGGCGTTCAGTCGGTACCAAGCAGCCATGCTTCCTACAATCGTCGTATGTTGAATATTAGGACCGATAAACCATCCTGGCGCTTATATATTATAGACAACACTCACCGACATGGCGCCTTCCCTCACAAGCATCGAGTCCAGCCGTACCCCTCCACTCGAGGAGGCCCGACAGGTTTCCGGCACCGGTCCTTGGTGGTAAACAAGGATGGAACCCAAACACCTCCTTCCGATTCGTCATCTCCTGCTGAGGGTTCTGGCTTGACGACTTCCTCGGGCGCCTGGATTTCGAAGAATACCCGCGGTCAGAGGTCGTTGATCAACTCGGCCGTCTACGACAAGAACAACGAAGCACACGCCAAAGCTATCGAGGCGTCGCGCCAACAGAAGATCCGTCAGCAGGATGTGCGCGAGCAACAGCAGCTTGCCAATCATTTTCAACGCTACAGCGGCAATGCAAGCGCACCGCATACTTCTACTAATCCGATAGCGGCAGGCAATCACGAGATAGAGATTCAAGGCATTCGCTTCCGTGTCGCGAACGGCGGCAGCAAGCTCATCAAAGTGTCGGGTGCGTCGTCACTATCATTTCGCTCAGCAGGGCGAACTTACAATCGTCCAGGAGATTTACACCCAGTCAACGCTACCCCCAAGGTCGCTTTCGTTGGGGGCGTGAAATTTCACCGCAGCAAGACCGGCAACCTGTACCGCGACGGTGTGCTGAAAGCTCAACGGTATGAATCATTCCTTCATGGCTGACAATTGCTAACTTGGGTCACTCCCCCAGCCAAACTGGCATCAAAAAGGTCGACGTGCATTGCAGCATGTTTTCGCTGACTGGTATTTCATTCACAATCTTATCCGATCGCCCACGCAATATCCGATTCGACAGATTTGGACGATTTCTTGCTCAAGTGGGTATGATATACCGGACTCCACTAACCACCATCATTTTTTAGGTTCATGTGCCAAGGGACCATCTTGTCGATACAAGCACGATGCTTCAAAAGTTGCCATCTGTCGGGAGATGCTGCACAAGGGGACTTGCGCCAGTGGGGAGTCTTGTGATTTGTCCCATGACTTGACGCTCCAGCGCATTCCGACCTGCGTCCACTTCCTCAAGGGCAACTGTGCCAACTCCACTTGCCCCTATGCTCATTCTAGTGTATCCTCAGGTGCTCTGGTCTGCCGTTCCTTTGGGATGTACGGCTACTGCGACAAGGGAGACGAATGCGAAGAGCGCCACGTCTTCGAATGCCCCGACTTCAGCAACACGGGCAAGTGTAAGACCAGGGGCTGCAAGCTTCTTCACCGCGAGAGGGCAAGCGTCCTTCGAAAGCGGGCGGACGGCGACGAGATGGAGGATCTGTCGAGCGACGACGAGCCAGTCGACAGCGATGACGTGGACTCGGACGAAGTGGAGGAGTTTATCACCGACGGTGCTGGTGATGATACTGACTTCAAGGTCCAGAAGGACTTTATCTCTTTCTGACTGTGATCTGATGCCACATTGCCGAGGCCGAATGGTCTCTTTTCACTACTGACATGCTTGCTATCCACTCCTTGAGAGGGTCCAGACAAAGAAAGGCTTCGAGTCTCCTTATGTCGGACGTGTTTCCGGTTACGAAAACGATTGGGGAAGAAAACAACAAACGATACCCACAAAGAAGATGGAGGGCCAGAGCGTTGATACCAAGGAGGAAAGAGAAGAATAGAAGAGCATGATAATGATGCCGATGAAAGAAGAAGACGAAAAAGATGTAGCAGAAAATGATAGAAATATAAATCATGGAACACGAAAAGAAGAACTGAAAAAGTGATGCCCTGTTCGAGCTTGGAGAATATACTTGGAGAGTAAGGCTTCTTAGCTCTCCGTCATCTGTTGATTTTTGATGCCCACTTGAATCTCGTAAAGATTCAATCCAACATGATATATATTGACTACTATTAGAGCGTGATATTGGTGCAAAATCCCCATGTGGAAGAGTGACATTGGCCAAGCATCATTTCCGTGTGCGGGCCGGCCCAACTGTTCGCGGGTGTCTCAACTATATCAATTAAAATTTCCATTAAAATTTACCCCGCCATTCCTCCCCCCCTGTGGACTCCTGAAATCAGCCGTCATTCGATGACAATTCCTTGCGCTGACACACACAAGCTTCAAGTTCCCACTGCCCAGAGACCCCTCTTGGCCCTTTTTCGCCCCCATTTCCAGTCGGAGCAGTCGGCGCCACATGTTGTCTTCTGGACAGCCCTTTGTCCCTCGGACAGCGGGCTAGGGAGCTTATTGCGAGGCGCTAACGAAGACCCGTCATTTGGTGGCCATATCGTGGTCGGATCGGGGCTTGCTGATCTGAGGCTGGCCGCTGCCTTGTTGGAGGATTCGCGTCTTTGAACAGCACCGCCATCTACTCAGCCCCTTGGACTACACACTCTCTCATCCTTTTTTCCGAAGCTGAGAATAGCACCAAGTCTGACAACACTGCCTGTCCTGTATTGAACATAGGTCGTTGTGTTTTCTTCTTATGGATAATTGAACAATTCCCTTTGCCAAAGATACCTTCTTTCTTCTCGTCGCTTGTTATTAATATCCGGCCCTCCTGTCTCCTGACCTAACCTACCTAGTCCTAAGCTCGAAGTTTACACCTGGATTAGCACTAATCCTTCCCGACGTCATCATGGGCATACGCGACGTTCTCATGAAAAAGGAGAGACTCAAAGGCGAGCCCAGCAGCGAGGATGCAGTAAACAGGCTGGCAGCCCCCGAATTCAAATTCATTCGGTCAGACACACACACCCAAGAGGTCATCCACCCCCCGAGCGGCCCCCCAGGCTTCGACGACGGCAAGGAACAGTACCTGAACCCGAACGGCAACGACGGCGGCGGCGGCCAGAAGCCCCGGCGCAGCCTCGACGTCTTCTTCGGTAACAGCCGATCGCGCAGCGCGTCTGCCTCCTCGCAGGCGAGCTCGACCTCGAACGCCCACTCGAACAATGGCAAGATTGGGAGACGGCTGTCGGAGCGGCTGCACCTCAGCCGCTCGCCCGCCTCGTCGGAAAACGTCCCGCAGAACCTACCGGATATCGTGACCACGGCCGAGGGCGGCGAGGGGGACGAGCTGCAGTGGGAGAAGCGCGCGACCATGCTGGCTTCGGCGAACAAGAGCAGGCCCGCGACGCCGTTGGCCAACGACGCGGGGGGTGGGGGAGACATGACGAGGGGTAGGCCGCAGGGCGCGGCGGCGGCGGCGGTATCGTCTCCGGCCATTGACGAGGATATTCAGGAGGCTATCCGGCTGCACGAGGCGGGGGATTTCGAGAACTCAACGGCCATGTTCGCCCGCCTGGCTGATCCGAAAGGGGCGAATAACACCCTGAGCCAGTTTCTATACGGTCTTTCTTTGAGGTGAGATGCCTTTTGCTTGCATGTGGACTGGTCTCGACTTCTACTCGGCACTTCCCCGTACCTATAAGACGGGATCATGCGCGGGGGCGCGCTACGGCTCGCCGGGCGATCATGTTGCATCGGGGACGGGGAAGGGCTTTGGGACAGGACCTCACAGGTGCCACGATGCTTGGGCTATTTGGACGGATTGCTGACGAGGGTTGACAGGCACGGATGGGGTTGCGAACCAGACCCAGAAGGGGCTATCAAGTATCTCTCGGCAGCGGCGTCGAATGCGGCAACTGTCGAGCAGATGGCGTTAAAGGCAGGGCTCAAAAAGGGTGGTGCTGCCAAGGGCGAGCTCGTTCTGGCCATTTTCGAGCTGGCGAATTCCTTTCGACACGGTTGGGGCACAGCCAAGGACCCAATAGCGGCAAAGCAGGTGAGAAATTCTGTCCACATAACGGAGGGGCACGAGGGGTGCCTTTGAAATCATAAGGTGATCACGCTTTGGAGGTCTAGAACTGACATGTTGTCGTCATAGTACTATGAGACTGCGGCGAACCTTGGAGATACCGGTGAGCCTGCCCTGATGATACACTTTGAGGCGTTGAGGCCCAATTGATATATACCAGTATGCTAACCCGCCTTGTTCGCCTCAGATGCTATGAATGAGGTAGCCTGGTGCTATGTAGAAGGCTTCGGATGCAAAAAGGACAAGGTACGTTTGGCCATGTATCACCCAACATGTCAAGCGGCATTGCGTCTACCGGGTCTTGCGACATGTGGCCCAGAACTTGGTCTTGAGGGGCCAGCCAGTATCAGCCTCAGCAGCCCCAGATATTGTGTGGCTTGCACTCAGTGAGAGCACAAATGTCATGGGATGTGAGAGAGCACGCAGATACAGATTGACGTCCGTCTTGGGCCGTCGGTAATCCGTCTTGGCCCAGGTTGGGCACCAATACGGCGAACCCTGAAAGACGGCCGCAAACAGGAACCCGCGCAGCACGCATGCTCAATGTCATCACATGAGGCTGACAACATGTCCAGTTCGCAGCAGCCCGTTACTACCGGTTGGCTGAAAAGAACGGCAACAAAACACTAGGCAATTCATGGTAAGTCGAGCCTGTTTGTTCCTTTCTTTCTTTCCTTCTTATTCACTGGTTCGTTGGTGGTTTCCCCAGAGTTGGATCCGGCGCATGCATCGCTGAGGGTGGAGGGGGAAAGCTGCAGCTCTCTTGTCGCGGATGACTTGCGCGCTGCGGCATTGATAGGCTCCCAAGGCTTTCTTAACCTGTCTGCCTTCCCCCCAAAATGCGGAAGCTCGCCCTGTCATTCGATACTTTTGGATGACAGTGTCAGTCAGCTTTCCCGGAGCTGCACGCGGTAAACTGCCGCTGCAAGCCCCTCCTGCGCTGCGCCGCGTTCCCCAGAAACGCCCGCGAAAGACTCGATGCTGCTTCCCGGGGGCGCAATTCGTCCCCATTTCTTTCTGCCTGCCTGCCTGCCCGCCTGCCTGCCCGCCTGCCTGCCCGCCTGCCTGCCCTGTTCTTCCCCCTATCTTTGCGTTCCTGACGCCATTGCCCACACAATCTGGCACCACCCTGTTGGCCAGAATTTCCTCTGTGATACCCAAGGCTAACCACCCGCAAAACCCAATAGGATCTGGAAGGAAAAGTACGACCCAGATGCCGGCGACAAGAAGAAAAAGTAGAGATGAGGAGGCAGAAAGTTACGGAACGGTGGGAGCAAGTGTGTGCGTGAGATGACCGAACCACTGGTGACACGGCATCACATACTCGAAACGGGTGGGACGTTCCGGTTCTGCAGTCCCGCTCAGCTTCCATCCGGTGGTTACCCTTCCTCTCTCTGTCTTCCTGCTGTGGTGCCACCCAACGCGCGAGATCGTTACACGGGGCTCACTCGTCCCTTGAGGCATCCTGATTGTGCGTCGGAAGCACAGCGATAACGTCGAAGGGAGGGGAAGGTAGGAATGGGTGACGCAAAACACGAGTCTTTTGTCAGCCTTTCCCTCCTGATTTCATGTTTTAACCCCCTTACCCCTCTCCTGAGCACCCTTAGGGGGTGGAATAGGGGTACACGGAGATCTCATCAGGCGGGACAAAGTGCGTGCGGCGAACAAATAGACACAGGTACTCCATGTGATAAACGAGAGAGTTGTCGACCTGCTCTACGCTGTGCGCCGTCGGACGGGCGAACATGTTGGTCTCGCGAGTGTAGGGAGAGCAGAGCAGCTGGCTCGCGGCAGCGCAGGAAAAGGGGGGAGGGCAATGCTGTGATGGACCTCTCGTGGAGCTTTTACCAAGTCTCAGCCCATCGTCGAGCTGGACCTGCAGGTTAAGCCACGGGCTCTGCATGGGATGGATATATCGGGGCCGTGGCTATGTTCGTTGTCGACAGCATGTTTCCAGCTGCTGTTACAGAGGCCAATACTGTCCTTTTGCTTGATTATTTTACTGTTCTACATACCCCGCATTATCGCCATAGCACATAATACAAGAAAGAGTGATGCATTCTATTAAATCAGATCTTATCAGCCGTCCATCTTGCGGGTAATGTGACTGATGACGGACGCCAGGTATACGGAGCCACAGGGCCACGGGCGCACCCGACCCGGGTATTTATACGGGAGGGAAGCACGCCGTGCGCTTCGGCCGGGCCGAACCAACATCTTGCCCTTTCCCGACGTCGTCTGACGATCGACTTGTTTCCCCAAAAGGTGTCACGGACTGCTTCGTACAGCCTATGGGGAATGGTGAAGTCGTCACGGAGTGGTATCACCAAAAGATCGTAGCATCGTAACATTCAAACCCCTCTCTTTCCTTCTCTTTATTTTTATGCTTTTGGCGCTCTGTACGTCAACTTCAGACAGTTGCCATGGAGTCTCACGACGGCCTACCACGAGACCCTCTCTTACTCAAACTATTTTTCGCACTCACTTCACCAAACCCCCTCTCTTCTTCTGACCTTGTGTTTGCTCTTGCGGGCTCCCGCTCACCTCAGGGGTGCCTGTGTGGAGAGCTGTACGAAGGGTATCGCCAAAGGGTTACACGGCGTTTTCGAGACAATGTTTTCTTCTTACAGGTCCATCGAGCTTGGCTCTGTGAGACACCATGCCGATGAGACATACCTTGAACTTTTCCGTCTTCTCTGAACCTATCGGTGGCGTCCGGGGGGGGGGGATATCTTGCCCCCCTTCTAAATGGGACCACGAGACACCACTCGAGGCTCCTCTGTCCAGGTTGGCGAGTTGGATTTGACCGTCTATATCGAGTGAACCGTCTATCAATTCCGTTTCACTCAAAGTAAGTATACCAACCTGCCCACAAAACGGTGGCGAGCGCTTGATCTCACCCTAACTCAGGCGTAAGAGAAGCGAAGACGCGAGCGAAATGCTCGTCATCGACTCACCCCTTCTTCTTCTTCCAAAGCTCACCTGGACTCGGACGGAGTTCTTGAAACTTGCAGTAGAACGTACCTTAGCCGGAGGGAAATGGCACGGGGTGGATGGAGGGGAAAGAGGGGAGTTTGCCATGCACTCTCCTCGCCATCCACGCAATCAGATCCGCAAACTCACACGTGCCGCGCGCATTCTGCTGCATGGAATCTGCATGGCGGAGACGGACCTTGTGTAGATCGATCGGGCCATCATGCTTTCAAATGCTCCGCCAGATTGAAGATCACGGAGCAGCAGTTCATCTTGTCAAGCGTTGCAGAAAAGCGAGAAGTAGGGAGAGAAAATCTCTCGAAGCTAAGGGAAGTTCACTTACAAAAGAGCTAAGGTCTGACGGGAGCCCAATGAGAAGATGCAACGTCAGCAAAACACCAAGATTCCCTCCACCGGACCATCGCAAGACTCACCTTGGCTTCACCTTAGTTCCGTTTCGGGATTGCGATGTCGGGAAAGGGGAAGGGGGAAAGGGAAGTTTCTCTGCACAAAGAAAAAAGAGATGAACCGATCTTCATCCGCCTTCCACCCATCCGAACTTTGGTGACACAAGCTAAAGAGTATGGCTTACATGATTTTCTCCTCATTTTTCTTTCCCGTCTGCTCATCTGCCTGCCCCACGATAGTAGTATGGAAGAAGCCGAGCGGACCGGCGAGCATCGGATTAATCCCCCATCGCCACCGGACCGTTTCTTCACCTACAGCACAAGCGCAGTCTCGCCCGAAATGAAGAAAAGGCGCAGGTAATGCGAGAAATCGCGATGCGCGGAACCGTTTCCCTTCCATCCTCATCCACACACACACACACACACACACATCTTGAAACTAATTTACTCACCGGTCCTTGACCTAGACCCTGACCTTGCCTTAGTCACCTCGCCATCTCCGTCTCTGTGTAAAGTACGGTGAGACTAACATGGCTCATTTTCACCACCTCATGGCATTTTCTGGTATGTTCTCCCTTCTCTGTTACACGCATACATGAGTACTCGCAATCGCAACTTACACGCCTCCTCGCATGGTTTCCTGTATTACGCACAGCAGCAGCAGCAGCGGCGGCGGCGGCTACTGATGCAGCAGCTGGGGGTGGGAAAGCATCATGCGAACTCATGCAGGACAAGACGTGGGACTGCACGGGAATAGAGACATCCGTAGATGGGATGGGAGAGAATGACAGAGATCAAGCAGAGGTTAAGACAAGAAACATTGTCATCAGCTCAAACTCGTGACGGACCCCCGTTTCCCCCTCTCTCTCCCTGCCCACATCTTGCGCTCCCGTGAGCGCGAGCTCAAGCATGCGGTCTCGAGAGTGTCTAAGACACGCATACGAGCGACGACATGTTGGGTGGTGGGTGGTATTTTCCTTGCCCACGATGTAAGTCGGAACTCCCAATAACATCGCGAGGAAGAGAAGGATTCTGTTTCTGCCCCTGTATGCGTCTGCCTGTCGTCTCACCACCTTTTCCTCCCATCATTGATTTTCCTGTTTTTCATATACGGTTAGACGGTCGTCGTGCGACTTGTTGCCATTTCTATCACCATCATGACCACATGGGACGTCACACAATGGCGAAGAGTTCAGGAGCATCTCACATATGCCCTCTTAACGTACCTCTTCTCACCTTGCCCCACCTCTTCATTCACCCGAGTTTCTTTCCATGACACAAGTGAACTCATCGAACAAAAGACTAGCTAATTTTTGGGGCCCAAGTCTCTAAGAAAACCTGCAGGAAGAGAAGAATCCTGGCAAACGCACCACCGCCGCCACCACCACCATCTGCATCCTGCCCACCACCACCGCCCAAGTGACTACCCCTAGCGTTGCGCGTACAAGTGTGGCTTGCCTCCCTCTCTTTTCCCTCGCGGCTCACCTTTCCGCAGCTCTCGCCTCACATCTTTGCATTACCCGCGCGAAACAATGAAGTTTCTACGGCGCTACTCTATACTTCTTCAGCAAAAACAATACCATTCTTCTCCCAAGCTTGGGGGTCTAAATTCCTAACCTAATGCAACTGACCTGCCCCAAGCTCCCAAGCTCACAGCTCACAGCTCCCCAAGCTCCCCCCTTTGCCCAGCCACCCAGATTTTCATCTCCCCGCGACCTTCAGGCTCAAACTTACACACACATCTTCAGCAAGCCAGGCCTCAACTTTAGATTCTCCCCCCAAACCCGCAAAAGTCCGTCGCTTCTAAACCCGCATGTCACTAGTATACACAGTACCTTGGAGAAGCAGTTACCTCAACCCCATCCAATCCCCTCGCACCAAAGTCTCACGCGCCGCTCCCGATGGGGCAGAATAAGCTGCATTATCAACCAATCCTACATCTCCAAAATCGTCTTGCCCTCATGCGACCAACGCTAACGCCCGCATGCTCCCTCCCACCACCACCACCACCACCACCACCACCACCCCGTCCCTCAACCTGCTGCTCCTGACTCTCGCACTATTCCCGGATTCCCCCAAAGGTAAACTCGACAAAAGAGAACGATCATCCCGAAAGTAGAAACTTGAAAAACTAAACTAAGGGGGCCGTAGGCAAACCCCACGTTGGTAGGCAGAAAGAAACCAAAAACCATGATGAAACTTGGTCACTCACCCACTTCTCTCGCATCTCAGTGGTCAATATTCAATAACACTAATGATCCCAAAGTCCTACCTTGCATTTTCAGTGCCCCAGAAACAGAACCTATGGAATACGACTCTGGCCAACGGGAAACAAGTCACACTTCACACTTCGCACTTCGGAAACCGGGAACGATGGATCATGCCCCCCCTCTATGTACACCTCACTCGCCCGCCCCCCCCAAGCCACAACCCAGCGATCTTACATGCCCATCTTATCACGTACACTCCAAAACTCAGAAACCAATAGATGGACTCATTCGCCGCTGCGTTTTGACGACTCCCGACTCGTTCGTGCCGTCGCCCCTTCCCCCCGTTCTATATCCAGGTAGTCACGCTCATATCCTCGCCCTCATTCCAAGTTTCCGGACCGGCGTCGGCTTGCTTTGCCTTCGTAACCTCACACCCCCTCAACGAACTCTGCCCCCCCCAATAACAATCCATCCAAGACCGAGGAGTGACCAAAAACGTTGATCGGCTTAGCAGAAGCCGTTGCTATATGGTATGGTAACCCGCGATCGCCCCCTTCGGCAAGGAAACGCTACTCAGCGTCTTAGCTCTGGTCCGCATTGGGTGTTGCCTAGCCTGTTTCCTCTCTCTCTGCCCACTGCGACGTTGACTGAGAACCCCTCCCCATGCGCCAAATGTTTCCAGCGCTCTTCGCGGATCGGATCAACCGATCAGCGATACACGAGGAAGATGACTCCCTTGTTTTAGGCTTTCACTGACAACCTCACCTAGGATCAACGAGAAGCCGGGAACCTCAAGTGTCACCTGTTTCCCATGTCGGCTGAGTGCATGTCACATCATGGCAAAGTATAGATAGGCATAATTCAAGAGACGGTAAGATGATGAAGAATCCTTGGTATCTTTTTTGGAGATTTGCAAGTAGCTACACGAATAGAATGATCCCCCCCAGCCAAAAGATAGGCAGTGGGGGCAAAACATAAAGAAGTTGGGGGCCAATGGCAGGCTGTTTGACTGCTCGTCACCCGAATATCCAAATGCTCTCTCTCTCCTCGCTCGCTGGCTGTCTGTCCTGGTGTTTGTGCGCGTGTGTGCCGGTACTAATGTCGGTTTATGTCGCAATAAGATATGAAAAATAGCAAGAAGAAAGGCTTTCGAAGAATAATGATGTGGTAAATTTCGTTTCGTTTGATTGTCATTGATCATGAGGTTCGTTTCGACTCATTTCCGTTTCCACGTTTCGTCGCGAGACGCTTTCTCGTTTCTCGTCAACAATCTGCAACTTGTGCGGTGCTGTCCATCTTTCCAGTCAAGGTAAAAAAGGGTAAAAAGGAAATAGAAAGAAAAAAAAAGGAAAGTCAAACAAAGGAACAAAATCAAGAACAACATGATTCCCATCCGAACACCATCGCCTCCGTTTCCCCGTCTCCTGTGAGATGACGTCCCTCGTTCTGTGAGACCTGCTCTCCTCCGCTAACCCAAGATTCCATGTGACTACCCTCCATTTCCAAGCCAACCCCGTTGCCCCCATTGTACAAACGTCGGAAAAGCTTGGCCGTCCCGTGTTCCCATGCTCGTCCCCCCCTGTCCCGTCCCCCTTTGCCTGGAAAGAGCAATAGATACCAAACTAGATATGTGAAATACACTGATACCAGACTAAATCCAGAATGCTCGCTCGCTTGCTAGATACCGGAGGGAAATGGCGTCCCCAAATGAAAATCACAAAGATAAAACGGTGGAAAGTAAATATGCCCGAAGAGCTTCGATCATTTGGCGGTGAAAAGAGGATTGTTTGGTGCGTGAGCAACAATGTCTGGGGTTTTTTTTCCGCGGGAGCGGTAGGAGTGTATGATGAGCTTCGGCTGAAAGAAAAATAAGATGGTTGGTAGAATGATATTTTGTGCTAAGAGTTGAGATTCGTTGATGTGATCATGGGATCGTGTTTTTTTTTTTGTCTTCGTTATTCGTTAGCGCCCGCTTTCGCGCTGTTGCTTTCGGACACCATTTTGGCAAAGTTTCTGACAACTTCGCTGGGGATCTGATCCCAAAGTAGTGATCTAGTGTAGACGTCGGCTACGGATTGCTTGTTGTTCCGCATCGCTGAGAGGGCATCAGCCAGGTTCTTGCGTCCTTGGCTGGTGGTGCGCTCGGGGGAGTTGTTGAGAAAATCCTGGGAGCTGACGCCGTTGTACTGAGCAGCCGAAAGTCCAAAGAGTTGCTCATTGGATTGTTCATCGGTAGGTTGAGTGAGTGAATCGCCAAGCTGGCCGAGCATCGAAGGCGCGACGCCGCCCATGGAGGTATCACCCATAGGCATGGCAGAGCTGTCAACCCATGAGCCGCCAGAAGGCTGAGGAGCGAGAGCGTTCATCGTGTTGGATGCTCCGTTCACGCCGGCGTCCTTGAAAACGTTCTCGAGAAGTGTGGCAGCTTCGGCGCGGACGTCCTCGGAGACTCGGGGAATGGCGGGGGTAGAGCGGCTGGACAGCACAAAAGCGCCGACGAGGAAGAGCATGAAGAGAATGCCGCCCTGGGAGGAAGACTTCTCGGAGTCAACGGGGAAGGAAACATCGGCCTTCTTGGCCGAAACCACCTGGAGCTCCTGCTTGACTTCCTGCTCCATAGGGTACTCGCCGAGGAAGTTGACGTTGTCCCAACTGCCTGGCATGGTCATGCCGTTCATGTCGTCGTAGCCGGAAACATAGTTGTTGTTGGCAGGGGCAGTCATGGCGGCGCTCTCGAGACGCTGAACGTGGTCGGTGAGGACGCTGACCTTCTTCCGGAGTTCGCCCGTTTCGATCGTGTGGGAGCGAATCATCTCTTCCTTCTCCATGGTGAGTGACTCAATGTACTCCTGGTTGAACTGCTTCTCTCTCAACAGCTGCTCCATCTGTTTCCTCATGTCGGCCATCTCTTCCTCCATGTCGGTGAGCACAGCGCTGAACTGCTTCTTCTCATCCTCAAGGCGTTCGGTATGTTGCTTCTTTCTCTGGCGAGAGTCAAGACTGTTGCACTGTCAGTAGATGGAATCCAAGGGAAGTGGGTGTACACATACGCTGCCTGACGATTCCTCAGCAGTCGCTTTTGCTGCTTAAGCTCCTTGATCTCTTGCTCATCAGTGGACTGAGCGATGAGGTGATCGATGTTGCTGAGATTGCGCTCGGCCGGAATATCGAAGCGGGCGTTCTTCTTGCGAATGCCATCTCCCCTTCTCATGTCGTTGTGTGAGCGAATGGTGGGGCTCCCGGGGCGCATCTTCTTGGCCATGGACTCCGCCTGACCAATCCATCCTTTTTGCGGTGAGGTTGGGATGGACTGGTTGCCTGATCCGATGGGCGCAAACATGTTGATTTGACCGGTAGGGTTTGTGAAAGGCGTCTGACCCGGGATGGGTCTTTGGAACATGGGAGCGCCATTGTCGTATTCAGCCGGCATGCCATCGAACTGTTGGAGGGGAGTGCAAGAGCCAGAGGTATTGCTCAGGGACCAGGCGTTGCCTTGGGGGCCGAAAGGAGAGGGTTGAGCATGATCCAGGCGCATGAAGGGGTTGTTGTTGTGCTGCTGCTCGATGAAGGGGTTGTTGGATGGCACGGATTGCATATCGACCGATTGCCAGTCCTCCGTCTTTGGTGAGAAGAGAGAGCCGCCAACGGCGAAGGAATCTCTTCTGCTATCAACCATGGGAGGCGACATTTCCAGGCCCGAGTCGAGTGCGCTGTGATCCAAGATGGTTTCGTCGAGGATGCTGTGGTCCTCCTCTTCGTAGTACTTTTGCGCTTGTGTTGTGTCTACAGTCAAAGGTGTCGGTCTGTAGTAGGACGGCATCTGGTACGTTGAGACCATTTCTGGTTGTGTGAAGTCAGCAGTCGGGTGTAGACTGCGGTGTTGTGCTGTGATGGCAATGGTGCCTATTTTTCTAATCTTGCGAGGGCGTGTTAGTCGAGGGCAGCGGTGAGGATGGTTGGTGGCCCAGGGTTTATCTTTGGGTGCGAGTGAGATGTGGAGACGGGTGCTGTGCTGCGCACTCTGAGAATTGCAGAAGAGGGTACGGAGTGTGCGCTTAATCTGCTGTGTATAGAGCGGCGAAGATGCATGTAATGCGCAGCGGGAACTTGCATTCAGAGGCGAGAAGCGAGCTTTTTGTGCGACACTCGTTCAGAGGGCCAAGCAAGACGTGCACGGGTTGAGTTGAGGGCAAGAAAGTAAGGAAAAAAGCAGAGGGCGGAGGTGGTCGAGCGGATGAGTGATAAGAGAGGTTGGTGGGGATGGGATGAGAGGATGTGCGGGCGGAGGGTGGTCGGAAAGTTTTAAAGGGCAGTGCGTGCAGGACGAGGGTAGAACAACGGCTCGGAAGGGGGGAAACACACTCACAGGCTTTGGGAGATCGGTTATTCTTTTTTTTTCTCGAGTGGAACGGTGCTGCGATGCACTCCAGATCTTGTGGCGAGGTATAGAGTCGTTGGTTCGGTCAGACACACAAGGCGGAGGAAAAGCCTTGAGGATGTGCGTGAGTTGATGAAGCGGCGTAGATGGGATGCGTCGAGGGTGAGACGAAGTGTGGAAGAGAGGATGATGGGACAATAATAAACAAATGTGTGTTGCAATGATAGGGAAAACCGTCCAAAGGATGGGGTGCCGAAAGTATGTATATGTATGTACGTATGTACGGTTGATGCTGGATGGGCGAGCGAATGCGGATGGTGTCTGTATGTGTGAGTGTGGTGTGTGGTGTGTGATCTCGTTTTCTTGGTGGGCGAACAAGGTAGAGCTGGAGGAGGAAGAGGGAAGGTTTTGTATTTTCAACAGCAAAGGCGGCACTTCTGCGCGAGTCCCGGGATGAGGTACCTGGTCAGAAACGGTGGCCGGGGGTGAGGTACTTTGCTTGGCTTCGAGAAGAATACGGTGGACATGGGACGGGGGGGGGAGAGTTGCAGTAAGGCAATGTAAGGTCGCGGGTAGTGTGGAAGGTCAGGCTGGCCCGGGTCCAGATCCCAGTCCAGGGTTAGAAGGGCAGTGGGGAAAGAACCAGAGACTGAGGGAATCGGGAATCCAGACTGGCAGTATGACAGAAAGAGAGCATCCGTACGGATAGACTATGAGAGCTTACGGAGGAGGAGGAGGAGGAGGAGGGTGACTACGGTACGGTACGGTACGGACGGCGCGCGAGAGAAGAGAGGAGGGGAACGAGACGGAGAGCTGAGTGGAGCTACTTTAGGTACTGCGTAGAGAGGCAGAGGAAGGAAGCACTCATACTCTGGAGGGTACCTTAGAGTCTACGGATACCTTGGACACTGGGAAAGAGCAGCCCGTTACGGGTGGGATGCGATGAGCAATGGTGGGTGTGTGGTCACTCGTTTGTGGAGGGTGGCCGAGGAGATGGACCGGGTGGGGGTGTGATAAACGGGCCCAGTCGGCCAGACAAGTTTCTGGCGAGTGGGAGCGGCCATGCTCTTCGGCGAGTATAGGACGAGCAAGATAGAGAGTGAGTCCATGGGAGAAGACGGGAGAGAGAGAGAGAGAGAGATCAGGATGCCAAGGCGAGATAAGTCCTCTTGTCCCTGTTTCCTTCAGCCAAGGTACCTTCGGAGCTTAACGGTGAGCACCTGCTACACAATTTTCGACTTGTAATTCACTACGCAGTCTGCTCTCGCTATGGCTTGTCGAAGATAGTCTACAGTGAAGCCAGTGTCTCTTCACAATGTCTTGTGGCGATGATTTGATCCAAATCTGGCGAAACCGAGAGCTTGAGAACGGCAGGCAGAAGGGCAGACAATGCGACGGACACACAGCGCCGTAGAATACTTCCTTGGAACAAGACACGGACGAGACAAGGGGCGCGGGCAGAGTAAAGAAGCATTGAGCAGGGGTTCCGTTTGGCTTTAGACCGCCTCGAACTCTCCTCACGGACTCTATCAAGTCAACTTGATAGACTTGGTTGCCATCGTCTCTTGTTTTCTTGGTACCCAAAAGAAGGCAAGCTAGGCGGGCTAAGGTACTGTTCGGCGTACTAAACTAGGGGCAATGTACCTGGAGGCCGAGAGGACTGGTTTAGAAACAGACTTGGGGCTTGCGAGTTGCGAAAAAGTCTCTGGGGGTTGTTGATAGGAACGCGGCGCGCGCGCCAGGGCGGGCAAAAAAGGCGAGGTACGGATACAGAATAGAGAAAGGAACAAGTCGAAAGGTGGACGACTGCTCAGAGCCAAAGCGAAACCCAACCCCACGTCCAGCCGATGCGCTCCGACTGGATTCTCTGTGCGCTCTCTCGGGCCAGTGGCTCCCCGACTGGGGGGGGCAGCAGCTTGGGAAGTGTGGCCGGGTATGCGTCTGTCAGTGAAGGGCTGCTGGGGACGACAGCGTCCCGGCCGGCGAATGAGGTCAGAGGTGAGCAGGATGACAAGAGATTCAGAGTTCTGGGCCTTTTGGGTCATGACCTCGATGCGCCGGGTCTGGGTGGACGGGGATCTTGCCGGAAGACAGGCGAGCGGCGGGCGGGTCTGTCAAGGGAGGAGGAGACGACATTGAGAGGCCCGGCGGATGGGGTTACGGCTCGGCCGCAAGCCGGAACCGCCCAATAGAGAGCAGAAAAAAAAAAGAAGAATTTAATTTTTCTAAAAAAGAAGTAGACAGACGGGAGGGAACTCAAGGAAGGGAAACTTGATGAGCAAAAACGGAATGGCGGTCACGGTTCATAGACGGTGGGGGTTGGGCTTGCAGCTCGGGCCATTGTCCGTTCGGCAAATCATTGATCAGTGGCTGAGGAAGCACCGAAGGAAGCAGGGAAGGTGGCGTAGGACGGCAGTGGATGGATGGCTGAACCGTAAGCGGAACGAAACGGAACGTAATGGCCGTTAGACTGGGGGACGGGAGAGACACCGTTATGTGCCCAAAATGTCGTTGAGGGGAAACGGCCAACGTGGGGAGGCAAGTGGACTCTTCCACGTCTTCCTTCCTACGGAGTAAGGTAATAGTTTCTACCTCACTTGACGCTCTAACAAATAGTAAAACGGCCAAGGATGACGTACCTTCGTACCTTGATGGGCGAAGCCATGGTGATGACCAAAAACGGAAGGGAAGATACAAAGTCAAGAGGTGAGGTGAGCCCTTTGAGTGGTGAACACATGGTACACCCAAAAGAACCCTTGCGAATAACATGACGGCCCTGGCGGTTCTCGCTCCTTGCCTCCCGCATCCACTGGACCAGGCTGGACGAGAGCGGACTCGCGGAGAGGGCAGCTCCAACAGGTTGGGCATCGACGGCCGCTGGCTCTTGCGCGATAGGCTCACTCACCCTCATGTTATTGATACCCAAAGGGCCCAAGAATAACCCCCAACTTCAGTCTTCCCCCCCCCGAGACGTGACCTATGAAGCCCGTTGCAGCCCTCCTGCATCCACTAGCAAGCCACTGTTTCTCGTCTCCGGCTTCCTATTGCTCGGCTCTCAGTGGGGTGATCACACGGATCTGGACACTGGCTACGAGGCAAAGGCGGTACACTGGGGGGTTCACTCTGAACCTTCCTAGTAAGCGCGGATGGAGATGGAAACCCTCCTGTCCCGTATCAGATCCCATGGAGATGATGCTATCGACTGTCATGTTCAGCTCTCTCCAGTAGTGCAGTCACTCCAGTGTCATTGCAGCCAAATCAGATAACGAGGCAAACCATGACAAGGCGAAGCACAATCGAAAGCAGCCACACTAGGCCAGGGAATCTGACCTAATCTAATATTGGCGACGATATCAGTACCTTTGGGCTCAGAGATAGAGCATGACGAGTCCTCATTCAGAGTCGTATCGTCCAATATTCCCCAGATCATCTGGGCCGGGTCGCGACTCACCTGCTCAAGCCTCAACCACAAAAAAAATGACATGAGAGATCCGGCAGGAAGACAATGGCCCCCCGATCCGATCGATCCCTCTGCCATCCTTGGCCGAAATGCCGTGGAATGGATTCTTTTTCTCTTGCTCCTAATTAACTTTCTAGTCTCACTAGAATGCCCCGTTTTGTTCTCCCGGTCCCGCGAGACACAATGCGCAATTGGCCAACCTCATCTCTTGCGAAGTCAGGATTATGCTCGTACCCTCAGACGAATTCTCAGCCACATCCCTGGAATACGGAAAGCCACCCATCGCCTATATTTCGGACGCATCGACCGACAGACCAAAGTCAATTCTGACATCGGGAGAAACCACCCAGTGGCAATACGGATAGAGGGGCAACGCCGCAACAGACACGACCAGAACAAAGGAACAGGGGATCAAAAAGTCGGTGGCTGGGAAAACAACATCCGGGAAACGTCTCCAACGCCGCCGGTGATGCCCAAGCAACAACATCCAACACCGGCCAGCCACTCAGCCTGAAGAGACGCGTGAGCCCCCAGCTCCACTGTGCTTCATGGCCGCATACACAGCGGCCCATCACCAACTTGAAGACCCTCACTCTGCTTTGTCGGTGTGCCACGGTGCTTGTTTCGGCCCTCGTGCCCAGAGCAGGTATGAATGGAACGAGTAGGCAAGCAAGAGGGAAAGCAAGGTACCTTGAGGCCCGCTCTACCATATTGGAGGAACATGCGTCCATGACATACGTCTTCGCCTCTGCTCGCTTGTGAGGTGTACCAGAGGAAGTGGTCTGGAGTAGACGAGGCCATTGTAAGTGTGTTTGCTATCGTCTCCCGCCAGTGATTCATCACACGCGTTTCGCGTCCTGAAGCGCGCCAGACGACCGGATCAAGACCAGCGAGGTGCTCCAGGAGTCGCGACGTCACGGAGATGCATCGGCGACGTGAATCATGCGCGACTCCACCGATGGACCCCGGGGGACCACAATCTGGTGAATCTGCAAAGGCGAGATGCTGCACTCCCACATCCTCGCATTGTATCTGGTGTAGCGGACGGAGGGGTGCTTGCTCTCTTTCCTCTTCCAACCTATGTAGTACAGTAAGGTACTCCGTACTTTACCGATCTTACCTAATGTACGGATGCGATATACCTGGGTCGGCTGAGCTAAGGTATTACTCCATAGCTGCGTTTCTCGGGCACACCAACCCGGCAGGTGGATCCCTCATCGTCGTCGTCGTCGTCTCCTCACCTTCTGGAAAAACTCGGCCACCGCGAAAGCCGGAAGGAAGGAACCTGGCACCGCCTGGACAGAATGGAAGGTGGGAAAAGGTCGGGTGGGCACCTGGCGACAATAGGAAACGCGATGGCGCCGTTTGAAAAGTGGAGATTATACTTAGACGACCCGTTAATGGACCGACGCCGTCCCCGTCATGAACCAATCGTGCAAGTGAGGCGAGCGAATTCTGCTACCAAGACGCGAACGAAACTTGCGACATCCACCTCACTGTTCAGTGACCAGTCTCCATTGCTGTGAATCCCAAGTCTAGTGCGAAGTACGGATACACCTCACCAACCAAAAAGTTGACTGTCGAACGGCTCTTGGCCAAATCGGTCCCTTACGCAGTATTGTCAGGTCAGCTCGGCTCTCCCACTTGGAGAGAAACCACTCGATGACAGCATCACCCACACACAGCCGCGGATACCTGACCATACCTCCGCCTGTGCCTGAGGTACCTCGACTCTAGTCAACCCAAGCCCACGCCGAGGTCAGCGGCCATGGGAGCTGGAGCCGAGCGTTGACTTCTCATACGCCGTCTCCCCTCGTTGCCTCTCACGCGTTCCTGACGACGGAGCCCAACCTATGGCCTAGACCTGGCCAACTTTGGCCGACGACCCCTTCATCGTCTGAACGACTCCATGTATACGACTTACAGCTTTCAGACCGCCAAACCCACCATTGGGTGCGCTGCGTACGGTGTGCGACGCACCTCTCGTCGACGGCATCTCATCCCAATACGCCCAACGCCTGCATCGTGCCTGTCACTTTCGACTCGGATTGTCCACACGGAAAGCTCCCATGTCTCTTCAACAATGATCGCGTTGCCTCATCGTACTTCTCATGCGCCTTGCATGAACAAGAGACACACTTCGTCATGTCGTTCCCCGGCCATGACCACGGCCCTTCATTTCCCAGAATGCCCACCGCCTCGCTCTTCTCTCCTGCCAAGTTCTTATTCTTGGAAGCCGGCGCGGCTGGCATCGGAATCGTACCCGAACGTATGTTGTTGCCCGACCCAGCCTATCGGATCGAGATCGCTTGCTCCTCTATTACCCTGAACGTAGAAGAGCCTCTTCCATCGTATCCCTTTGCTTGGGATCCTAAAGGATGCTTCGGCAGGAAAGGGAGTCGTCTATCGGCAAGCGCGGTCATTTCCATGCCGTTCTGCCCTTTTACCCAAGCAACTGGGCAAGGCTTCGTCTTGCGATTGTGGCTTACAAGTGAAGCTAGGTGGGCCAGCCACTATTGACCAGCTTTTCAGGCTTCAGCAAACATCCTGCAAAGCTCGACCGCAGCCAGTGTTCGCTGATACTAGGAACTTTTTACCGAGAAACTTGATTCAATTTTGTACCAGGTCTATGGCTGCCAACGAGAAGCAATATCTCATACAGCCACTCTGGGACGGTTTCCTGACAGGGCTGATCCCAGCGGGGCATCTACGCTCTAAAGCACCCCTGTTCCCTGGATTTCCGGCTTAGATCCAAGACTACCTCTCCGAATTAGCATCCCGGTGAGGATCCCCGGTCTCACTTTGCATTGAGAGCAAAGGGTTCCCAGTTCAACATAGCGGCCAGTGTCGCGGACTAGCAAATCAATGACCAAAAACCTACGCGTCCCCTTCGATGATCGAAGAGTGTGGAACGACTGGCAGTCCTCGTGAAATTTCTTCAATTTGAGTCATAGACAATCTCGTCTCACGGTCTCTGCCACCAGGTTTAATTTTTGTCGGTGAGCTCCAACCGGCAGCTTAAGCTTCTCATCCCCGGGATCCACTCCGGAGCTACCGTCAGAGTTTCTCCCTTGCCCGTCCAGCTTCAAAGTCGGAGATTGAGCATTAAGCGATGGATCCGACCCCCGTCGCGTGCCATGAAGCGATGCCGCGATCCACAGCTTCCGTTTCACTCTTCCGACGTCATTCCAGAGTCCTGGGCCGTCGGCTGTCTTTCATCCTCGTTGCTCCTTTGGTCCTGCACCAGGGGAAAAAAAAAAGAATCACCAGAGTCGATGCGCACGGTACCGCCCTATACCAGAAGCTTCAATAGAGCTGTATCCTGGTTATTCAACCTCCGGAGCTTGGATCATTCGGTTCCAGAATCCCATTCATGCACACGCCCAGGGTTCTTGCCGTGTTGCAAACAAGTGATTGAGACTGGTGGATTCGAATGAGCTGCCGGAATCTCTCCCCGTCCACAAATTCGGGACGCCTCCATGGCGGTGAACAGAGGCCGTGCAGGCCACCATCCCACGTACGGCTATCATCCCGCTTTGTATATGGAAATCTTCAGAAGCAAAAAAAAAAAAAAAAACTTCGTCTCCAGAGCAATGACTCTTTGGAAATGAAAACTCTGCGCTCTGGGCGTCAAACGCAGTCGGAAGGTCATCCTATCAGTTGTCACGATGTTCCTGAAGAAAGGGTCCCACAGTAGGAATGCCTATCGCACTCCTTTCAACCACCTCACTTTGTCACTTCTCAACTAAACCTCCACACGCAAGCGGAAAGTTTATGGCGCATCGCAGAAACCCGCAGCGCATGCGTTATCGAAGTGGCCCCCAAACGGATACAAGCGATCAAGATCCCGTGCTTCGACAGGCCGAACCGTTCACTTGACACCTCGGACCCTCCTTCAGTTATACGATCGTCAGGACTCTCCGTACGTCCGTTGCAGAGTCGGTCGCAAGAACCCGTCCAAGACTCTTGTGCATATTGTCATCACTAAGCAAAACCCAAGACTCCCCCAACCTTGCGTACTGGTCTGCTTGTTTGTGTGCGATACAGGGAACTGGGATCTGGTCTTAGGGTTCATGTCCGGATGAGCGACAAAGAGCCAACCCGGTAGACTGTCGTAGAGTTGGAACAATCTCTCGACTCGGTTGAGTTCACCCAGCCACTTCCATCGCCTTCCTCCTCTCCCCAGCCCCGAAAGCTGACTGTTGGTTCTGCGAGAAGTTCGAGATGTTTGACTCATCGCTCCCTGCCCGAAGGGTTGGGCATGGTTGCTTCTTTCGTCCCACTTTTTTTCGTCCAGTCGTGCCTGGCAGACGCCTCCATCCCAGGTTGGCGGTGAAGCGTTCCCCTTTCACGCTCCTTTGCGCTTCCTGCATATCCGGATTCGGACCCCTTGCTTGTACCGCCCCCGGGGGGGTTTGGACGTTCAGGTTTAAAAACAGATTTTGGTGTAAATTACTTGGAGGAGGAGTTTCGCTGGCTCTTTGGGGGGGTAGCCACTCATCTGTACGTTTGACGGATATTCTGAAACGGAGCTATGGGATGCCTGTTGCATACACGCAAGCTTGCGCCGCCGCACGCCGCGGGTAACTAGGTTTCCGGACTGTTGTTCCCAATGTATTCACTGCGAATATCTATACAAAGTTACGCAAGCTGCAGAGACACGGGACAAAGTCTCCACTAGTTCAGTCATACGACTGAGACTCTTGGGACGTCACGGGCTACGATTTGTACCTTTCTCCCTCCTGCCTCTCTACCTCTCTCGGATTACCGGGTGAGGCGGTCGATGGGGTTTTGCTAAAATTAAAGGGATAACGGAAGTGTTCGGTGCTTGGCAGCGGCGGTGACAGGCCGTGACTACGTGGATGCGGATACTATCGTTGAGCTGTTTACGATGACTCTTTCGAAATTGGAAGAACGTAGTCGAGCAGTTTTGAGAATGTACCGCTGTATACTCTCACATGTAGACTGGCGTTGGCACTTTGCGGTATCAGCACCGCGGGATGTGAATCCCAAAAACTGCAATGATTCTAAATGGCGGCCATTGATGATGGGGTGTAATAATATCACAGAAGGAAGCTAGTAAGCCCAGTATATCCCGGACTGACCTACACAATGACGAAATCGCGTCGGTTCATGGAACACATTTTCCTGACGTGAACTAGAAGAAGCGGGAGAAGGTTCGAAGCACGGCCAAGTGCCAGCATCGGGTCGGCGCGCCGAAAGCTCTGTGCGTTCAGGTTTGGCTGCTTTCCCGGCTGTTTCGTGATGAGTGAGGTGCCGTGTAATTATTTTTTAAATCGGAGCACTAGGCTTTTTGCTTGGAGTCTCTGGGGAAGGGGGTTAGGCACATGGCGAGGTTTAGTGTTATTGTGTCAGGTTCTATTATGTGGGAGCTTGTTGAGGAATCACTCGAGTGTGTTTAACAACTTCTTGATTCCGTAGATGCGGGAGGACTGCGTTGTTGGTCTCTCCAAGAGAGACAGTGAGATTGATGATAAATTTGACTGCAAAGAATGAGATATGTTTTCCTCAGCTATAGAAAGGCATGGTTGGTGATAGAAAACAAGGGATCTGGAAATGAGTCATCGCTCCAAATGGCAGTTGTTGCGGTATTCCCTTCCTCCTAGGATGCAGACCACCCCCTCTACCGATGAATGAACAGACAATGCCAAAACCATCCTAAACCCAAACTCGGGTTTAGCTTATTCGTTCTCGTGAGTTTTGTGTCCTCGGATGTCTAGGTCTGACGGAACTCTATCGGTGTAAGCGTGCCGTCTGTGTGCGGAGGCGAGAGATCAGACGTCCCAGATCTATATATATGTCGTCTGAACTTCAGACTTTTTCCATCACATGAAATCTATGAAGTGACCATGGGATAAGGTTTCGACGAGGACGTCGATCTGGCGGGATCCGGAACCGAGATGAGGGTGTGGTTTAGCCCTTGGGTATGCTCTCAGTAAGCGGAAGTTTGTGCAAGTTGGGCTATTCGTGGTTGACTCTCCGTAGAAGTGGTAGGATGAACTCGGGGAAGTAGACGCCAGGATCGCCTCTTGTCTTTACTCAGCCCATGTCCAAATGTGGGTGGCATTTTCCAACGTGTGAATTATCTCCTGAAATCTCCCCTATGATGAAGTGAACTTCGATTCGAGCGAGCCCCGGACATCCATATCTTCAAGAGCAAGGCCTGCCATTCAACCCTTGCTTCTCCCAATTTGCTTTCGACGGAAGTATAAGACAGGATATTCCATGAACCATATAAAGTCTTCAAGCTAGGCATACGGGTGACAGTCTTGGTGAGAGGTTCGGCCCATATCCATCCTAAATCTGACGATCAGTTTGAATTTGATGACAGCTTTGGCATCTGAATAGATTTCAATACATCCTTTGCAGGGCATTGATAGAGTGAGGGAAGAGGTAAATTTCACTGAACGCTCTCTGTCATGAGTAGCCAAGCCTCCATGTGGGTAAATATAAGGAAACCCGGATCACCGTCGTGAAAACGTTTTCGTCGTCTGATGTTGGTTTTTAGGTTCCCGTCATGTCCGGTACTTTTGCATGGTCCATTTTGCAGTTGACAATGTCTGGCCGTCTCACGAGACGAGCACCATGAAGGACTTGACTAATAGGCAAAAAGCAGGACTCTATGTAAGTTTCAGTAGGGTTGAGATATATCGGATTGGAGTAGGACCCGTAAGCCAGAGAGTTTACAGCCTCGACTCTCCTTGAGCACAGAGGAAAGAAAATGACACTCCATGCTTCTTCAATATTGACATCGAGTCTCTTTTGCTCTTATTTTCGGAAATTTCTAATTATGGGCCACCGAGGCATCGGAGATGGATTGTTCAGCCTTCTGGATGACCGGACTGAACAAACCAACCTTGCCGCCGTGGCTCTGATTAGCAGTCTTGCACACAATTGAAGGCAAGCATATCAGCAGCTTCCGCCCCCAGCCTTTTAAATCAGGATATCCCAGAGATGAAAGAGAAACATACCCGTTAGGATCCTACGGGCAACCCTAACATAAGCCGCCTCGATGACTCCCAGAATTGGGGGAACTTGGGGTGGTCTAGATGTACTGACCTACCGACAGTCCCTGGATGAAAGCTTGAATGAATCGTCTTGCTCTTTGGGGTCGGGAGTAGACGCCTAGGACGAGCAGGCAAACTCTGGTTACGAAATTCACATGTACAATCCGTTGTATCTTTTGCAAGGTTTGATGGACGAGTTGGGATCCTCTTCGTCTGGCGTAACGTAGATCTCAATGATGCATGAGACGATCTTGATAGAAACTTTAAAGTGGTCTGTAGCATTCCTTTGAAGTGCTTTCCTGCGAACGTGAGAGTTCCAGAGAGTTGAAGACAAATTTGCCATCACACGTAGGCTCGAGGAGTCAAAAGTTGTGGTATAGATAAGCGATCTGTAGGCAAGTCTTAATCACAGCCAAACACAGCTACTATGAGCCCATCGCATCGTTCCAGGACTTTGCGGGACGTCTAGGTGTTTCGCGGAAGGTCGAATTTATGATCAGAGAGGTGGCCATGCGAGCATCACTCGGTCAGTCACACTTAGTTAACCAAGCAGAAAATCATCGTTCTGTCAAGTTAACTGTGATTTGTTTACGGAATCGTCGTCTACCAATAATTCCTCTTCCCTCCCCATGGCCGTTCCCATGCGAGACGATTTGGTCGTCTCTCTTACGGGTGTGTGTCTCAAGACCTTGCCTGGCCTTCATAGCAAATCCGAAAACTCCAACATACAGCCCGTTTCTTTCTCTTTTCTCCCGGGACTGCTGCAAATGCAATGCGTTCGTGCGTGCGTGCGTCTGAAAAAAAAGCGTTTCCTTCTTGTTGTCGTGTTTGGCTCTGGGGCCCCATTTGCTTCATTTTTCCAGTCTGACGGGCCAAGGTTCCGGTGGCAAGAGTGTCAGATATTCCCCTATCAGACGAGTCCAAGAAGTTTCCAAGAAACTTAGACTTTCCAGACCTCGGGGATGGCTGAAAGGCACAAGAGTGGCCATCATCTGTTCAGGTTCGATGCCCCTGACTGCCGTGCCCGACTCGTCTGCATAAGAAGTCTAATCAAACGCCAGCAAGTTGCATCAGGCGCTCGCCAGCGCGGAGGTTGGCATACTCGTAAGCCTTGGACTCGGGTGGGAAGGTGCCGTTGGCGGCCCAAAGGTCGATCAGCGGCTGCATGGGCTCGAGCTCATGAGGCTTGAGCATGTCAAGAGCCGTGGCCGTAAGGATGAAGTGGCTGAAGCAACTGTTGAGGGACTTCTCGAGGTTAAGGTGGTAGAAGGGCTCGGTGAAGTGAGCCCAGTAGAGGTGGGAGTAGACGCGGAACATCTGGCGGAAAATGGTTTGGCAGACGTCGATAAAGTTCTGCGGGAAACCTGATCGCTTGCCGATCCAGTCGGGCTCACCAGGGTTTGTGAGCTGTGAGAGGGGCGTGGTGGTGATGTTTGCGTTGTGCGCATACGAGACGCCTGAGGGGTCGGTCGGGAAGATGTTGGTGTCGTCAATCTTGCCTGAGATCCATCTCTGCATAAGAGTCATGTATTCGGCGGCAGGAAGCTCGACAGGCTCCCGACGGTTGTTGAGCCAAGTGAATGAGTGGTTCCTGCGAGGATGTCAGGTCGTTGAGGATGAACGTGCCAGCAAAACTTACGCTCCGGCGGACATTCTGGGGCACGTAGTGCCGTTGCAGATTGTCGAGCCATCTTCCTCCTTCTCGTGGAGAACACGCACGAAATTCCAGAGGTTACGGTAGTGCTCGACAACTGCGAAGAGTCAGCGACTAGAGATTCAGGAGGAAGAGTTACTACGTACCTTGATGCGCGATCCACTCGCCCTGTTCGACCGTCTTGGGTCTCGCACTCAGAGTCATGAAGTTGCCCTTGACAATGTGCTTGCCATAGTTGGAGTTCAGCCAGATGGGCATAGGCCGTGGCAGATGGTAGGAGCCGAGAAGGCCGTCGCCGTCGGACAAGCCACCCTGGTCGTCCATGCCAATAGAGTGGGCGAGAGAAGGCGAGTTGGGCAGAGGCGGGACTTTAGGAGCCAAGTTGGTAGATGACTGGCTTCCCTGAGAAACGGTCGGTGACGTTGGCTGACCGGCGGTTGAGGACGTAGGAGATTTGTTCGAGCCTGGCGGTTTGGCGGCTTGGCCCCGAAAGCGGGCGTTGCTATTTATCGTATTCTGATTAGCCGATGGTATCTCACGAACGCGATGAGCACCGTAAAGAACATAACAAGGTCCAACATCATGATGAAGCCAACCACTAGACCAGGTACTCGAGGGAACCAGGCCACTAGGGTTTGCACCAGCCATGTTATTTCGAGCTGAGTGAGACACAGCATCTGGGACTTCCAAGGGCTTCTTCTGGCAATGGAAGGGATGTCTGTCTGAGACCTGTGTCGACTAGGCCACAAGGCACAACTGGGGTTCCGAGAATACGTTTTGGGGGTGTTTTGTTTGGCGAGAGTTCGGGTTTGATGAGCTTATTCGGAAGGAAAAGAATCCAGTTGTTTTTGTCTTTGGAGGTGTCGTGGCTTCTAGAAAGTAGGCTCATATTGCCCCGCTTGGATGGCAATAATCATATCCTGCTCGCGGGCCTGTTGTCGATGGAGACGCTCATATAAGGTAGGCACCAGGCTGAACATGTGCGTGAGACCCGGTCCAAGAAAGACGGTCCGGTACTGTGGAGTAGTGAAGGACCAAGATGTATCTTGCGGTGATTTCTTTGTCGTAGAGGCGATGGAAAAGCGCAAGACTTCCGTCCTGCTCCCGACAGCAATCGGTTCTCTTCCTTATTGAAATCCTTCAGTACTCCCTTGAACAAAACATGGGGATGGCGATAAGCTTCCAGCTCAGCTCACTTGGCTGTCGAGCTAATGGCTTCAGCACAGCGTCAAAGTCGGCAAATCATGGCCGTCCAGTCTTTGGCGTGATCTTATGGCTTTGAAGTCGTTGTCGTCCATTGCATGCGTGCTGTGTTGACTGTCCCAATGTCGACGGTTTCGAATGTTGCTGGATTCTTGTTGCCACCTGTCTCTCTTTTCCCTTTGAAGTTGAAGATGCATTGTGCAGCCGAGCTGAAAGTCTGGCAAAGGGTGATGCTGTAGCCAAAGGCCACCTTATCATCCAGTCCCTACTGATGCCTCACATGTCTCTGAGGAGGATGATTCCAAGCCTGACATTTGGCCATGGCAGCAATGTCAAACACAGCCGAGGTGGGTAATCCGACAGCCCCTCGTCATCATCAAAAGGACAAGTAGCCCTCGCAAGTTGCCCAACCATGCTGCTCAAATTCCCAGGACTGGTTCGCCTCTTCATATCGGATGTTTTGGCAATGCCTTCATGTGTGATAATGCACCCCATGTCTCGGCGGATGGTGGCCGGGCCGTGTTGCATGTAACAAAGTGCGGGCTGCCGCGGCACTAGCCGAGGAACCAAACTTCACAGCTGTCTGCTGTGCAGCCACCGTAGATCGCCCGCTGGGTTCTCGGTCTTTCCATCATGCAGAGAACTGTGGGGTTAAGGGATAGGAGGAAGAAGAAGAAGCAATTCGCAAAATGGAAAAGCAACACAATTGACGATAAAAGGCAACTCACATTCCTGAAAAGAGGTTCGACATGGTAGGAGGAGGTACCGCGGTGAGGGGGAATCGGAGGGGGTTATAAAGTTGGGTCGACCGGCGCACCTCCTGGGAAGACTTAAGAGGCTGGGACTATCGAGTTTCAGCTCTGCTGATTCGAGTTCAGTCCGTTTGATAATCGAAAATGATCGGATATCGAGCAAGGAGAGAGGGTTAAGCTGAAAAGGGGCGATTGAAGGTGAGCTTCTTCAGACTACGTTCGCTCCTGCATCCACGAGGAGTAGCGGCATAAGAAGCGCTAGACTTGAAGTGTCACATTAAGCGAGTGCACGGACCCGATCCCCACAGCATTTGGGTCCGAATGGTCTCGCTCCATCGCCATTGGGCTCACGCTAGAGGCATAGGAAGGGGACGTTTCTCAGCCTCGTGTGGCGCTCAAGAGGTTGGGAGGTGATGTGACCATGCGGTTGCACAACTTATGCTCTGTATCCGTAATTTCCTCGATAATAAGAAGAAACAAGACGAGTTGGAGACATTACAAATTTCCTCCACCGAGTCCCCTGAACAAGATCCACTACAGCTGGGACATGTGCCGAAATCCCCGCTCGGCAGTTTTACACGTCCGAAATGACTTCGGGCACATGTGGCGGTGCATCAGCCTCACCCAGAAGTGAACTCACCTCCAGCCTCCAGGTGGGTCAGAATTTGGACAGGGGTCTTTCAAGCCTCACTCTGCATCTTCCGCGCAAGAGGAAAGAAGCTAGGCGACCTACCTGCCAACCACGCATGCTCAATTGGCCGCCAACCTTTCAATATCAAAGACCTTGCATCGATCGCAACACCAATAATCGTCAATATGTCAGATTCCGAAGAAGAATTGAACGAGCTTCCCGAGGATGAGGAGGAGGACCTCTTCGGCGACGCGCCAGCAGACGATCTTCAGGAGGACCGAAGTCGCGCTGGCAGCGAACGCGACGACGCATCGGACCGTGATGGAGGTGATGGCTACGGAAGAGATGATGAGGCCCCGTTGCCGACCGATTATGAGACGAAGGTCATCGAGGCCGTTGAGATGCAACGTCATCGCATTCCCAAGTCGAAAGACCAGAGAGTAAGTCGATGGAAAGCTTGATACATCCAACGTGCGCTGACAATGACCAGCTACGATCTCTGCGTGTTCCCAAGTTTATGAAGATCATTCCAACGATTTACGATCCCGAGACTTTCGAGCCTACCGAACACGATATTGAGAATGCCAGGGCCGACGTACCCAAGGCCGACATCCGTGTCCGAAGACAAGGAAACAAGCTGCAGAGCAACACCATGATTCATAGATGGAGCGACGGTTCTGTAACCATGACAGTCGGAGACGAGCACTTTGAAGTCTCTACCAAGGCATTGGCTCCTGGACCTGACCAGCCATACTCTGAGCTTCAGGATGGACACTACTATGCCGCTGCGGCGGAGCTGACCAGCAACTTCCTCATGTTCGTTGGACATGTCACTGATCAGTTCATCGTCCGGCCCGGAAAGGAAGTGGCGGATGATGCGCTCGCTGCACTTGCTGAGCGCATGGCATCGATATCGCAAAAGCCTCAGGAGAAGGACATGATCATCAACACCATCCAAGACCCCGAGCTGCGCAAGAGACAAGCGGAGCAGGCGGAGAAAGAGCGCATGAAGATGCAAAGACGTCGGGAGACACAAACTGCACGCATGGATGCTACCCGCGGGTTCGGCCGTAGTGGAGGCCTCTCGATTGGCGACCTCGAGGGTGGACGACGAGGTGGTGGTTCACGAAAGAGAGGCATGCCTGGCGCACCGAAGCAAAAGAGAAGACGTCCCGAGTATGACTCTGACGATGATCTGCCTAGTGGCGCACGCAGAGGAGACGAGTACGACATGGAAGATGACTTCATTGTGGCCAGTGACGACGAAGTGAGCGAGGTCGACCATGACGATGACGACGAGGAGCTCCTCGACGAGGCGCCGCGATCTAAAAAGCGACGGGTTTCGGACGATGAGGATGCTGATGGAGATGATGATGACAACATGGGGACAAGTGGCAGAGGAAGACGCCGTCACGTTGTCGACGACGACGATTCGGAGTGAGGTTATCGACGACGACAAAAGGTGCTTGACTGCAGCTTTAGAGTGGTCAGAGATGATCAGGACTTGTACTATAGCACGGCATTCTCTCCGGTGCAAGCTGCGCGCCGAGGGCGGCGACTATTACTATTACATGCAAATCAAGACTTGGCTTGCGGAAGATGGGCCTTTTTCAATGCGTTTCGGTATCTCGAATGAACCTGAAGCGTCCACGAGGGTTGCTTCGTGACAATTGTCCTCCGAGTCTTGGCCGTACTGAGACTGGCGCGAATAAGCGGCACGACACGTGCAGCGTTTGACCTAATTCTGTGTCATGGCTCTCAGACCGGGCCGTTGGTAGCTAAGGTAATTTGACTTTGTTGGGAACTGAGCAAGTGGCACATCACTTATTGTGGCTCATTGATTTAGCGGACTCTACAGCCTGCAGCCTGCTCTGATATGAAAACATTGCTCGGACATGAAGACAATTCTTGTAGCTCACCACAAATGCGAACATGACAGATGACGTGAAGGGGCCGTGGAGCCTTGATACAGAGCTAATTACCTTACCTTGCACTGCCAGATTGCCATCCATTGTCACATGTCGAAGCTTTCCGCCAGGGATGGGGCACTGGGGCGGCACAGCCAAGGAGCTGACGGAGCTTGCCCGCCCACCCCCAACTTTACGTACAGCAGCTCGGGAAGCAGCGGCAGCGCAGGTGTGTGGGGTGCCCCTTGGGGTCTCGTGGTCAACATGAACCATGGCATTACAGTTACACTGAACAAATGCAGCAACACCACTCACTGCGGAGGGGGGTAATCCTGGGGAGGGAGGGGAAGAAAGCTGCTGCTGCCTGCCCCAGATCATCCGGCAGCATCCATGGGAAACATTGCAAATGAAAGCTGCTGTGGGAAATCGGCGACAGATCCGGACGCTGCTACCTTGTCCTTCCTCTGTGCGGCAGGCCGCAGACTTAAAGGTAATATTAATATCCGCAGCCCTTTTATTGCCGTGGGCCAAGCCAAACCACAGACACCCGTGGACCTGTGACCTACCTACGCATCCAAACCTCACAGCTGTCTGTCTGTCCTATCGTCGGCACGGTGGTTCGAGTCGAGTCAACAAGTACTTTCCCTTTTCCGATTCGGCGTAGAAAGAACACACGGCCTTCGAGTCAACTCATCGTCCCTCCTCTTCCGCAGCCGCAGGACCGTTCGAAGACACGATTTCTACCTTACTCTCGCATCTCTCTCCCTCTCCATCTTAGCGTCCACCATCCGCTGGCCCGCTCGTTCGTTCGACCGCACGCGCGCTTCTTCTTCTCATCCTTCTCTCCTTGGATCCCGATCGATCTCGTCAGAATCAGCGAAAGTTCACCCCAGCACCCTATATTGACATCGCAAACCCACCGTCCTTCTCTATCGTTATCTCTGTATATCTATTCTTCTACTTGATCTACTACGCATCTTCCAAACCTGTCTTGCCCGTCCAGCCCTCTCCCTAGGAACTGGAATGCAAGCAACATTCTAATCAGAGACACGCCGCTCGCCTCACTCCACCCGCTCATAATGCCATAATTGCCATGAACGCCCAATATTACCCGTCATTATCCTCATCAGCATTACTATCCCCCGCCAGCTTGGG